TAAAAACTCGTTTTTGATTTTTAATACATTTGTTCGACGCTATATGGAAATGTTGTTTAGTACTTTTTTGTAGGTGTCCATGAGCTCTACTTCCATACTAAATTTCAATGAGATCCATTGACTATTGTAGGAGTTATGGTCGTTTGACCACGTTTATGGGGTTTTTCTAACTTTACAGTATTGAGGAACAACTTATTCAATATTTTAAAAATTTCTACATATTCTTGGCTAAAATACGCGTCGTTTGCCGTTTGAAACATTAAAATCGTCCAATCCGTTCAGGAGTTATGATATTTTAAAGATACGTATCAAATTTCAGTAGAACGTCCAAATAATAGTCAGACATGAAATTTTCGGTAACGAATTTTTTTCTCGAAACTGCGTAGGATTTCGGGGGTAGGTCTATTCACCAAAAATGATTGTAATTGACCCCCGCAACCGAAAATAATTTTTCCGTGAATGATTTGAAACTTTTTGATTTAATTTTTCAATAGCTCTTTAACGAAGCCTCGATCAACAAATTTCTATTCTTGATTTTCGCCCTATTTTGGCCTCTAGAATCTCCCATTAAAATTTTCCCCAGAACTGGCCTAACACCCTGTATACAATTTCTCCCAAGGCCAAAAAAAATTTTTCTAAAAAATAAACGAACAATTTTTAATATAATTTTATCGATACCGGAATCAGAGTTGTAACGTTCCAACCCCATAGCGTCGTGTAAGTAAACGTTCGACGTGTTTGTTGATTTTTAAAGAGGGCTTGAAAATTGAAAATTCTTTTGTATCGATGCTAATAAATCGAAGACGCGAACTGTTGGATAAAAATTGCTATCCGAAAGACCTGTTCGTAGGGACGGATGGGTGAAAGAGCGTTAGTGTGAAAGACGCCTTAGTCTCGAGTGTGTCCGTCCTGACACGGAGCGGTACTACTTGCTCGGCGCACCAGCCATTAGTCAATACCCCGACATTAGTCGATACCCGCCGCTGGTCCGCCTTGCAGCCACCGACACGGGGCTGGAATAGGGTCGAAAACCCCTTTCATCGAGCGGCTTCCTGGAAACAGCGATACTAGCTGGCAAACTTTTGAATTCTTGCCAGCCTCCTCCATTGTTCTCATGGAGCTAATCGATATCATTTTATTGCCGGCGTATGCAAATCCCCGCCGCGACGCCGCGACTTCCTTGCGTCTTTTGAAGAGTCACAAGGAGGATTTCCTGATTTTCGACTGCTACACACTCCGTCTCCGCGGGCAAACATCGTAACTCGTAAACTTTGATCTTTTTACATATAGCAATTTACCGTTTCGATCTTTATTTTATTTTTAGGTCAACCCACGTTCGCCGAAAAATTAAACGAATCACACATATTGCACCAAGATAATTTTGTATTCGTTTTAAAATATAATAAAAGACGCGTTTGGCGTTTAGCGGTACGGCGATTATGCATTTTTACAGTATCAACGACAGTATCGATCAAGGCTCTCGGAAGTGAGACTGTTCGACGTAACTTTTTATAAACATTTTTATTTCTTATTATTTACATGAAAATAGCTGCGTTGCGAGAGTAGATATTTCGAATAACAAAAGGAAGCAGAGGATACCCCATTACACGATAAATCTAAATCCGACAGTTGTTTCGATCCTAACTGACCATAATTAAGAATTCACATGCCAACAATCAATAATCACGATATAGAATATTTAACCCGGCAGACCCATTATGAAACGAGCTTGAACAACGACTTAACATATTTATAAAATACCAAAACGAAGCGAACAAAACTTAATCGATTCTCAATTTTCTCTTTCGCTTTACTTCCAATATTTGCTTTGGCTTTGGAATGTTACTGTCGACAAGAGTCGCGTCGCCGTAGACCCCGAGAAGTCTACCAAGGCGCGATACAATGAAAATTGTTTGTTCTACCAAACAGCGAACAACGAGAAAGAGGTCGATCGGCGACCCTTTGACAGCAAGTCGTTCGAACGGCGTTCCGCGTAAATATTTTCAGGTAAAGAGAAACTAGTCCGATTAAAGGGCGAACGTAAAGCATCTCCCGGAGTTTATTTACCGATGTTTCGTTCGTGTACAACTAACTACCTCTGTGCAAATCAATCAGTACTTCCTAGCTTCCTGGTGATCGTCCATCGGTCGATGCTCGGCCAGGAACTTTTTGACTTGACGCCAGGCCAATCAGCGTAGGCATGCATTAGTTTGCCGGTGCTCCTTTTCCTTATCACGATAATGGCTCCTCGCTCGATAAAATCGTCTGTAATAAATACTGCTCGTTGTTCGAGGCCTCTTTCGGGCATTAATCGGCGACGTCTGATCGTGTCGTCGGGCTAGGAATGCAACAAATTCCGCCTGTCTCGGTTTGCCCATTAATAGATCGTTAGGGTAAATGGAGAGCGGGGGAGGCGTAGACAAAGACAAGGCGAGCGAGGAAGACGGAGAATGATTGCTGGCTAAAAGACTGGGTAACAGAGTTAATGTCGCATTACGACGTGGACTGCACAAGGACGTGGATTGTTCCAGGGTGTGCCAGTGCGGGGAATGGTCGTCGAAATGACGGAGACCACCGAAGAAGCCAGAGTAAGCGACGGGCGAACGTACAAGTCCCTGTATTTAATTAATACTCTCTTGCACGGTGCTCGATTAGACTAATTTGCACTTAGCGCGATACCGTGTCCGCGATAACGAGCCAAATCGTTCCGATTGATCGCAGATAATCGGGCATTCCGTTTCGCGTCAACCGGCTCAACGAATTTGGCGACGTTCCTCGGGCCTTAGATTCCGATTAGATAGCGAACACGGTGTCTCCTACATTTTAACACGTTTGCTAGGCCGTGTCACTCGAATTCGAGCAACGTTCGCATTTCCGTGGTTACGAGCGACGTCAGCATGGACTTCGAGAGCGTTACGAGCCGAGCATCGATTATACAATCGTACAAAGGAACAGGATTGGTCTCGAAATATTTACGAAAAGTATCACGAATATTTTAGTCATTTTCGAGCGAATTTAAAAAAACAGTAGATCCTAGCTAAAGACGTTCGAAGTCGATTCGTTAGTGTCAGTCTTCGTTAAGAATGCACACTTTAACGTAACAAATATGTATCGTTCAAAGAAATTGATTTCCATAGTCTCCCGTTTTTCTATGTTTGAAAAATCGATTGTCTCTATTTATTTCTATAGTCGACGTTCAATGTTGCATAATCTATTTGTCTGGAACAGTGGTTTGTATTTAGAAAGTGACTGAGACGTGTAACAATTTTGGCATTGTTATGGTTCTCCTGGTAAAAATGTTATGCTAAATTTTTATTTGATTAAATTCACCCTCTTACGTACTTCAATATTTTAATTATTTCCTATTTGAGAAACGACGACAGCAAACACATCGAGATACTTCTAAACGCGTTAAAAAAAAAATCCAGACAGTACATTTAGAAGTCGGTAAATGCATATGTAATTATACACAATTGGTTGTATAAATAACACCGTTTCTAATGGAACCTTGGATCGCGAATTCGATGTTGAACTTGAAATGCTGATGTTCGTAAATAATAGATGCGTTTCTTTCGCATGCAAACGATTTCGCGTTATTATCGGTGTATAGATTCAGAGAGTAATCAATTATTCAGCAAATGTTAAAAAGATGCATCATCTGATTCGCGATACGAACTCGTAGCAGTGCTGTTGGCTTTCGTCCTTCGGATACCTGTAAAGAGTAGCGTGTTTGTACGACCAAAGCTATTCTTAACTAGTAGCTTTACCGATACGAATAGTATTTATTAACAGTTCGTTCGAACTGTTGGTAAAGCAAATACCTTAAATTTCGTTATATACAAAATTTTCCATTTAAATATTTTGATTTTAATATTGGGAAATAGTTAGTATACGTCACGTGTAACGTGTTGTGCTGGTATAGATGTTTGTAAACAAACGTTAGTGAATAAGCATTCCCAAGCGATGAATCGTTTAGTGTTTCTCATCTCATGAATCAGTATTGTCGTAGCTATTGTTAATTAACGTATAAGATTATTAAAAATAGTTACGAAATAGTTTATGTGATTTTTATATCGAGAGATTGTGAACTAAATCACAAATTTTAGAAAGGTAAATGCTGATACGTGTGTACAGTATTAATACCACCCTGTATATTGTGCACATATATTGAAACTAAACAACGATCGAGAAAATAAAATATGTAATGCTCCAATAATATAATTTTGGTGTCACCATAATATCGATTGACATTGTAATGAAATCAAGAGAAATTTACTACTCGCAGAACTATTATAAATGCAAGCAAAACGTTGAAATGCAAAGAGAAATCGATATTACGTTTACCCCAAAAAGTCTGATACAGTTGAAAAGTAATTACAGTTTTACTAAGTATGAAAGTGTAATGCGATATTCGTCAAAACGAAAAGATCTTACAAATTGCACAAACTTATTCTACTTACCGTGCAAAAGTGTAAACTGAAAATGAGCACAGTAAAAGATTACAGGAAGCAATTTTACACAAGCTGCACGTATACTTATCCATTCCATAGACAAGAAATTTTCACCTTCCAGCAACAATTAGTGGCAAACACACCGACCACCCACGATCAACCGTGATCGTTATCGATGGAAACACTGTTAAATGTAGTATTTATGTTGTATCGGCACCGTTTCGGCGCAGAGGATGAACTGTTCGACTCTCTCGCGACCATCCTCGCCGCGAAACGTTGTCCTGGAATAGTGAGAAAAGAATACACACGATATCGACTACTGTCGGTGGATTCGCGCGGAAATTCCCACACGACACGAACGATACGTAGAAGGGCGGTACCAGACACGAAACCGTGGCACTGGGTGTTCTCCCCTTGCACCTCTTTGCTCGCTCTTAGAAGCTTTCTCAGTTTGCGAGTGCAACCCTCGGTGGATCCTGCCTACCTTTTCATCATCCTGACATTTCCACCAGCGGTTCTCTCGTCTCTTCCCGCTTAATTGATTCAGTCATGTTCGTAGCACCTGCTCTCATAGTCCAACAAAGGTCGGAAAATTCTGAGGAAGACAGCGACGAGGAAGGGACAGGCGATGTCCTCCAGGTTGATCTCTGTTTCTACGTTTTTATTTTAATTTAACGTATCGTTCGTTACTCGTATATCGAGGGAATTAATTTTTATTATAATAAAACATTTTTCTATGCTTGCACAAAATGGTATAAAATGTATTGTTTGATATATGCACCGTTTGTAAAGGGTTAAATGAACTTGATTCTTAATAAATCGATGCTTCTTGTTTGAGTAAGAGATTGGAAACAATAAATGTCTGGTACTTCGACAACTGACGTACAATCGTGCTTTATTCTACATAAATTTACTATACAGAGTCTGCATAATATTTAGACCTTTCTCGGACCAGGTAGGAACGATAATACACCAATAGCAAAATATTAGTACTCTGATCAGAATTATTTTTAATCAGAAATATAGTGATTTTATTCTTCTAATTGCCATTTAAATAATAGTGAACTGTTTTAATAATTTATAAAATAATTTTAAAAGAAAAACAACATCAACCATTTATTCCGCAATCACGTTCCACGTCTTATAAATGTAACGACGAGGGAAAGATTGATACTCGTCATCCTCTGTTTAGAAACGACGAGAAGAATGCGAAAGAAAGGCGAGACGAGGGGAAATGGACCCCCGATTAGAATTCGCTTTCCAGCTCTTAATGGACGCGACACAGTTGTCACGTCACGAGGTCATGGATCATGTTTTCGAGGGGGATATGCTCGACGAAATCAATCAGCTGTTCCTACCCCACATGAGGTCAACCCTGGTTTGGTACTACCAAGAGGTGGAAGAGTCAGAAACCGTACGGCCACCAGAAACGGTAATAACTCGTTCACTGTGAATCACGAAAGTATTTGGACACTTGTTTCTTTCGATAGCAGTACTGCACATTTGCGATAAGTTGGCTAGTGGGACGGTACTTCGTCATCTCGACCAATATTCGACGCATTCCTTTCGCTAGCCAATTTCTCGCGAGCGCACGGTACAGTACTTCTGTCTTACTCTCTTCACGCGAATATGGATATAATTTTGCAATTTGATTGCAAAGACACAAACGAAAACGCCAAGTGCCAGACCGGTACCAAACGCGTCAGCGCCGAAAGCTAAGGAGCAGAAAGAGGCGAAAGAACCAGCGAAAAAGAAGCTCTTTTTGAGCGATGGATGGCAAGCTCCGTGCACTGGAATATGCATTTACATGTTCAGGTAATTTCACTGGCAAATCGAACGATAGTTTTTTGGTAAAAAAAAGTATTTAGAAAATAATTTTCAGGATCAGCATCTCGAAGCAGTTGCCCGAAGAAGGGTTTCAGAAGGATCTGTACACCGGCGTGATAGACACGAAGAAGGTGGGTATAATAACAACTATACAACGGGTGGTCGAGTATGTTTTCATGGACGCACTCGCGCATCCTGGCACGGAAGGAGAAGACGACTGTCCGATGATCAAGAGTCTTTTATTGCCTGGCTTGAGATCCTTCTGCAGCGCTTTGAAAGGTGACGTTCGCGGGAGAAAAGAATTTATCAAAGTTTCAGGAAACATTTACCATATTTTCCGTAGTCTGCGAACAGATAGCCGACGATGGGCGCATATTCGACGACGACGAGACGTTGATGGGAGAGGTGCACAATTTTGAGGAGGCAAAGGCATTCGTGGCGAAGGAGAACGCGGTGAATATCACGGAGAGGAGGGTCGAAACGTGGATTAAAAAGTTGAAGGACTTCATGGTAGAGAGCAAGCAAGTGAAAAGGGAGAACGACAATTCTGGACCGCAACAGGAACTGGAGTATTGGAAACGAAGGGGGGCGCAGTTTAGCCAACTAGTCAATAAACTTCAGGTTCTGCTTTTACTTACGTTGGCTCGCGATTGTTCCACTTTTAAAAACACGTGCATTTATGCACTTACAGGATCACGAGATACGAATGTCGCTGTTGTGTCTGCAAGTCGCGCGGTCGAAGTTGATAAAGCAGTGGGTAGACACCGAGGACGAAGTTACGTACTGTTACAACGAAGCCAAGGACAACGCGAAGTTCATCCAGGCGTTAGAGAAATGCTGTCATTGTCTGTACTTGGACGACCCGGTAAGACAATCGACGAATAAGAAGTTTCGATAATGTTATTAGTGTTGACGAAACAATGTGACAAGAAATTGGTGGCTAAAAGAACGGTTACTTAGCCTCGAATAAATTGATTTATTATTAACTTTTTATGCTCACGTTTTCGTTAGGAAGCAACTTTAAAATCGAAACCAGCCCACTCAGTTTCTCAAACTTGGAACACTGTTTTTTCAGGTGAAAATGAGGGACTCGCTTGTGTCGTTATTGCAAACGGTTCGACTGATATACAGCGTCTCGAGATATTACAACACATCGGAGCGAACCAGTTCGTTGATGATAAAAATTACGAACCAAATGATCGTCGCGTGCAGAGACTACGTGACAAACAGAGGCCGTGAAACTGTCTGGGGCCAGGATCGAGCGGCGGCTCGATCGAAACTGAAACATTGTTTAAGGCTGAACAAGTAATAGAAAAATTATATGACATTGTTACGAGTAGATACCAATGATATTTTTTACCAATGACTTTTGCTCGTCGAAGGGCTTACAGAGAAACCTACAGACTGGTTCGATGTTCGCCAGCTGTGACGGAACAAGAGTTCTCGTTCTCGGAGACCCACGTGTTTGGAAGGTTCGATTCCTTCTGCGACCGTATAAGAAAGATTCTAACGATGTTCGAGCTGATACAAGATTACAAGAACCTTTTCGAAAGACGAATGGAAGGGCTATTGCTGGGAGAAGGTACAAACGTACAAGAGTATCGAATAAATAATAGATTTTAATTGTTCGTTTTGTCAGCGTTGGACGATGCGATAAAAACATTCGAGGAAGCCGAGAATATCGCGACTACCAGATCTTACGACTATTTGAACCCAAGAAACGCTGACTTCGACACCGATTACGATTACTTTATGTCGAAGACCGAGGCTCTGAAGCAGAACATCGGCGGCATCATCGAGAAAAATTATGCCGACGTCTGGGAGACGCCTCAGGGTATACGATTTTTAACTCGATTTGAAAAAGTGAAGTAACGCATTGAACTTTCTATACGGTTACACGATTATATAAAAATCGCTGCAGATATTTCTGGATTCCTTGTTAAATTTTCATTCGATTAATTTGAAATTATTTTCTATCCTTCAAGGTTAGCGAAAAGATACCGTTAACGAAGCTGGATGAAAAATACAACATAGTGGTGAAATACTGCGACAGAGAAATAGACAGAATACTGAAATTGTTTAAAAGGCAAAGGGACGATCCACCGTTGCCCAGACACATGCCAGCCATCGCTGGGAGATTGACCTGGTCCAATTCGTTGAAGTAAACGAAAATATTCCAATTTACGAGTTGATTCTATTAATTTACGAGCTTTCCCATTTCGTGGATCAGAGTACACCTTGACGAGCTGGCTACATCGGTTTCCAATCACCCAGTGCTGAAGACGCTACCCTTAACTGCAGAATTGGAGAAAAGATACAACCATGCTCTCAGCATTCTAAACCAATACAAATCGGATATCGCCGAAGTCTGGACTCATCAAAATTCCTGGATCATCGAAGACTGTTTGAAACGGTAATCACGAGTAAACGATTTTAACAAGACGTTGAAACATTACTCCGTTTCGTCGTGATAAATAGATCGCTGCTGGTGATAGACGAAAGGACGGACAAAATTAAAGTGAACCTGGAAAGACGCGTTGTTCTTCTGCTTCGCGAGGCTGACTGCTTGGCCAAGCTGAATCTGGAGATTCCGATCGTCGCGTTAACGATTTTGGCAAAGAAAGATCATTTCACCTTGATCACGGACTCTCTTCAGCTGATGGTCGAGAACTTCGTTTACACGTCAAGACGCGTGAAACTTGAGGTCAGGCCGCTCCTGTTGCCGCACTTGGTTCGCGTTGCATCATTGTTGGAGCCTGGCTTGGTCTCTCTGACCTGGACCAATCCAGAATGGAAGAACTTTTATCAAAATACTAAGGAGCAGATCAAAGAATTTGACATTCTGATCACGAGAGTTCACGATGTGTATGATAATAGGTACGTTGAAAACGGGACTGACACGAACAGGTTTTTAATAGATGTGAATACGTCCAAGGCTCGAAATAAACAATTTTCAAACACGAGGAGGCTTTAAAATCATACACACGGTCGTAAATTCTGTTTTTAATATAAATCACAGTGATATTTTAATTCGTCTTTAAGCTTCTATGATAAAAACCTTTTTCTCTGATATTTTCTTTATTTTTTCCAAGGATCCTTCAAGTACTGACAAGCATGCAAAAGATCACCTTACATTCTCTACCAGAATCTGATCAGCCTTGGACGATAGAGGAATTCGTGGAGAAGACCGAGGAAATATGCAGACTCACAGCGGTAGATTTATATCGTAAAAGTATGATGGTGGAAGAGGCGGTGGAAGAAGTACTGGATCTTGTTAAGAACGCGGCGGAGAACTTCAAAAGCGCCGCTAATTCCAGTCAATTCGATTTTTTCAATAACGAAGGTGACCCATGTCGTTGTCGCGTTTTACCGTAAACCTCCGATTATTTTTGCTTTCCTCAAAAGATTGGAAATCACCGAAACTCCCTGATCTATTTAATTCTTATTTTTCTTTTACATTATACGTGTATGTAACAATGAAACGCCTTCGTACAAACTCGTATTTAAAAATGCGTCCGTCTTTAATTACAATTTTATTTTATCGTGAATATTGCAGACACTGACGAAGATGCGGACCAAGCAGCGCAACAAGACTGGTCGTCGGTGTGGAATTTGTTCGACGATCCCCATCAACTGCTGGCGACACCAGGCAGTTTGCCGAATGGAATGCAGGACATGGTGCGAAACGCAGTCTCCGAGATGCGAAGATATTACTCTAGAAAGGTCGTCGATGTTCTTATAAAGGTCACCAGAACCTCGTTGGACGTCATTAAAAAACGATTCGTTCGGGAAATCAATCCAGGTATTTAAAAAAAAAGCATATTCGAACGCTTAAATTCCAAATGACAAATAAAATATTTAGACTAAAATTTTCGAAATAGTATCGCGATCGAGGATGAAATTAAAATTCTCCCTTCGATTAAATTGTGTATTTTATGAATCGAATATTTTACTGATGAATATGTTGCTGATAACAGAGGAAACCCCGAGCCCAATATTTCTGCTACATGCAACCTTGATGATACCAGTAGTGACCGTGAAGCCTAGCTTGGACGATGTTCAGGAAGTTCTGACATTGGTTGGAAAAATAATCGCTGGAGTCGCGAGAGGTGTCTCGCAATGGAATTCCAGAGTCAACAAGGTAAACTTCCAGATTTCAGATTTCTGGAGAAAAGCTTAAAAGGAAAGTTAGAGTATAACGTGCGAAACGATTCTAAGTTAGAAACATATTGATACCCCGATATTCATAAAATCGTTCGACTGGATAGAATTCTTGGGGGAACGCTTATCCAAGGAGAAGTTTCGCGGACATCGTCATGCGAGCTCAAGTGCAAGCCGCGAAGAAGAAGCAAGAGGAACCGGAGGATCCAAAAATTAGGAGGCGACGACTGTACAAAATTATCTCCGAGGAAAGACCAATTTTCCCAGATCAGGAGAGGAATTTTCATGCCATGGTGATGGACAACAAGGAAGTGATGAAACTGTTGACCATATTGAACACTTGTATGTTGGAATTCAAACCAGTAAGCAACTTTACGCGTTTGTAAAAACGTTAATCGCTGTACGATTCAACTGGATTAAAAGAAACACGTGTGTGTTGTTACAGGATCTAGCGGAATTTATCGATCGATGGAAACCCTACAAATTTCTATGGAAGAACGAACGTAGTATGCGGGAGTTGCTACAAATCTCCCTACCGGAATTTGAAACCACTCTTCGAAAACACAGCGAACTCGAAGATCTTTTAGCCACCGAGCCCGATATGATCATCTTCGGAACGTCCATCGCGATTTCGACGGACAAACTAAAATACGGACTGTACACGGAAATTAAAGGTAATTTGCTAAATTTACGTATCATTCGGGCAAAATATTCAATATCGTTTGATCCCTGTTACAGCGTGCAGCCACAAAATTGGCCAAGCCATGAAGAAGAAATATCGACGCGAGATGGAGTACGTTTACGCGTTAATGAGCGAAATGGAACGAAAACTGGATCGTCAGATTCGTGATCTCGACGATGTGCGTCTGATCATGGACACCCTGAAGAAGATCCGTGAACAGGAGGTGGACATGGAGCTGAAGATCGATCCGATCGAAGAGGCTTTCAACATCGTCACGAGATACGAAGTACCGGTGGATCAAGAATGCCTGGAACAAGTCGACAATTTGAGATACACCTGGCAGCGATTGATCAAACGAGCATTGGAGAGCCACGTGTTGCTGTTGAATCTGCAACCGCAGTTCGAGGAAGACCTCAGAAACAATCTCGAGAAGTTCCGAATCGACAACGAAATGTACTGCGAGGAGTACAGATCGTCGGGACCGATGCAACCGGGTCTGAGCCCGAGGGAGGCTTCCGACAGGCAGATTTTGTTTCAGAATAGATTCGACGGCATGTGGAGGAAGCTACAGACCTATCAAAGCGGCGAGGAACTTTTCGGTTTGCCTATCACGGATTATCCTGAACTGTCGCAGATCAGGAAAGAGTTGAATCTGCTTCAGAAATTGTACAAGCTGTACAACGACGTCATTGACAGAGTCAATAGCTACTATGACATCCCTTGGGGCGAGGTAAGCTATTCCTGGTCAAATCGATCGAATATAACGTAAAACAATAAAACCTTCCTGGTGAATAAATTACATAAGAAATTTATCGAAGAACACCCTGGATTTTCTATAAAAAATAGGACAGCTTAAGTTGGTTATTGAAATTTCAAAAACGAATGTACTCCTAAGACTGTTTTACTTGTCTGTTTGAGAATTAACTATCAAGACAAATTGAATATGAAGTTAGAAATACGTCAATAGATTAATCATGACAACTATTTTTATTAAATATGAAACGCAAGGTACTAATAACGCGAAATTCCTGTTTACAAAGTATGATTGAAACCAGTCCACTTACTTGATACACTATATAAAAAGGTACATTGACCGTAACGTGCAGGTGAATATCGAGGACATAAACAACGAACTGATGGAGTTCCAAAACCGGTGCCGCAAGCTGCCAAAGGGCCTGAAAGAGTGGCCAGCGTTCTTTGCCCTTAAGAAGACGATCGACGACTTTAACGACATGTGCCCCCTGCTAGAACTAATGGCCAACAAAGCAATGAAGCCGCGCCACTGGCACAGGATCGTGGAAGTGACAGGCTACTCGTTCGATCTGGAGAGCGAGGGATTCTGTTTGAAGAACATCCTCGAGGCGCCTTTGTTAAAATACAAAGAGGACATCGAGGACATCTGCATTTCAGCCATGAAGGAAAAGGACATCGAGGCTAAATTGAGGACGGTGGTGAACGAGTGGTCGTCGCACGAGCTGACGTTCATGACGTTCAACAACAGAGGTGAACTGTTGCTGAGAGGTGACACCACCGCTGAGACGATCGGCCAGCTCGAGGACAGTTTGATGATCCTTGGCTCGCTGATGTCCAATCGATACAACGCGCCGTTTCGCAAGCAGATACAGCAGTGGCTCACGGATCTGTCGAACACCAACGAGGTCTTAGAGAGATGGCTACTGGTGCAGAACATGTGGGTTTATCTCGAGGCGGTGTTCGTCGGCGGTGACATAGCGAAACAGCTGCCGAAAGAGGCGAAGAGGTTCAGCAAGATCGACAAAAGCTGGCAGAAGATCATGCAAAGGGCGCACGAGACTCCTGGCGTGGTACCTTGCTGCGTGGGGGACGATTTGCTCAAACAACTTCTACCACATCTCCAAGAACAGCTGGAATTATGCCAAAAGTCTCTCAGCGGGTAAGCTGTTATAACTTCTGTTGGTTCTCTGTAATAAATTCTCTGTAAAATGTATAGAAATTATGAAATCGTATTACTAAATATAATTGCAGATATTTGGAAAAGAAGCGTATGATGTTTCCAAGATTCTTCTTCGTCTCGGATCCCGCTTTGTTGGAAATACTTGGCCAAGCATCCGACTCTCACACGATACAAAATCATTTGCTTTCCATTTTTGACAACACGCGTTACGTTAAGTTTCACGATATCGAATATAACAAGATGACCGCGATCGTGTCATCCGAGGGTGAAACCATTTTGGTACGTATCAAGGTTAGAAAAACAATTATTATGCTTTTACAATACACGCCGCGTAGATTTGTTAATCGATGCTGTTTTCAAATTATGAAGCTTGAGAAGGCCGTAAGGGCAGAAGGATCCGTGGAAGCATGGTTAACGCAACTTTTGCAAACGTCCCAGCAATCTTTGCATTCGATAATCCGACAGTGTTATTCGATGATCAACGACGCGAACTTTAATTTCCTCGGTTTTCTGGACAAGATGCCCGCCCAGATTGGTCTGCTCGGAATACAAATGATCTGGACCAGAGACAGCGAGCTGGCGTTGGCTCAGGCCCGTGCCGATAAAAAAATTATGACGGAAACGAACAACAAGTTTCTCGATCTGCTGAACACGTTGATCGATCAGACGACCAGGGACCTCGTAAAAATCGACAGAACGAAATTTGAAACCTTGATCACTATACACGTGCATCAACGCGACATCTTCGATGTACTGGCAAGTACTTGAATAAATACTCTCGATATTAAAAAAAAAAAAAATTGAAAAAATTAACTTTCCATTCCCCTGCAAAGTCAACGTTTCTTAAAATAATTTCTTCCGCAGTGCCGTTTAAACGTACGATCGGTGAACGATTTCGAGTGGCTGAAACAATGCAGATTCTACTTCAAGGAAGATCTCGACAAAACATCTATATGCATAACGGACGTAAATTTCACGTACCAAAATGAGTATCTAGGTTGCACGGATCGGCTCGTTATTACTCCATTGACCGACAGGTGATTGCAACGAATCGCAAAAGATGGAAAGTAGATCGAGAATATATTTCAATTTATATTCGCAGATGCTACATAACACTCGCGCAAGCATTGTCGATGTCTATGGGTGGTTCGCCGTGTGGACCAGCTGGCACTGGGAAAACGGAAACGGTCAAAGACATGGGGAAAACCTTGGCCAAATACGTGGTGGTATTCAACTGTTCCGACCAAATGGATTACAGAGGATTGGGGCGAATTTACAAGGGCCTGGCGCAAAGCGGTTCTTGGGGCTGCTTCGACGAATTCAATAGAATCGAACTACCGGTGTTGTCTGTTGCTGCTCAGCAAGTCGCCGTTGTTCTTTCCGCGAAGAAGGAGAAAAAGAAACAATTCGTTTTCACCGACGGTGATCTGATAGACATGTGTCCCGAGCTTGGAATATTCATAACTATGGTAAATGATGATAAACGTACACTGTTTGAAACGTTACCGATCGATACTCGTGTAAACGAATATACGTTCCAAGCTGATACACCGGCATGAAATAAATACAATGGCTGGAAATTAAAAGAAATACGTTTACAGAATCCTGGATACGCCGGCAGGAAAGAGCTACCAGAGAATTTGAAAATACAATTTCGCACCGTCGCCATGATGGTTCCCGATAGACAGATCATTATTCGAGTGAAATTAGCTAGCTGCGGTTTTCTGGAAAACATCACTCTCGCCCGGAAATTTTACACGCTGTACAAACTCTGCGAAGAACAACTTACAAAACAGGTTAACGTGCTATGAAATGTACGAAAGGGTATTCCATTAAATAAATAACTATTTCGTTTCCCTGTGAAGGTTCATTACGACTTTGGTCTGAGAAACATACTGTCCGTGTTAAGAACACTCGGAGCATCGAAGAGGGTGAACTCGAAAGATTCTGAAAGCACGATCGTCATGCGCGTCTTGAGAGACATGAATCTTTCAAAACTCATTGGTAACGCAGTTGACTATGATCAAATCAAAATCCACTGACCGCTCAAAGCCACTGAGAAGGTGCACTATAAACGTAACAGTTGTATTTGGTGTGATTCAGAGTTGTAAAAGTGGTCTTGATCGGTCAATCGAGTATGATTTAACGATTCTAAAGTAGTACGAAAATTTAATCGTATAAAATAATAATCTCAGACGAGGACGAGCCACTCTTCATCTCTTTGGTGGCGGATTTGTTCCCGAATCAAGCTCTCGAGAAGACTTCTTACCCGGAATTGGAAGCTGCTATCAATGAACAAGTGGAAGAGGCAGGATTGATCTATCATCCGCCATGGGTGTTGAAATTGATACAATTGTACGAGACGCAGAGAGTGAGACACGGAATAATGACACTGGGCCCAACTGGCGCTGGAAAAACAACGTGCATACACACGTTGATGAAAGCTTTGACACAGTGCGGTGACTTCCATAGGTAAACAAATTTGAGACTATCTTTGGAACAATTAATAATATTTAAGAGAACAGTTTCGTCGGAAATAGTGGAATAAAAAGAAAAAATACAGGCTCGAATGCTTCCTAAAAGTAAACTTATAGCTTTCCTATTTGACGATTAATGGCTAAACGTAACTTTGCAGGGAAATGAGAATGAATCCAAAGAGCATAACGGCTGCTCAAATGTTTGGTCGACTGGACGTGGCAACCAACGACTGGACGGATGGAATATTCTCAGCCTTATGGCGTAAAACCTTGAAATTGAAAGACGGTGAACACGTGTGGATGGTACTCGATGGACCCGTGGATAGCATTTGGATCGAAAATTTGAATTCCGTGTTGGACGACAATAAAACGCTAACCCTGGCGAATGGCGATCGTTTATCGATGGCTCCTACGTGTAAGATCATCTTTGAGCCCCATAATATCGACAACGCGAGTCCTGCGACAGTGTCTCGTAACGGAATGGTGTATATGAGTTCGTCGGGTCTAGATTGGAATCCTGTGGTGACTGCTTGGTTGAAATCTCGGACACTTTTGGAACAAGAAGTGTTCGAACAGTGTTTCTCCGATTCTTTCGCGCAGATTTACTCGTGGGGTACTCAAGCGCTAACCTTAACCATCGACGTCCTGCAATGCAATATAGTACGACAGATGTTGTGTCTCCTCGAAGGATTGGTTCCACCCGAAACGTCCATCGAGGAAGAGGAGGACGAAGAATCGGAAGAACAGAAACGCCAACCGATGACGACGGATCACCTGAAACGTCTTTACGTCTTCGCTTTGATATGGGGTATTGGAGCACTGCTTGAAACTCCCGACAGAGAGAAATACAACTCGTATCTCCGCGAAAACTTTCAAGGTTTAGATTTGCCAACAACTGAGAAGTGGCCCGAAGCGAAGGTGTTCGATTTTTACGTAACCGAAAAGGGTAAATGGGACACGTGGGCGAGCATAGTGACCAACTACGTTTACCCGGAATACTCGACACCGGACTACAGCAGCGTGTTGGTCCCTATTCCTGACAACGTGAGGATACAGTATTTGATCAATTTGATCGGCCAACAAGACAAAGCCGTCTTACTGATAGGGGAACAAGGCTCCGCTAAGACAGTTATGATGAAGTCGTACATGAAAAAAGCGAATCCGGAAATCACGTTGAGTCGTTCGTTCAATTTCAGCTCGGCCACGAGCCCGTACCAATTTCAGAAAACCATCGAAAGCTATGTAGAGAAACGTCTAGGGAGCACGTTCGGGCCGCCCGGTGGCAGGAAAATGATGGTATTCATCGACGACGTTAACTTGCCGCAGATAAACGAATGGGGCGATCAAGTCACCAACGAAATAGTCCGCCAGACAATGGACATGAAGGGATTTTATTCTCTGGAGAAACCCGGGGACTTCACCAGCATCGTCGACGTTACGTTCCTCGCCGCGATGTGCCAACCCGGCGGAGGCAGGAACGATATCCCGTCGAGACTGAAAAGGCAATTTTCCATCTTTAATTGCACGTTGCCTGACGAGTCGTCGATCGATCGTATTTTCAGCGCGCTCGGCGAGGGACACTACAACGTGAAAAGGGGATTCTCGGCGGAAATTAGGAATCTCGTGAAGAAAATGGTTCCTCTGACGAGGATACTTTGGGAGAGGACTAGAACCAATTTGCTACCAACACCAGCCAAGTTTCATTACATTTTCAGCCTTCGGGACCTGTCGAGAATTTGGCAAGGCCTGGTTGGCACACTGTCGACCGTCATCGATCAAGAAAGCGTCTTGATGTCACTGTGGAAACACGAGTGCAGCCGCGTTTTCAGCGACAGATTCACCATACAATCCGACAAACGTTGGTTCGAGGAAGAAATAGTACGTGTGACCAGAGATATGCTGGGAGAAAAGTACGTGTCTATGCTGGATCAGGATCCTGCGTTCGTGGACTTTATGAGGTACGTGTCATCCTCTACGAATATATTATATTTACACGGGACGGTGTTATCGTTAATATCACAATTTTTAGAGACGCTCCTGAACCTACTGGCGAAGAGGGCGAGGACGCCGATGTGGAATTACCGAAAGTATACGAACCGGTTTACGACGACCAAATCCTCAGAGACAGGCTGGAAATGTTTCTATCGCAATTCAACGAGATGCAAAGGGGCTCTGGCATGGACTTGGTCTTCTTTCCCGACGCCATGCTGCACTTGGTCAAAATATCTAGAGTCATCAGACACCCTAAAGGAAACGTGATGCTCGTGGGTGTCGGTGGATCTGGTAAACAGAGTCTCACGAAGCTGTCCTCGTTCATCGCGGGTTATAAAACGTTTCAAATCACATTGACCAGATCTTACAACGTGGCAAACTTCCTGGAAGATCTTAGATATCTTTATCGAGCGTGCGGAGCCCAGGGCAAAGGGACCACGTTCATCTTCACGGATCTGGATATCAAGGAAGAAGGTTTCTTGGAATACCTGAATAACATTCTCAGTTCCGGTGTGATCAGCAATTTGTTCACCCGGGACGAACAACAAGAGATCATTTCCGAATTGACGCCGATTTTGAGACGCGAGAACCCAAAACGATCGATCAATAACGAGCTAGTGATGGATTTCTTTCTACAAAGAACTTGTCAGAACCTCCACGTGGTGTTCTGTTTCTCTCCCGTGGGGGAGAAGTTCAGGAACCGTGCTCAGCGTTTCCCGGCCCTCATATCCGGCTGCACCATCGATTGGTTCCAACCGTGGCCCAAAGACGCTTTGGTATTGGTAGCTAAACACTTCCTGCACGACTTCGATATCGCTTGCACCAGCGAGGTAAAAGCTGAACTGGTCAACGCGCTAGGATCCATACAGGATATAGTTTCCGTCACGTCCACGGAATATTTCCAACGGTTCCGTCGTGCTACTCACGTCACGCCAAAATCGTACTTGAATTTCATCAGTGGGTACAAGAACATTTACCAGAACAAGCAGCACGAACTCGGCGAGGGGGCCAAGAGAATGGACACGGGCTTGGCGAAACTAGAAGAAGCTTCGATATCGGTCGAGATCTTGAAAAGGGACCTAGCCGTGATGGAGACAGAGCTAGTCCAGGCTTCCGAGAAGGCGGAAACCGTTCTCCTGGAAGTCACGGAAAGAGCAATGCAGGCGGAAGCGTTCAAAAATCAAGTACAAAAGGTAAAAGAGAAAGCCGAACAATTGGTGGCTTGCATAGCAGACGAGAAAGCACTGGCGGAACAAAAACTGGAAGCCGCTAAACCAGCTTTGGAAGAGGCAGAGGCTGCTTTGAACACGATTAAACCGGCTCATATAGCTACCGTTAGAAAGCTGGGCAGACCACCGCACCTCATTATGAGGATAATGGATTGTGTGTTGATTTTGTTTCAACGTAAAATCGGATCGATCGTTCCAGACACCACTGCGCCCTGTCCGAAGCCTTCCTGGTCGGAATCGTTAAAGCTAATGGCCAGTACCACGTTCCTTCTCCAATTGCAAAATTATCCGAAGGACATAATAAACAACGAGATGGTCGAGCTGCTGCAGCCTTATTTCAAAATGGAAGACTACAACATGGAGACCGCCAGACGGGTTTGCGGCGACGTAGCAGGTTTGCTGTCCTGGACGAAGGCTATGGCTTTCTTCCATTCCGTCAATAAAGAAGTTCTGCCGCTGAAAGCTAACTTGGCACTACAGGAGGCTAGACTGAAGGTGGCGATGGAAGATCTAGCGAACGCCGAAAGAGAATTGTCGGAAAGGGAAATGGCTCTGCAAGCGGTCAAAGAGCAGTACGATTCGGCAGTGTCCGAGAAACAGAGGCTGACAGACGCTGCGAACGTGTGCTTTAGGAAAATGACAGCTGCGACCGCGCTGATCAATGGACTGGGTGGCGAAAAGATTCGCTGGACCGAACAGAGTAGCGAATTTAAAGTTCAACTCGGAAGGCTGGTCGGCGACGTTCTGCTAGCTACAGGTTTCTTGTCGTATTGCGGGCCCTACAACCAACAGTACAGAGCCAGTTTGGTGTCGGCTTGGATGACCATTTTAGCGACCAAATCCATTCCTTTCACCGCGAACCTGAACATCACGAGCATGCTCGTCGACAGCGCGACGATGTCGGAGTGGACGCTTCAAGGTTTACCAAACGACGAGCTGTCCGTGCAGAATGCACTGATCGTAACCAAATCCTCGTCGTATCCTCTGTTGGTAGACCCCCAAAACCAGGGAAAAATGTGGATCAAGAACAAGGAATGCATGAACGAGCTGCAGATTACGTCTCTCAATCACAAGTACTTCAGAACCCACCTCGAAGATAGTCTCTCTTTAGGTAGACCGTTGTTGATCGAAGACATAGCAGAAGAGCTGGATCCAGTCCTCGATAACGTTCTCGAGAAAAATTTCATCAAGTCCGGTTCCATCGAGAAAGTGATTGTCGGCGATAAGGAATGTGACGTGATGCCGGGTTTCATGCTGTACATCACTACGAAATTGCCGAACCCAGCGTACAGCCCAGAAATATCAGCGAAAACGTCGATAATCGACTTCACCGTCACTATGTTGGGCTTGGAAGATCAGCTGCTGGGTAGAGTGATCCTCATGGAGAAGGCAGACTTGGAAGCCGAGAGGGTGGCTCTCTTCGAATCCGTAATGACCAATCAACGATCGATGAAAGAACTCGAGAGTACGCTTCTACATCGACTCACGTCTTCCGAAGGTTCCTTGGTGGACGACGAAGCGCTCATAAACGTGCTCAGAGAGACGAAAACAACGGCAGAGTCCGTAAACGAGAAACTGAAAGTGTCTGCCTTGACGGAGAAGAAGATCACCCTGGCCAGAGAGGAGTTTCGCGCGGTTGCTTCGAGGGGCTCCATCTTGTATTTCCTGATCGTAGAAATGAGCAACGTGAACGTGATGTACCAGAACTCGTTGAGGCAGTTCCTCACCATATTCGACAACTCGATCACGAAATCCGTGAAAAACCCTATCACCAACGAACGAATAAACATAATCCTTCGACATCTCACCTACGAAGTGTGGGCGTTCACTTTGAGAAGCTTATACGAACGACACAAGTCGTTGTTCACGCTGATGTTGGCGATGAAGATAGACTGCCATCGCGGGGCGATTTCTCACGCGGAATTCAACGCGTTCATAAAAGGAGGCGCGTCGTTGGATTTGAACGCCGTCGCCTCGAAACCGTTTAGATGGATCCTCGACATAACTTGGCTGAACTTGGTCGAGATCAGCAAGCTGGAGGTTTTCTCGGACATTCTGGCGAAAATTGAATTCAGCGAAAAGGAGTGGCAAGCGTGGTACGAGAAGGACAGGCCCGAGGAGGAGGAGCTTCCCTGCGGGTATCAAAAGAAATTGGACGTGTTCAGAAAGTTGCTTTTGATAAGATCGTGGAGCCCGGACAGGACTTTGTCCCAGGCGAGAAGATACGTGATCGGATCGTTGGGAAAGGAGTACGGGGAAGCGAAAATTTTGGATTTAGAGGCCACTTGGTTGGAGTCTGAAGTCAGGACCCCGCTGATATGCATATTATCGATTGGATCAGATCCCAGCCCGCAGATAACGGCACTGGCGAAGCAAAAATCTATACGTGAGTAACTTATTAGTGCTGAGAATATCTACATATATGTTTTGTTGCACGGGACCGTAATTTATGATGCAGAGTTGAGGTCGGTATCGATGGGTCAGGGTCAAGAATTTCATGCTCGAAGGTTGATCTCGGACGCTATGAACGCTGGCGGTTGGGTGTTGCTACAGAATATACATTTATCGCTTCCTTTCTGTACGGAAGTTATGGACGCCCTCGTTGAAACGGAAAATGTTCACGAGGCGTTCAGACTTTGGATGACCACGGAAGTGCATACTCAGTTTCCTATCGGTTTACTACAGGTTCGTTTATCGAAGCTATCTAGTAAAAATCGTGTCCACTGTCGATGTTGTTTCAGATGGCGATCAAATTCACAAACGAGCCGCCTCAAGGCATCAGAGCCAGCTTGAAAAGGACGTATCAAGGCGTGACGCAAGACTTACTGGATTACAGTACACAATCGCAATGGCCTCCTTTGCTATACGCCGTTGCGTTTCTCCATACCGTGGTCCAAGAACGCAGAAAATTCGGACCCCTTGGTTGGAACATACCGTACGAGTTTAATCAGGCCGACTATGCCGCTTCGGTTCAATTTATACAAAATCACTTGGACGACATGGATCCGAAAAGAGGAGTCTCGTGGCCAACTGTTTGCTACATGCTCGGAGAGGTTTGAAAGTCTCTTCTTTTAAACAAGTATCAATACCAAAGTCCATACCCCTATTCACGCTGATGATTAAATCCTATTTCAAACAGCGCGTTACCTTACACTGCGGACACCGCAGATCTAAGAAACATATTCTATTCGCTGATCCCGTACAAAATTAAACCCAACATAAAAAAAAAACCCCCAGGTACAATATGGCGGCCGAGTCACCGACGACTTCGACAAGCGATTGCTGACTACGTTTACACACGTCTGGTTCTGCGACGTATTGTTGCGACCAGGTTTCGAATTTGATCGCGGATACAAGGTGCCGCAAACCAGAATTCTTCAAGGATACTTGGATTACATGGACAGCCTGCCTGCCACGGACACCCCGGAAGTTTTTGGCTTGCATTCGAACGCGGACATCACCTATCAAATAAACACAGCGAAAGGAATACTCGACACGATCCTAAGCGTGCAACCGAAAGAGGGTGGCGCGCAGGGTGGCGAAACCCGTGAAAACGTTGTGTACAAACTAGCCAGCGATATGTTAGCGAAATTGCCGAAACAGTACAACTCTTTCGAAGTGAAAGAAGCGCTGCAACGAATGGGAGCCTTGTTGCCGATGAACATATTTCTGAGACAGGAAGTCGACAGGTACCGGCATCTCCGTTCTTTCGTTTTCACGTATTTTCTTTTTCACGACGCGCCGATTTGATTCCAGGATCACGAGAGTCATCAAAGAAGTTCGTACCACGTTAACGGATTTGAAGCTAGCCATCGAGGGTACTATCGTGATGAGCCAGGGATTACGTAAATCGCTGGACGCGATGTACGATGCTCGGATACCGGAGAAATGGCTGAAAATATCGTGGGAATCGGCGACACTTGGATTCTGGTACACGGAACTTTTAGAACGAGACCATCAATTCAGACAGTGGTGCACCTGTGGCCGGCCCAAAGTCTTCTGGATGACCGGTTTCTTCAATCCTCAGGGATTTCTAACTGCTATGCGACAAGTTAGTTATAACGTGATATTTATTAATTAGTATGCAGTACTGTAATAATGTATGTGTGAAAATAAGCGTACGCGACGTCTTTTATATAAAAAAAAATCAAAAGGTTATCCCGTGTTGCAGGAGGTGACGCGAGCCCACAAAGGATGGGCCCTGGATTCCGTAGTTTTGCAAAATCTGATCACGAGGTTCAATAAGGAAGACATAAAGAACCAACCCCAGGAAGGAGTATACGTTCACGGTCTATTCCTAGAAGGTGCTTCGCTTGATCGTAAAACGGGCAAGTTGGTGGAAAGTAAACCGAAGGTTTTATACGAGCAGATGCCTGTGATTTACATTTACGCGATAAACACAACTGCGGGCAAGGACCCAAAGCTCTACGAGTGTCCCATATATAGAAAACCACAGAGGACGGATATGAAGTACGTAGGATCGATCGACTTCGAAACAGACCATAATCCACGACACTGGACGCTGCGCGGGGTAGCGCTTTTATGCGACATAAAATAAAATGAAATATTTCGTAAATTATATCACGTTCGTCACATTCCGTTTGGCTGTACAATGACGTGTGTTTAATAAAACTTCAACGCCGTCTCCTCCCTTCCAAGCACCCTTACAACGATGCCCTTGGAAAAGGGGGTGCGTGGCGTGTTGCGATCTAATTTCGTTAGATTGCACGAAGTGTGCCGGCTAAGACTAATTCGAAGGACCATCCCTTTTCAGGGGACTAAACGAGACTTGGTTTTTAATATTTATTTCAAACTCAACAAAAATTATATACTATATTGCAACGAATCTATGTGGTTTCTAAGACGAATCTAGAAACGATCTGCAGCGAGTCTAAAACGATTCCGCTCGGCGTTTCCGCCGTTTGCCATAACGTTGGCTTTTTGCATCCTCTTCCACTAACAAGGAACCATCGCGAACGGTCCGGCTTCGATTTTAATGAAACTTTGTACACTTATAAAGCAGCCAAAAATAATCGACACGTATTTTTTTTTAGCTGCGGTAACTCGAGTTTAAGGGGTGAAACCACCCCTTGAAGTTTTGGCTCGAAACGGCTATCTCGAAAACGGAAACACATACAAAAAAATTGTTAATGGGCGAGGTTGATGGTTTCTTATGTACAATAACATGGTGTTAAAAAATTTAAAAAAATACAATTTGTTTATAACAAAAGAAAATTTATTAACTTAATTTTTCATTTTATTGAAATTTTCATAATGACAAAAAATGACGAGCATTTTATTCCAAATCCATTGGTATGCGATTTTTTTAAATTGCCTCCTACAGTTTTGCAGATTTTGATTATTTACATCTTGCGCGCACATCCATTATGGTAGTAGCCGTTCTAACTTTGATTTTAATGAAGCACTGTAGGCTTGCACTAAATCAAAGTTAGAACGGCTACTACCATAATGGATGTGCGCGCAAGATGTAAATCATCAAAATCTGCAAAACTGTAAGAGGCAATTTTAAAATATTACATACCAATGGATTTGGAAAAGTTCGGCCACCCTTGGGAAAAATTTTAATGGGAGATTCTAGAGGCCAAAATAAGACGAAAATCAAGAATATCAATTTGTTGATTGAGCCTTCGTTAAAAAGTTATTAAAAAATTAAATCAAAAAATTTCAAATCCTCCAGGAAAAAATTATTTTCGGTTGCGGGGGCCAATTACAATCATTTTTGGTCAATACATATACCCACGAAATCCTACGCACTTTCGAGAAAAAAATTCCTAATCGAAAATGTAATTTATGGCCAGAAATGTTGTCCGAAAATTTCATGCGGATCTTTAAAATGTTATAACTTCTGAACGGATCGAAGGATTTTAATTTTCAAAAATGCAAACGACGCGTATTTTAATGAAGAATACGTAGAAATCGCAAAAATATGCAAAAAGTTGATCCTTGACCCCGCAAAATGAGAAAACCCCCATAAAAATGGTCCAATCTTCAAACAGCCATAATTCCTACAATAGTGAATATATTTCAATGAAACTTTTTTCTGAAGTAGAGCTCATAGGTACCTACAAAAAAGTATTGGCCAACTTTTTTGTAGGGCGTCAAACAAAATTATTAAAAATGAAAAACGAATTTTTAAGAAAAATCGACAGGGCGTAAGGTGCCTAAATTTTTAAGGAAAAAAAAAAAATTTCAAATCGTTCTAAAAAAATTATTTTCAGTTGCGGGAGTCAATTTCAATCATTTTTGGTCAATATATATACCCCCGAAATCCTACGCACTTTTGAGAAAAAAATTCGAGAATGTGTGAAACTTTTCAACAAAATTAAAAAATTTCAAACCATTCTGAAAAAATTATTTTCGGTTGCAGGGGTCGATTACAATCATTTTTGGTCATTACACATTCCCCCGAAATCTTGGGCATTTCGGAGAAAAAAATTCAGTACGGGCGGAACTTTAAACGTTAATAATTTCTTAACGAAGCCTCCATCAACAAATTGGTATTCTTGTATTTTTCCCGATTTTGTCCTCTAGAAGTAGTGCAAGCCTACAGTGCTTCATTAAAATCAAAGTTAGAACGGCTACTACCATAATGGATGTGCGCGCAAGATGTAAATCATAAAAATCTGCAAAACTGTAGGAGGCAATTTAAAAAAATCGCATACCAATGGATTTGGAATAAAATGCTCGTCATTTTTTGTCATTATGAAAATTTCAATAAAATGAAAAATTAAGTTAATAAATTTTCTTTTGTTATAAACAAATTGTATTTTTTTAAATTTTTTAACACCATGTTATTGTACATAAGAAACCATCAACCTCGCCCATTAACAATTTTTTTGTATGTGTTTCCGTTTTCGAGATAGCCGTTTCGAGCCAAAACTTCAAGGGGTGGTTTCACCCCTTAAACTCGAGTTACCGCAGCTAAAAAAAAATACGTGTCGATTATTTTTGGCTGCTTTATAAGTGTACAAAGTTTCATCAAAATCGAAGCCGGACCGTTCGCGATGGTTCCTTGTAAGGGTTTTCGTGGCGGAGGTGCAACGATGCCAACCGTAGCTTTGCGTTCGCTGGGGTCGCAACCACTCGAGACTGCCTTCGTCGACCAAGTTTATGACACTTTGTACTTGACGAAATTCTACGATATTTTTTGCCCGTGTTGGCTTTGACCAAACTTTACGAAAACGCGGTCCTGCTTCATAAACCTGGTTGGCTCACCGAAGCCCAAACACACAATGTAAACATACGTATTACGCATGTTTAAAATGCGCAAGTTTCAACTATGCCTGTAGGTGGAGACTTACATTTAATTATGAAAATGTATGTACAAAAGTCTTGCAAAACCATTAGTTTTACAAATGCTAAATAAATTTATGAGGTCTATTGATGTGCATCCTTACTTTTCGGTACTAATATTATAGAAGACGTCACAAACACGACAATGCAAACAGCTATTATCGCTTAATATTTACCATATTACATAACTGTACACACACAGTATTGAGGATGTTAATTAATGAAATATAATATAATTAATAAAATAAAGTGTATTTTCTGATTTAACAATAATTTCTCATCCATTGATGTTTTGTTTAACATAAAAATACTGTTCATAGTATTTCGAAAAAAAAATATGAGTGAAAAAGAAAAAAAGAAAATGTATAATTACATTAAGTTTTTTCAACATCAAAATAATATGTCAATGAAATGTATATTGCGTCATAAAAATAATATGTCCATTTGTAAAAATTCTGTTGATTGTCATTATCAACATTCAAATTTTTATTTCAAAAGAAGTATCATGGTATTAATTACTTTCAATATTGTGTAAAATGCAGCTTGTGCTTCTGTCTGTCCATTTGCAATTGCCGTAATTTCGGGAGTAGTATTAATTTTCATTCCTACACAATAATCGTCCGGAGATATGGTGTCTAAATAAAAAATCGAAATATCTAATTCTATAGTTGACAATAGTTCTTTAAAATTTGACATAAGATTTTCTACATATTCCACAGAAATATTACTATGATCTTGGGGAATAACAGCTTCTAGTTTTTGAATAATATCATTATATACTTCGGGAGTAAAAGAATTTTTTAACATCATATGATATTGCGATATTTTGGTGCCCAAGTTAACTTTTTTAACAAACGTCTTTGTTAACATTTTAAAATGATGCTTGGCATTGGCATTAGACTCCTCAATTTTTGCTTTTTTTTCCTCTACCTCTAAATGAGACAAGTCGAAATCTACTAAGTCAGTTATTTTATCTAACATTTTTTTAGCAGCCTCCTGCTTAGCCTGCTTTTTTGTTTTTGCAACTCCAATTTCTTTGAAAGTTGCAACTATGCATTGAATAGTAAAAATTTTGGCATGCGGTGGCCCAGTATTGCTAATTAGTACATATTCAGGTTCTTGTAGATTGTTCTCAATGCATATCTCCTACAACAAAGTATATCTAATTACTTTTGCCGTAATTCGGTAGAAAAAGTATATGCACATCCAGGGCTGGTACTACGTTTAGTAACAACTTGATGCAACAGCCAATTTAGATGTTACCTTTTAACTCGAATCATAAAAATTAAAAATAAATAGCACAAAGATTTCGTTTTATATCTAACGAACAAGATACGTACTACACAGTTTAGATGAAAAGTTATTCTCAAAAATGATAATTGTAGTCTCTGCATTAATCTTTTAAATTCTTCACGTAAAACAAGCCCTGTGAATATCACTTACTTTTAAAACACCTATGGCATTAACAAAGGGAAGATTTGGTGGAAGTCTTTCTACTTCTGGCACTGTTGGTATTAAAGGTGTTCTTAAAGGTGACTGTGCTGGTGATGCTGGTAATTGTGGATAACCTCTATGAGCTGCAATAGTTTGCAACATTGCTTTCGCAGCTTGATGCTTTGCATCTTTTTTGGATCGTCCAGTACCATTTGCAGTAAGGCCATCACATGTCACTTTATAAACAAATGTATTTATGTGTGTCCCACCACCATCATGTATAAGTTGATAATCAGGTACTATTTGCTTTTTGACCATCATTTCTTGCAGAATAGATATGGGTGTTTTACTCATATTGGTATACTACGAGCTTTTGTACTTTTCCTTTCTTATAATATATTGAAAATATATTGTTAATATAAAGCTTGTCAAACAACCCAAAGTGTGGATCTCGCCAGCAGTTCACACTAAATACCGACAGAGGTCTTTTAATTCTTACTAGTTCTCACATGCACTCAATGTTCACATAATTCTAAGTTTACGTTTTAGACAGACGTTTCGAACAAGAACTATAAGCTCTAACTAGAAGTGGTAGGCGCGCATAGTGGTGGGCAACTACAAATACTAAATCGATCACTAGGACCTAGTGACTAGGCAAGCGGAACAACGCATCACTGATTTGGTGGGGAGTGGGAAAATGAAAATGGAAGTGAAAGAGAAACATTCCTAGCAAACAGACTGTTCACCGATCGGGGTGAGTTATACATAATTCGATTCGTCTAATTCAGTACATTATTAATATGCATTTCATTATTTGCGGAAAGTCGTTATTTTTTTATGAACTGATTGTAAAGTTACAGTAAAAAAGTAAGGTTAAGTATATGTTTTGACAGGTTCACAGGTAGAAACTAGTGACTATCGTTGCTATGTTCATCTTACAAATTATAAATGATTGATTTGATTTAATAATGCTAGATTGTCAAATGGGAATTTGTAGAATTACTAATTAAGTTTTTTTTTGTTTTTTTTTTTAGGAATTGTATAATGATTGCATTGGACAAACATACTTCTCTGCTATTCTTCCTTTTATGCGTTTGGAAATTTAATGCCATTGAAAGTTCTCCACCGGTAGTTTTATGGCATGGAATGGGTAAAAATCTATATTACTTTTCAGTGATATGCATGTGTACTTTGTTCTATATTTGTCAAACACTTATGCAACAAAATTATAATAAGAAAAGTATATACAAGAATTAGGTGTGCGAATAAGTTCAATGCTATTCTAACAAAACTAAACATTTATTGACAAAAAGTTATTTATAATGTAATCATTCAAGTATGTATTCCCTATCATTTTCGATAACCTTGCCTTATTTTTCAAGCAGATGGTGAATATCCTCATGAGAAAATTAAGGCGGTTTTTGAGTCGATGCATTTTCAGACTTCATTGATCAAATGAAAATGTAAGTCAATAAAATGATGTTGCAGTGATCGGAATTGGTGATAATCGGATTGGTAATGATGTTTGATATGGTGAATACATCGCACATAAGAGAACTTACCAGCTTAACGTATAAAGAAGGTCTTTTGATTCTTTTATGATATGTGGCTGAACGTTTTCTGGCTACAGTATAACTTGACTGGTTCTGTTAATAATATGTATAATGTAAGGGAAGAATCATTCATTAGAATTTGTTAAACTTTTTAACATGAGTTCATAAAAAACTCGGTTGTAAACAAAAAGTGATTACGACTCGAAAAGGAAGTATTTTTTATTCTCATGATGAGTTGGTAATATGTCTTAAAGTTTAGTTCTATATTTCAGAAATATTTTGTAGTTTAGGAAAATTTTTAGTTAAGATTAATGGAAATTAAAGTAATTATGCACAATTGTCATAGTATTGCTGGATGATTGTTTTACAATAATTATATTGAGTATACAATATTATAAGTAACTTTGTTAATGACATGTTAATGTTTTATTGTAGTTATTATTTTATTTTAATATACTTAATCATACTCTAATTAAAGTACAAATAACATTTCACAGGAGATAGTTGCTGTTTTTCGTTCAGCTTGGGAGCAATAAAAAAGTTGATAGAGGCAACTCTACCTAACATCTACGTTTATTCCATTCGTCTAGGAAACAACGTAATAGAGGTGAGTCTTCAAATTTTAATTATCATAATAGAGAACTGTTAGTATTATATGCATACATACCTTAGTTGAACCTATATCTTAATTTTTAGTTCAACGGATGTATAGAATAATTTATTATTTATAAAATGGTAAATGTGTGTGCATGATACACATCAAGATATTGTAATAATGTACAATTAATTTATTAAAACTTGATGTCAATATTTTAGGATGTGGAACACAGTTACTTTGGAAATATTAACCAACAAATATCACAAGTTTGCGAGCAACTATCAAAGGATAAACATCTCAAAGATGGTTATAATGCTATTGGGTTTTCTCAAGGTGCTCAGTTTATGTATGTATTCTTTCTAAAGTAATCCTATTTATTTACCGTAAATGTTGGATATATGTCCTAACACCAAGACCCCAAACCAGGCATTTATAGACTAGATGGATCGATTCGAATTAAAGAAACAGACAGAATCGACTCTTGAACAGAGTAAAGTACAGTGAATAAATTAGCTGCCGAAATTAGTGGTATGTCAAGGGGAATCTCCAAGGGGAGATACGGAAATGTCTCAAAGAGCATTTAAGCTGTAGATCTGTTCAGGCATATATCCAACATTCGTATTATATCAATATTGTGAATTTTGAAAACCAATTTTCAATGTAAAATAAACTGTAATAGAATTGTTTAACTATGTGATTTGTTATGTAATTAACCTTACGTACAAATGAATTCCTTCTCAATTAATGCATTGCAGGAGAGCTGTGATTCAAAGATGTCCGAATCCTCCGGTTATGAATTTCATTTCTATGGGTGGTCAACATCAAGGTGTTTTTGGCTTACCAAACTGTGGAGCTCTGGGGAATAACACTTGCAGTTACATGTCTCGCATGATCAAATATGGAGCATACTTGAAGTACTTAACTTCTTTGATAATACTTTTCTGTTCAGCTGTATTAAGTTAAAAGATCATTCGATTATAATATTAAGTATTAAAATTTACAGACTTCACTTTCTTTTTATGTTATATTGTTGTATTATAATTCTATGTTTTTACTGTTTTAAAATAGTAGTATTCGTCTCGCTGTAATTGTACATTTTAAATAATGCGTAATACTTAAAAAATGTATGTATTTTTTTTAATTTTTGCTTAAAGTGTTTTTTTTTACAAACTCATAGTATTATTTTACTTTATAATAGGCTTGTCCAAGAAAAGCTTATTCAAGCAACATACTGGCACGATCCATATCAGGAGAAAGAATATAAGGAGAACAGCATATTTATGGCAGATATTAATAACGAACTTCATATTAATCAGGTATGTCATCAATCATTTAATTACAAAGAAATATTTTTATTTAGGATATAAAAATTGATTTATTACTCAATTTTTTGATTAATGTTGATTCACGATACCATTACTGTAAAACCAAATATCTTTTGAATTGCATCAAGTATATTCACTTTTTATGTTCGTGCCTTGTATACAGAGAGACAGTAAAACGATGCAAAAGCAAACCTTTACCCTCGCAGCATAGCTCATACTAGGGTCTGTGGTAAAAGTATTTAAATTTCTTTCTAGACCTACAAAGACAATCTTCAAAAGCTACATTCCATGGTATTAGTAAAGTTTACTAATGACACCATAGTTTGGCCAAGAGAATCAGAATGGTTCGGATTCTATACGCCAGGCCAAGGAACTAAAATTCAAACCCTGGAAGAAAGTGATTTATATCGCACGGTATAACAATTGAATAATTTAAATATAATACTTTTGAATTCCTAACTTCATCCTTGTTAGTAAATAAGTGCATTAGAAAATCAAACAAAATTATATATTATTCCTGTGTAAATATAATAAATGATGAAAATATCCTTTTTTTAGGATCGTCTAGGATTAAAAATACTACATAAATTAGGAAAATTGTATTTCCTTTCTTCACCTGGAAATCATCTACAATTCACAGAAAGTTGGTTTGTTAACAATATAATTAAAGTATATTTGATGTAATAAACATTCAATTAATGAATTTAAACAAATTGTTGTATTACCGTAATATTTTGTTTATTAATATCTGTAATAAGTAATTTTATACAATAAATATTATATTTTATATGCATATACAATATGCTCTGTTTGCGCTAAAGATACATCTACGAGGGAAAATTCTAGTGCGCATGCCCAAAATTCCCACGAATGTCCATCACTGCCTCCGGGATGCTATGCGAGAATGCGGCCACCAGTCTTAGGCTGATGACCGTATCCCAACGGCTGTCCCTATCCGCCACGTAGGGGTTCATCTCCCCCTTTCTTTTTTTTTTCAGTGTTAACATACAAATACATATTCTCATGCATACAGTCATCCTCACATTTCCATGTTTAGATGAAAATCGGAAAAATGTTGGTATTAATTTCCATTTTGGTACTTTGTTGGTTAGATCATACCAAAATCTGTAAAACCTTCGAAGATAATTTCGGTTTTAAGACCCTGATTTAAAGTACGGTAACATAAAGCATACTCTTTTTCTTTGTAAATAATGATTCCATAATATATGTGTATAAAAATATTATAAAATTAATCATAACTCTAAAAGTAACATGAAATATATCACTAACAATCATCTTGTATTACACAATTATTTTTCTGTTTCACTTCAAATTTAAATATAGAATATAAAAATAATAAGATTAGGAATAACATAATTTAGATTTCAATGATAACTACTATCAGCGATAAATGTTATGTTCTTTTTGCTGTTAAATTGTGTCAACATTTTGTCAAATATATATTTTTTATTTACTTTAAATTATTTAATTTTAATTGATATTATAATGTATTAAATTTATTACAAGTTGTTACACAGGTTTGAAGAACATTTAATGAAAGAGCGCTTTCTGGAATGGAAATTCATTTACCGCTGACATACCATCGGAAGTCTTTAACACTTGAGAATTTCGACAAATTTAAAATTCACTCCAAAAATTTTGAGAACCAGTATTGTAATATATACATAGCAAGATTAAGAGCATTGAAGGAGTATCTCCTAGAGAAAGTGAAGATCAAATGGGGTAAAGTCTTATTCGGGTTACGCCGGTTATCGTTTTAGGTTATATTTTTAAAACGTATTTTTTATTCTAGCACAATATGAAATTATTACATTGTCAGAACTTTCTAAAAGGAATCAAAATGGTGAATGTATCGTAATAGGAATATTATATAAACATCAGGAATTAAAGCCATCAGTATTGCGCGAGCTTAGCGACGAACTTCAAGTGACGCCCCAACCACCTAGGACGAATTATGCATCATTTAAAGACTTATTATTTTTGGAAGATGAAATGTTGCGTGTTAAATTGGTCGGTAATCGAATGAATGTTCAAGATGTAGTTACTGGTATTGTTTGTGCTGTACTTGGACATGAATTAGAAAATGGTGAATTCACAGTAAATATCAACACCATTTTATAACAAACGGTTTAACAAAATAATCGTATACACAAAAATTAAATTACAATGTAATTGAAGCAGATTTTAAAATTTTAATTCAGAAACTTTCCAGTTTTGTAGTATCAAATATATTGATTGTAGGTGATAGATTGGTGTTTTCCAGGATGTTGTCCAAAATTAACAACAGTTGATAAACCATTAAAATCATGGGGGCAGATTTTAATAATTTCAGGCTTAGATTTAGCAAATAATACACAACCATTAAGTTTAAATCTATTATCCGAATGGATAATTGGAATGATTGGATGTACAGAAATTCAGAAAGAAGTGGCATCTATTGTGTGTATAATTATAGCAGGTATATAACTTATACTAATTTGTACAACAATATTCGAAAATAAGTAATTCAATAATGATACTAATGTAGGAAATAGTGTAAAAGGATCTATAGAGACTCACAATTATGCAGGATACTATGAAACTAAAGCACACGATGAAACTCTATTAAAAAATGCTACAATGGTAACACATAAACTTGATAATTTCCTTCATTCTATAGTGCAATGTTGCCCCGTAATATTAATGCCTGGTGAATTTGATCCAACTTGTCATACAATACCTCAACAACCATTTCATCCCTGTATTTTGCCTCAATGTTTCAGGTAATGTAATGTAATGTGTTGATATTATACATAGTAGGAAAATATTGCTTACACTTATGTAATATAGGTTTAAGAGTTTCTATGGAGTCACTAATCCATGGATTGGTAGTATCAACTCTCGAATTATAGCTGGATCTAGTGGCCAACCCGTTATGAATATTATGAAGGTTGCCGGGCTTACGGATATTTCGCCATTAATGTGGTTAGAACGTACGTTAGAATGGCAACATTATGCACCAACTCTACCAGATACTATACCAGGCTATCCATACTCCAAGGTTGATCCATTAATTATGACAGATTGTCCCGACATATACTTTACTGGTAATATGGACAAATATGACACCAAATTAGTAACAGGTAAGAATATTTTTAATTCATTTTTATTTCTACATTATGGAAAAGAAAATAATTTTGATAAAATAGAATATATATTCGCAGCAAATGAAGGACAGGTAGTAAGGTTGATTTGCATTCCAAAATTTTCTCAGACACAAACAGGCGTGTTGGTCGATTTACAGGATTTAAAAACTAGGCCTATTTCTTTTACCGTTACTTAACTTACAGGCATATTTAAGTAGTTGTATTTTAAAATTGCCACGCGAGGCATTAACGTAAGTATCCAATAATAAATTTGCAAAAGAAATTAATGATCAACAATTTATGTTATATGATTCTAACATAATTTGTACATAGTAAATACATTATTTATTCTACTGGGCATTGTATTTAATTGTTCGTACCTTTTTCATATTTACGCATTGTCTTTCTTTGATAATTGAATGTCATAATAAAATTGTAATTTTGTTAATGATATTTGTTTATGTTAAAAATGAAAAGTAGGAAAAGATTATGTCCGTATATTCTGTTTTACTTTTCATTTATATATGTATATCTAGAAAAAACAAACATCATTTAACAAATTATGATATTGTGTTTTATAAATTTTCCATGTTTCCTTACATGAATAAAATTATAATTTAGATTATAAGTACTACATTAATCCTCGCACGGCGATCATAGGTCATTTTTAACTTATACTAAAGTCTCGGATTTCGGAGCACATTCTGAATTAAATTTTAAATTTAATTATGTTTTAAGTTTTGAGTCAAAAATGATTCATGTTCGACATACGAGAGTAGGTAGTATTTACTTCGATAGTTGGAACAATACACCATGCATTTTATAGTTACAAAATAATCTGGAGTATAATATCTTTATATGATACATATGCACAATAATATTGACATTTTTTAATACTAAAATACTGCTTTGTTTTATGAAAATACTAGTATTCTTTGGCACAATAGTTTCTATAATACTTATTAAATAGTAATAAAATAATAATATAAATATAAATAATATTTAAATTCAGCATTTAATTTATACGTTTTTATGAAATAGATTGGACTAGAATTTTGATAAGAAATTTTAGTAACATGACTTTCAAATAATTGTGATACTACAACGAATTTAATATTTGGTAGTAATCTTCATCATTTCAAAGGCCTGCAAAGTTTTTAAAATTTTAATGTCTTATGAATGATATTAAAAATTAAAATTTTCCTAACTACAAGATTTCGAAGGAATTGGAATATTCATATTTAGGCAACTAGTCTTGTTATTGGATGATTCATGAGATTCAGCAACTTCAGCCTGTTGATTCATAGTTTTCTCCTCATTTCTCATTGCACATATCACATCTGTGAGGGCAGCTATATAATTCTTTGCTAAAGTTAAGGTTTCAATTTTTGAAAGTCGTCTTTCTTTGGTTACATGTGGAATTACTTCACGTAAAGACTACAAAGTATAATACTTTAAACTTTCTTAGAAGTAAATAACTCTACATAAAAAGTATTAAACATATTTTTACCTGAAAAGCATCATTTAAACTATGCATTCTCATTCTTTCTCTTTCATTACTTTCCAATCTTCTGAGAGTTCTCTCTCTAGGTGTAGATCCTCTAGATGGTTTTGATAATTTTAAACCTGACTTTTCAGCCCTCTTTCTACTTGACTGTACTGTTTTTCTAGCTTGTGATTGTTGTTTTGGCCATTTTTCCTCCCAACTGTCACTGTTCATTACTTTGGATCTCATTTAAAAATATACCTTTTAAAAATAATTAATATTACTAAATAAAATTACATTATTGCTAGCTAATTTGTTGTTTGTATTTGTTTTCATGATCGATTTATTTAATTGAACTAATAAATTAATATATTGTACATAATAGATGGTGAAATAATTTGGCATTGTAAACAGTGTGTCAAAGTAAATACATGGGCACAAAATAACAAGTATCTTTAGTTATATAAAAAGGTTAAATAACATAAAAAAACAACTTAAATTAGAAAATATTAAATGAACGTGGTAATACTTACAATTTATTAATGCAATGTTTACTGACGATGATCAATAAAGAAATGAGGTAAATTCAATAATATATTTCAGTTTTTTAATATTTTTAATTCGCAAATTTTCGTTGGGTTCTTTTTCGATGTATTTGTGAATAAAATAAAGTAATAATAACTTATATGGTATGATACATTTTCGAATATTTGAACTATCTGCACGATACCGCGTGTACTTGTTGAGCCACGTTGGAACGACGACTGACGTCGTGACGCCGGGGTGCGGCCGAAACAGCCTTCCACCCCCGGGAACTATGCGATCTACCCTGTGACCTTTTCTTAATAATTTTTCTACGATGGTTTATTAACATTATTTTATAGCATAATATTTCTATTGAAGAACACTACATGTTTAGCGTAATTTCGATTGAAATATATTGCTCATCAAATTGAAATATTTATAATATTCTATGAAATTGTAGTCCATTATTATATGATGGGTTGGAAAAATTATAACATTACGTGCAATAAAATGTGTACGCATTAAATATAAATCTGTTAATGTATATATTCTAATATAAAAATATTTAAGCGATATAAGAATTACGTTTTTAACGCACACCTATTATACAACACATACGAAGCTTTGTACGTATGCGCGGCTACAGGTGGGCGTATGACGTAATTCGCCCACGCGGTTCCTTCTATCTTTCTATAATCACACTACCCCCCCGATCAGGGCAGCAAGAAATATCCAAAGTAAATGGTACGCGTCTATTACTCACGATTAGGTTCGATCATATGTAAACCGAAATACGTTAAGAAATAAATATTTACTTCTATTTTCACTGAATTAATTTGAAAAAAACTTTGAAATTTATTATTGGAAACGTATCCAATTATAATAAACGAACAGAAAAAATTTAAATTTCTAGCCAAATAACGGGATTTCCATATTTGTTCAGTTATAAAGTGGAAATAATAAATAAAATAGATCAAATTTTAAGACCTTTCAAATACAAAATTTTGCAACAATATTACATATCAATTTTTATTGTCATGTTTTATCTTTACATTTACCACAACAAGTATCAGTTTGTTTTTCTAAATCAGATTCCTTATGGTTAGGAGTCCATGATCCAAGGCTAGCTGAGGCATAGAAGTCCATAGGATACGGTTTATCAGTGTTAAAGTTTACCATGTTTAAAGTAACAGCTCCCTCATATGGTGTAAGGAATGGTTTATCAAAAGCTGTACCCCAATCTATACTCAATCGTGGGCATGCAACCTATTTTCATAATTTTTTATTTTTATTTTTCAGTACGATATTGTAACGTTTATTACCGAAAACTAAAGAATTGTAAAGATAAATTTATATTACCTGTATAAAGGCATCAACGCCCTTAAATAGTTTAATTTTATCTGGGAATATTTCTGAGAGTAATATAATAACATTTTCCTTTCCTAATGATTTAATTTTATTTTCCAAATTTTTTAAAACATTGATACTTCCTTGTCTTCCCAAAGTACCAAGTATCAGTCCAAACCTACCAGTTTCTTTTGCATGTTTAATAGCCATTAATCTATTATCTAACATTTTCTCATGATTATAAAATTCTTCAGTTAGTTTTTTCTCATAGGGATCATATCTGAATGCTTGTAATTTTGGATTAGCGATCATTGCAGCTTCTAAATGAAATCGACCATCTCCCACATAAATAATTGAATCAGCACATCGAATTTGTGGTGCTGTGCAGCCTAAAATCTATGTAAAAAGTATGAATGTCCTTTATTATGTTGTTCAAAGTTAAATTACAGTTTATTTCATTTTAATAGAATAAATTAATATAAATACCTCCCCAGGGCTTAATGGTTTACTTTGTGGAGTAGACACATCATATCCACTTTTCTTCATTTCTAACGCGATTGCTTGTAAAGTACCAGCAAATTGGATTGTACTTACAAGAGCTATTTTTCTAGTAACAGGTAGCGTAGCTTGTAAACACTCGATGCAATGTGATGTATCAATTTTTATATTAACAAATACATAAAGTACTTTGATGCCAACTGTTTGATCAATAGGTATTAAACAAGAATGTCCATAATGGATCAAAAAATCTGCATCTAGTGCTTTTGCACTATAATCATCTATACAACATGCTCCTACATATAACAATTTAATATCTATTAACATTCTTTCAATAATTGTACTTTGATTATATTAAATAATTTTCACATTTTACAATCATAAATATACAGGCTGTACCAGATTTCAACACTCAAATTTTGTCAGCATATACTTTGGGTAAAAATAAGAAAAAGATGTTACGTAAACGTATGTTATTCAAAGTTATATTCAAAAGTTATGATACAAATATGACATTAGAATGAAATAGTAATACTGTGATACAATATGAAAATATAATGACAATATTTGCACTTAGTCTATCTTAATGTAAGTTCATAAATATTTACTACCTGAGTATTTACTACTATTTCATTTCTATCATAACTTTTGAATAGGACTCTAAACAACATATATTTATATAACATTTTTTTTTTTACTTAAATCTGACAAAGTTTAGCCATTAAACTCTTCAATACACTATATATTAGATATAAACAAAAAATTGTCTAAATTCCATATTACATTACAGTTCCTCACCGTAAGTTACATCTGCCATTATAACTGTTTCTGCACCTGTAAAATCTTCTATAATATCGGCTATAGTTGTAGCATACATTAAAAGTCCTTCAGGCATTTGTAATGCAACTCGATTAGCTTGTGCCTCTTTGATTCTCCATATTGATTTGTGGATTTCAAAATTGTAATTAGAAGGTAATGCAGCAATAGCTGCATTTAGTAGTGGATCGTTTAAAATTGCTTCTGGAATTTTATTTACTTTAACTGGAGCTTTAAATATTTTGCGAAGTGATTTTGCTTTAACTATCACAACAGAGTCACACTTCTCATTCATAATTGCAATTCTCACTTATAACGTTATTAAAACTACACTGATTTATGGTCATATGTTGTTTATACAAACATCAAACTTTGAAAATATTTTTTTATTTATAATATACGTTTTACATATAACGTGCAATTTTCATAATTCACAATTGTTTCCCTAGTTTGTATTAATTTTAATATAAAAATTAAAATGTCGTTTGTGCTTAAGTTATTTATATAAATAGAGGTTATGAACCAGCTGTCGAATTGTACAAATCGTGAGGCTGGATTTGACAGTGTCAAATTGACACGTGACAACCGTCAGCAACGCCCTCTTAATTTAATTGCAATTTATAAATATAAATGCATATACTCAACATTACTACATAGATAGATTTCAAAACAGTATAAAAGTTTAATGAATAAACCGAATTATTAATAGCAATTACTTCATTGTTAATATTTAATTATTATAAATACTTCTTCAAAAGAATATGTTTCGTAAATTACATAGTGGATGTCCACAATTGTTATAATTTACCGTTTGAATTTATTTTAAAATGTTTTAACATGTTTAGTGTAACATTTTCCAAATTATTTTTGTTACGATAATGCTCAAGTCTTAAATTTCAGTAAAAAAAAAAAACTACTCAGGTCCCACCGAGATTTGAACTCGGATCGCTGGATTCAAAGTCCAGAGTGCTAACCATTACACCATGGGACCACTTGTACTTAACGTTTTTATTATTAGTACATTAAGTAATAAATAATGATATCCCCTATTAAAAGATATTTTCATATACATTAAATATTTTGCTAAATGTTAATTACTTTTAAAATATATTAAATAATACCTATTTACTGTCCATTATTGCTACAATAGATATGCGAAATATTACAATTGTAAAATATGTAACTATTAATATATTTTGTTTTATATATATATAATTCTAATATCTTGATTGTAATGTTGACTAACAAACAATAAATTGCATTTTTTTGAGAAGTAGAGAAAGCATTAATGTGTTCTTTATCAAATACGTTGCTAAAGTTTAACTTATTACATTATTAAAGTTCCATTCGCATAGGATAATAATTCTTTATGGAAAAATATCGCTTGTTATGCAGTATAATGCATAATGTATTATTTATTTCTTGTATAATGTAAAACGTACAAAGAAATAAATTATTATTCTTTTTGCTTCTAGATAAATAAGGTGAATTGGCATGGGTTGAGCATAAATTTTTAGAAATAAAAATTGTTGTAATTTAGTCGAGTTTGTGACAACTTGTACATATTTAATGTATACAGGATGTTCGGCCAACCCTGGGAAAAATTTTAATGCGAAATTCTAGAGGCCAAAATAAGACGAAAATCAAGAATACTAATTTGTTGATTGAGGCTTCGTTAAAAAGTTATTAACGTTTAAACTGCGTGCGCGTGATAGGATGAGGCAGGTCAGTCCTAGTGGTTCTCACTCACAAAACTGTGAGGCTGTCGATACGTCAGTAGGTAGAATTTCTTATGCTGAGTGAGAACCACTATCATGCGCACGCAGCTGTTCGGAGATTATCGTATTACAGACGGAATTTTAAACGTTAATAACTTTTTAACGAAGTCTCAATCAACAAATTTATATTCTTGATGATTGTCTTATTTTGGTATCTAGAATCTCTCATTAAAATTTTTCCCACGGGTGGCCGAACACACTGTATATATTTTATATTATCAATAGATAAGTAAAATTTTTCGGATGAAAATGAATCTAAACACGATTTTATTTGGATTAGTTTCCATTACACATATGTGGTTGAAAGTTTTTTAGGAAAACGGAAAACCCTTGTTATATCTCTCATGAAGATATAATGAGTAATATGTAATATAAAAGATTTTTGTTTACCTAGTTGTTACATCGATACACGTATGGTTTTCAGTCACGTTTTTAAGTCACTCAACAGGATTTTGTTTTCACAGCTGTTATCCGCTCTAGCTAAAAAAAAACATAAATCGTGGTAAAGATGTTTTCATTATAGTTATCCGAGGTAAAACCCATGGAACTATCCGAGCATATTACATTGCAACATTTCGTCGTTGTACATTTGTTATATTTTACAACTTCGATGATTAGGTTAAATACAGAGTCTCATTATATGCAAAATACGCCACAAAACCACTGACTTTTCACAAAGTTTGTACATACGTCAGTTGCGTGACACCAGTTTGTATAAAATGCCAGATAGGTCTAACCTATACCTAACCTGTGACACCTGTGTTTGCTTTTGCTCAAGCCTTCCGTATGATAGTGGCCAATAAGTATACAGTCACGTCCCTGAGTTCCTACACCCAACGACCCAACATTAAAGTGCGTTAACGTCGTCACCCTTGCTATTTTACGACTTCGCTACACATATTCCTTTCACCAAGTACACATTAATTGTTATTTTAATTAAATAAATTCGTTTAAAAAATAAATAAGTTACATTCTATTTTACATAAATTTTAATATCTGGTAATTAAAAGATTAACGATCACATCTGCTAGTACTATTTTTTTGTTTCCTTGACGTATTTGCTATACATTTATTACCGTATGACACTTATTAGATGGACTAAATTATAATCATTATCTTATGAAACCGCAGATTTAAAAAATATCTGATTAATTATACCTGATTATAATCATAGACACCGCAGTTTTTTCGTAAAATTGTTAATACTGGAAAATAATAATCATTTCTATTTCATTTAACTACTATTAAATCAATTTTTTGCACACAGATTCTCTATATTACACATTATTTTACAAATACGGCAAAAAATGTGAAAATTTACTTAATCGTTTGTCTAATATATTTATTTTAAAAACAGTGTATTCAACTGCACTTTTCAGTCAACTCTATAGTTAAATGCATATGATGTGGCGCTAATCAAAATGTCACAGACTGGAGCGATCGTCTAGCCAGGGTATATGTGTGCGTGTGTGCGTGCGTGCGTACGTGTGTGCATGCATTTAGTGTATTGGAAGTAGAAAGAGAGCAACAGAGAGAATAGAGGGGCAAGAATAGAACTGGGTTTGGCAAGCGTGGTGATTTTACACCTACCTTTTAACCGGACCGTGGCCGATTGTATTGTATCCGTTTCACGATACGTATCATGCTTGGCCCAGGTGGTTTCCCTAAGAAACGTGTATTTCTGTTTTACATATTATTGCAACATTTTATCATTGCTGTGACGGAGTCATTCAACAACATTCCGTACGACCGAAGCTAGTTTCCAATAAAGTGTAGATATAAAAATATGAAATTACGGAAAGTTGTGATATGTATGTCGTAAAATTGGAACGTCTAACGACTTAATAAAACATTCTGTTTTTACAATTACACACCGTCTTGAGGAACCCTAAATTTTTAAGAATGACTTAAATGGATTGTGATCATCATTAAAGAGCTTCAATGCGCGATGTTGAATATTATATTATGCTGGATATGTTGGCTGTTTTGGGCGGGTCTACCGACACTTACCGCTTATCCTGTATCGTCTTCAATACGTACAGGTATGTTAACTGTGTTTCAACGTGTATTTTAGTAGCACATAACAAATGAGAGGTTATTTCATTTGTAATAGATTTTCCATACATCTATACATCATCAAAATGGGAACGATATTGGATACAGTATACAATTGGACTTTTAAGCGTGACTGCTACAGCATTTACTTTAGTTGGATGTCTTTGTTGTCGAAGGCCAAGACGACCTAAAGGATTTCAGGTAATTTATTATCGGTCGTAACGCTATATGTAACAGATAAAAGACATGGTTACTTATCGTCTTAACAATGATTTATACATTTCTAATTGTAGGACAAAGCAGAAAAGTGCAAACAGGTAACTTTGATGCTACAAACCCTTTGAACTAAAAATTTTAGAACAATATTGCTAGAAAGTAATAAAAGATTTAACAGTGACTCTCTTTATTCGAATATTAAAAATAGAATAAAAACACGAGCAAGAACACGAGAGAATCATTGAAACGATAATTGAGTAACATATTTTTACTTGGTCAGTTGTGCTTTTAAATCATTATATTGCAATTTATAAGGATGTAACAGAAGTTTAAAGAATTGCTATAGAAATGTAATTATTATAAAAGGAATTAATGTTTTACTGAACATATTATTCTTATAGAAAGAGTCATAAATTAATAGTTTATTGTTTTAAAATTTATTATTTCTAAAAACGCATAAAAACTGTTTAACAATACAATATTTTGGAAATAGTGAATGTACAAAAAATTTTACTGTATCTTTTTTTAATGTTTCAAAGCAGTTGCATGTGTATTATTTACAAGTAGTAAAATATATATTGAATGCAGATAATCAAAATTATATCTATAAGCATATGTGTAATAGTACTTAATACTATATGTATATTAATTTTTCATTTTTTAGAATACTTATTTTTTTTCTAATTTTTGTAATGTAGTTTTGGAGAATATTATCGTCTTTTTATGTTTTAGGAGTTCAAAGATGGGAACAACATTGGACAGGAATCAACGTTTGAGCACTCTGTCGAAGGTTTAGAGTTAGATGTTCCACGCATGTTAGCTGTTGCAGACAGAGTACAGTTTGAACCTATACCTGTAGACCATATTATATCTGGATCTAAAAGTTCTTCAAAATTTAAGCCATTGCCGCTATCGTCATCATTTTTTGAAGAGCATGATTCTGATTCTAATGTACTCCCAGAACCTTGTCGTGAATGGTTTGAGGCACAAGAGTTATCTATACCAAGAGAAAAGTTAAAATACTTAAGGGAGATTGGTCATGGTTGGTTTGGAAAAGTTGTAGAGGGTCAAGCAGATTTAGAAGGCTTTAACAGGACTTCAAAAAATGGAGGTGTTGTCGTGAGAATTCTCACAGAAGAAGCTACTTCAAAAGAGAAAGCCTGGTTTCTTGGCGAAGCTACACCATATTTAAAATTACACCATCAGAATGTTTTGACTCTGTTAGGTTTTTGCTTAGAAACTGACCCATATCTGTTGTTATTCGAATCGTGTCCAGTTGGTGACCTCAAAGGTTTCTTGTTATCAAATCATGATCTGAAATCTCAAGAAGCCCTTAATAAAGAAAATATTCCAGTTCGCATGGCGCTGGATATCGCAGCGGGTTTAAAACATATGCATAGTCATGGATTTGTACACACAGATTTATCTGCTAGAAATTGTTTAGTAGCATCAGATTTATCAGCAAAATTGGGAGATTATGGAACCGGCGTAGAAAAATATCCTGAAGATTATTACGTGGTCGGAGACCGTGCATTGCCTATCAGATGGTCAGCACCGGAAAGTATAGAATGCACTGATACTACTATTGAAACAAGAGAGATTACATCTCAAGCAAATATGTGGAGTTATGCTATTTTGCTTTGGGAAATTGCTACATGGGGAAATAGACCGTTCAATGATAAGAGTGATGAACAAGTAATTCAAATGTTGCTATCTTTAAGAACTGATTTCTTGCCAAACGGTACACAAGTGCTGCAAACCTATCTAGAAAATTGTCCATCAAATGTAATCCAAGCAATTCATTTATGTTTGAATTTAAATCCACAGAAAAGATCGAATTTGGATGAAGTGAAGCAACTCCTTCTGAACAATCGTACAGAGTATTTAGACTTTGAACAAAGATGGGAGAAATTGCGGGTTAACATGACTAAAAATGTACGTAGTGCTAGCTTACAAGATCTCAGAGGCAGTATTGATTCAGATTACTGGACTACTATTATTGACGATACATCGCGTCAATCGTCATTTCGTCTTGGGCCTGGTGAATTAGTGAAAAATGTACCACACGTTAGAAATATTGTGGTTCATCATGAATCTAGTTCTGAAACTGAAGAAGAGAGTTGGAAAGGACGAATTGAACAAGGAGTTTATACTGAAAAAGTAAAACAAAAATCTAAATCTGTTACTGATTTAATGGTGCTTGTACATATTGATCTTGATTCCGATGCAGAATTATCAATGGGAGCTCAAATATCAGAAAAGCATACAAAGAAAAAATTGTCTGCTACTGGTAGCGATAGTGATCTTAGACATAGTACTCGTGTAGATGAGTTTGATGAAGCATTGAGAAAATTACGAGATCCTTTACCAAATAACGCTTCAAGTAAGATCAAAATGTTAGATAATTCAGAACGGCCAAAATTGCTGACATTAACTATGGATCAGGGTCAAACGCCAATTTTAAGGCTATCTTTAGATGATAAAGAACCTACTATAGAAACTGATCATGCACCCATTGCAAGTACAAGCACGGAAACTCATAATATTAAACATGTATTGCGACTTGTATCAAAAGGAGATCCTAATCTTCCTCTTCTTCGTTTTGTACCTGATAATACATCTTCTTTTGAAATGTTGAAACAAAACGACGAGTCTCAACATAATGATGTATCTAAACACGAAGACAATGACAATACTTGCTTTTCTAATAATTTTTCAGTTAATTTTGAGGCAGACGAAAGCAACTTAGTTGATGTTATACTTTGGAATCATGCATTGGATTCTGCTTTAGAACAGAAAGTACCTGGCTTTTTGTATGAAGGTGAATTCAATGAATGTACAGAATCGTCATCTAAGCGACAAAATAATAGTATGCCAGAATTAGTTGTAACTACTGAGTCTATGCCAGATACATCAAAATCTCATACAAAATATTCTGCATATAATGCAGACGATGAATTTTCTAATGGAGGAGAAATGGACATAGAACGAAGGTGTTTACCAAATGATGATGAAGAAGAAAGAAAACAATTATCTACTCCCGATGATGAACAAAGCTCCGATTCCGGTTTTAGAGATAAAGAATCTTGCGAGGAAGAAGAAAATGTTTGTCCGTCTTCAGCTCCTTTATCTTCTACTATTGATTCTACTACAGTTGTACCAATGTGTACTGAAGAACAACAGTTACAGGTTTTATTTGAGCTAGACACAATTCTTGATGCCGAGTATTATGCGACGATACAGGGATCTGAAAAAATAGCTGAAAATTTACCCTCGATTAAAAATACGGAAAACAGTGTTTTTCATATAAATGAAGAGGAGTCTGGTTCTATCGAAGCTATAGCTACTGTAGTTGAAACAGAAAACGACGCTAAGAAATTAATGCCAGAAGACGAAAAAGAAACACAGACAAAAAATACAATTAGAAATGAAGAAACGATTATATTAAAAGATTCAAGTGCCATTAACTCTATTTTCCAACATAAAGATTCAGTGCAAAATGATATATTAGTAAATACTAAATATTCCAGTAGATATCAAGAAACAGAAGAATGCTTACAAGATGGGAACGAAAACGAAAATGAAGAAAAAGAAAACGAAAATGAAGAAAAAGAAAACGAAACTGAAGATGAAGATAGTTCTACAATGAGTTTGCGTAGTGATAATTCTTATGTGTCATATGGCATGGAAGAAGAGATTGTAACAGCAATTCGAAATGAACTTAGAGAAAAACTGCCCTGCGCTCAAATGTCTGTCGTAGAACCTTTGGAGTGTCATGACGATGATGATAATCCTTCTGCATCTAGTGATATAGACAATAAACAATGGGATGATGATGATGATAATGAAGAATTGTCAAACCAAGGCAGTGGAGGAGTCGGTATTTCAATAAGGTATCTTTTTTATTACTTATAATAATCTATAATACAGCACTAGTTATTGAATAAAAAAAGTTATTTATTATATGTAGGTATAACGTGTATGGTACACCACTTAGTCCAATCCAAGAAGAACGAGAAAGTACTCTTACTTCAGAGTCTCTTATGTCAAACTCTAGAGACACGTCGATTGCTTCAAGAGAATCTGCATCAGATGATGTATTGTTAGTTGACACTCGAACAAATAAGATGATTTTATTAGAAGGATTAGGAGAAACATTGCAGGACGATGAACGAGACACAACCAACGGTGATCTTTCTGAAGAAGAAAATTTGGATTATAATTGTTCGGTCGTTCGTTCCCGCGATGATAAATCACATATCATGATCGCTAGTGGTGTAGCACCTTTACCAAGTCCTGAAGAAGAATCAAAATGGCAACAGTTACCTCCACCTTTTCCATTACCGTTACCTCTACCATTAGAGGATGATCTAATGTCAACAAGTTTTGCAACAGAGCATGATTGGGGCAGTCAGGATGAAGACGAAGAAGAAGAGGACGAAGAAGAAGAGGATGAAGAAGATGAAGATAATAGCTCTAGTTCCGGAGAATTTGTTTGGAAGGTATTTATTCTATACTTTAATGTAGAGTAATTTTATCTTTGGTAAATGTTTTGTTTTATTTTGTAGCGATACAATGAACCACATGTCGAGCAAATTCAAATTCGAAATAATTTGAGTAATAATGAAAGGACTGTAGATGCTGATGTCGAAGATGAAATGGATGCAGACGAGGAAGAGGAAGGAGAGGAAGAGGATGAGGAGGAGGAAGAAGAAGAATTCACGCCATCAGCTTGGAATGCAACGTTAGCACCCCACCGTTCCGCATTAAGATCTCCAGATAAAACATTAAAATCTGGCGTAAGCTTTATGATAGCATTATCTTGACTACTTTTTCTTAAATGTAGTATAAGCATTTATAACTTCTTGTCCTCAATTTTGCTGCTAGGACGAATCGGTAGGTGTATCATTTATTTGCATATAGAACATTTTATATATTTTAATCTCCTTCTCACGAATGTTTCTATTGCAGATTTAATTTGAGGTATTTAGCAAATGTACTTTTTACACGTTAGATATATGTTAAATATAGATATAACTTAACAATTTTTATCGGATCGACAATGTGCGATTTGTCCAGGATCAAAAGAAGAGTGTTTGGTTCAAGAAGCAACGTTATCACTGCGTATACGAATATCCAAAGGAAACATTAGCTACCGATACTCAAGGAGAAACAACTACTACCTGGGAACCAACTTCATATGCTGGTACACTATGAGTAACTTAGAATACTTTGATACTTTGTTCAACTAACTCATCATTCATGTGTGATTTTTAAATATAAAGACATGTTCTGTTAATGGGATGAAATTTAGATCTAAAACTATTTTTATATAAGATTTATATGCAGATTACTTTCTATTTTAGATTGGGAAATGATAGATGAACCTCGATTAGATCTATATCCTCTGGACTATGATGATGCTAACCATTCTGGTATGTTGCATTACTATTCCTTTTTTATTTATGTTGTTATTTATAAATTTGTGTTGTCATAACATTTAAGAAAGATTTAATAAATGTATAAAGTATCTCAAAATGATAGGACTGGCTGAAATATTAAAGTTCTTCATACAAAAAGAAATTGGAAAATTCTTTGTCATTTTGCAATATAAGGTTTCGGTTGCAGTCATAAATTACATATTCGACAACAGGATGTGTGTGTGTGTATTTTCATGTTATAAATTTTATATTATATTAAATTAAGACATATTATTTTACTTGCATCTTTATCCTATACTTGATCGCAGAAAATGTTATTTTATTTTATTTGACCCGCCAGCGAAAGAGATTGTACATTTATAGAATTTTATAGATTAATACAATTTAAAGGATTAAGGGTCCCAAGCGTAGAATATAAATTAATATAAAAAGGTTATTATCAACACGAATTGCTTATGTTTTAGAAATGAAACCTGAGGTTGCAACATGTTAAAGAATTTTTCTATGTAATTCTTCTCTAGTGCTATGATGTTTATTTCCATTGTAGGAAACGAAGAATTCTTTGTAAGCAGTTCAAATCGTCCATTTCAATTTCAAACTGGTGACAGTAAATATGTAAGCCAATTCTTTCCTGGTGCTTCTACGTCAGCTAACGAAGAACAAGACGAAGTGGACGGCAATCAACAAGGGGTACAACAAAATAGAATAGAATTATTAAACGATTATGGCCATGGTCAACAACATCAATTAGGAGAACTGAGACACACCAGAGATCGTTTAAAGTTAAATTTATCTACCAATGGCACACCCTCTTTTCCCGTAAAACAAGTACAAGAGGATAATATTGAACAATTAGACGAAACAGATAAGGAACCCGAATTATCGGAAAGTATAGACTTTACACAAGACCAATGTATCCTACCAAACTCCTTGAACTATGATATTTTGCCAACGGTGCCTCTCCGAGATACTCAACAAGAGAGAAGTCTTGATTCAGCCTCTTCAAAAAGTGCCCAATGTGATAGCCAAGAGAAAGTTGAATCCATGGACAAGTGCAGTGTTTTAATTCATGACTAACGTATTGCAAAGTTGATAGTAAAATTTTAAGAGGTAATTTAGCTGAAGTCCGTCCGAAATAATTTCATTAAAAAAATACAGTGACTACTCTGTTCAATGAGATCATTATGAAATGAATCTCAAATATTATATATAAAATGTACATGTAAATAAGACGTAGGAAATTTTTATCGCGGCTAAGATTTAATCGGTTGTCTATAGCATTATAAATATATTGAAGCATACAATTTTTCTTTGTTATGTAGGAATATATAAATAGAGCTTAACATTGACATAATTTTTTATACGATTAGCTTCATGGCGATAACGAATCATAAATTTTAATCGCTAATCAAATCGAATGGCAGACAATCGATTTGCAATTACTACATAAAATTGTTATGCGATTTCGTTCCGCGTGTAAATATTTATTAAAGACCGTTCAATATACAATCGTCACCCAAGGATTAGTGCCTGTATAAGTTAATGTTATTATTTTCATTGATGATATGACAATTATTCATATTGATTTTAATTATTGTTACCTACAAACATCATATTTTTCTTTGTATTATATTAATATTATTAGGAGGAAATAGCTCTCTACTCTAAAAGTATTATAGCGTAAAACAAGAGACGATATCGTGATCGAATGTCAGTTTGCAACAAAAATGTGTATAATAATTCAAGCACAAATGCCTTTTTTTTTATAAATATATATTGCCTTTATTTTTATTAGAAATACGATTGGAACAAGATGTGCACTTTTATTTCAGTTGACTTAGCAAATCAAGTTATTGAGATACTAGATAAAATAGCACATAAAACTAAAAATGCATTACCGTGCTTTATAGCATATTATTTTTCAATGTTTTTAAATTATGTTTTTTAAACGTTTGATATAGCTTTTACTAATCATTTTTAATGTTCAAAACGGAAATCTCGGAAAACATTTTGTGGAATGTACACGGAAAAATTCTTTATTGTGAATATAGTATTAAATATTGAATTCATGAAATGTGAATATTTGTTTGAATACGTGCTATAAAGAGAACGACAAATACCAATGATAAGTTAATAATTGTTAATCATTAATATTATACAATCTAGAAGGAATACCTTTCAAAAATTTCGATATTACAGAAAAAATAAATTATAGTATAATAACGAAATAGATTAGAATAATAACAAAAATATTTAAAAGAATCTAAATAACTTGACATATTTGGTACTTGCACCAACTTATAATTTCATTAACATGTATGAAATTAAGAATTTGCATCTTACAGTTACTGTCAATAACACAGCATTAATTATGCAACTTTTACTACTATTACAATTATTACTATTATTATTGATACTGCTAACTCTGTGCTCATTATAACACATAGGGTATTAATAGAGAACAATTAATATATTGTTATACAGAACAGAAATTTATTTGCTTAGAGTATATAATTCATTGTTATTATTTCCCATACCGTTAATGCATATCCACTATCAATTCCACGTGTCTACATGAAAAACAATTTATTCCTGTGTTTCAATTTTAATTATTTTTAATTAATTTTAATTTGTCTCAATGAAAAATCTCTGAATTAAAATTCGATGTTCTAGCAAATAAAGTACGGATAATATAATTGATTTATTTAATAATTGAAAAACAGATAATGGTTATCTCAAACTTTATTATAAATATTTTACTTAAAACAATTGTTTTTATAAGATGTTTATTATAATAGTATCATTTTGTTTTGTATTAAAGTTTATATATGACGTTGACGATTCCGCCATAATATAATAAGCCCTTGATGATCCGCAGATGCAAGAAGAGATTCATCATAATTAAAACATAAAGCAAGTGTTGGTGTTGCATGACCATGAAGGCAATTGATTTTTCCTGCCTTGCCTTTCCTAGCTGAATCTAATAAATGAATTGTACCATCCTCGGAACCAGTGGCTATCAAACATGCTTCCATTTGTGGACAAAATGTAGACCTCACAAAATAATGTCTATAGGAGACAAAAAAAATAATGTTTTATTTGTTGTAATTCTGATTGAATTAATTTGTAAAGCGTAATTGGTATTCGTAGTAACTATATTATTGAAATTAGAAATTACTTATGTTTTATTGGATATTTAGTCCAAAGTGATAAGGAGCCCTGGTTATCGATAATATGATACAGCAGTACTACGTTACATGCACTGCTCACTAAAAGTGCTGGCCATGGTGCATCTTTAGAAAACCATGAACGCCAGGAAAGACTGGTTATCATTCCTCCAATTTCTTGTACCCTTCGTAATTTTATTAATCGACCTGTTCCTGGTTCCAATTGAAAAGACATGATAATTCCTCTATCATTTCCAGCCCATATCACTAAACCACCGCTACCTTCGCAAGTCAATGATAAAATCTAAAGCAAGGTGTGGTATTTTAATTCAGTTTCTTATATTATTTCAAAATTTTTTGTATCAGGCATACACAGGATAATTAAAAGCGGATCATCAAATTTTAAAAAGGTATTCTGCTTACCCAGAAGAAAAAGAATGATTCTGTTAAAACTATATTTACTTAATATTGATCATTTTTGTCATGTTAACATTAAGTTCATCTTGCAATGAAACTGAATTATTTCTCAAAATTCTTTCAATATAAAATTAAGAAAAACATTCATTTTATCAAGTGGATTCATTATAGAAAGGAAGTATTTTATTATAGATTCTTTCCTCGAGGAAAGTAGAAAAATCTCATAATTTGATAATCTATATTGAAATTATCCTATACATGTATATTATAATTAAAAGTCAAAGAAAACTAACTTTCCCTCCAATTTTACAAGATCCACCTCGAGTATATATACCAGTAGATATATTTAAGATCTGTACAAGTCCATGAGAATTACCAGCGACAACTAAATTATTATTTATAGGTATAAATCCACAACATAATACTTCTGCTCGTTGTTGATCATTAACCACTCGTAAACAGTCTGGTTTAGTTTCTGTTGCAACATTCCAGAGTCTTATAGTACCATCCAAAGAGGATGAAACTATGAGGTCATTACTAATACTCCAGTCTAATGCTGTAACACCCTTTTTATGGCCTTCTAATAAAGCTATTACTTTTGGTGGTACACTAATTGCCTCGCATATTGATAATAATCCATCTAATGATGCACAACATAGTTTTGATCTATCATTGTTTGCAAATTTCAACATTATTACGGGGGCATTATGTTGATCGAAAACATGATGCATTCCATCAAATGCAAAGTTTTCTGCTATAGATTTTCTTTGTATACTATTAAGTTTCATTTTAATTTCTGATTTCTCATCTTCAGTTGTGTGGCTTCCAAGACTACTTTGTTCCAAGCTTTCACCATATCGTAGAAATAACAATTTTGACCTTAGTTTTAAATAATTTTCACAGATTTTTGGATCCTTACAAAATTTTTCTTTTAACAATTGATTTCTACGACGAATGTAAAGCATCCCTAAAATTTTATTAATTTTCAAATTTTCATATAGTGCAATTTGTTAGATTACGAAACGCATACAAACCCAAAGAAGGTAGTTTATTAACACGTTGTCCATTATACTTAGCATCAAGAGCAAATACTTGCTGATGCCACATAGTAACCATTTTATATAATATATAAAATCGATAGTATTGGGTTACGTGCTTAATACTGGTAAATATTAATAATATGAAAGAATTGTATCATTCATTAATATTTAAAATTTATATACATATTGACACTTAACCTAATAAATAACTTTGAATTTGCAAATAAAATTCTAATACAAATTATTAGACAAAACAAAATTTAGAAAATACTTTCATTTCTTATTCTTGTATTTTTCTTTCGTTCTTATTTCATATATAATCCGATGTAAAGAATACATTATATTAGTATTTTCGTTTGACAGTCATTAATATCAACTCTCGACCAGTGATGGACATTCGTGGGAATTTTGGTCATGCGCACTGGAGCGCACGGTCACTGCCGTATACACTTAACTAGTGGTGGGGAAAGCCGACGTGTTTCAGTATCCTACCGCACGAGCCACGCATTACGTCAGGTCAGCACTTCATGCAACCTCGGGAAATCGATAAAGAACGTGAATGGGAGCCTTTCCTTCTTGCTCTTGAACAGCTTTGAAGTCCGTCCTCGCGTCAATGGCATACAATTTCGAATCTCGACTGCCCAGGCATTTTTACGTTTCGAGGTATATGTACAGGCACATACATACAAGCAACGTCCATAATGAAAGAAAAATTTACACGTAAATACACGTTTTAAGACCCCTTGATCATGTTTTAACTATTGAAAAAAAAGAAACTATTTTTATTATTCCTATGAATGATTAAATTTATACTCAATATGTGAAGAATGGACTTTGCTCATGTTAACGTTCAAAAGAACGGGAGTTGTTCGTTTTGATCGCTGTCTGCGAAAAATCTTTGCAAACCAGAATTCTTGACCCTGAATGAAACGAGTAATTATTTTTCTTATTCAGTAACACAGAGTAACCGAGTTCAGTACGAGATATTCAATCTCAGAGTTGTTCGTAACACGAAAAATATGATGTTATTCGTGTTGAAAGAGACCAGAGTGGTCTCTTTTGATAGCTGTCCTTGAAAGATCTCTTCAAACTAGAGTTTGAATGCTGCATAGGCGCTACACTTCCCGCTTGACCATCTTCGATCGTGAGTGAATGTAAATCTTCAATTAAATTAGAAATGTTCGCTTGAAATTTCATGCGTATGTTTAAAACATAACTTCTGAACGGATTGGAGGATTTTAATGTTTAAAAATGCAAACAACGCGTATTTTAGTGAAGAATATGTAGAAATTCTAAGAATATTCGAAAAATTGGTGCCTGCGAGGGATCTCGATATTTATGCAACTTTGTTAAGCTACTGTCGACCAATCGGAGCCTAACTGGCTGCTGATTGGCTGTACCCCGGGAACAATCGCTTATAAAGATGACCACAGCTGATCAACTATTTTCAGTACCCTTGGAACCGCCAATAATTTAATATCAATATTGATAATTAAAAATTTCTGGTTTTAGGTAATTTCATAAAACTAATTAGAGAACTTATTTCCTCGATATTGTTTAATTTCACTTTAATTTCTCGCTTTTTCTATAAGATGTTTTAAAACGATGTGATAAGCCGAAACATACAAATTTTTAATACGAAGAGAAACTGAAATCCTTTATCATCTTTTAAATCTGAGACTTTGTTTTCTAGATATAAGTAATTTATAGTTTTACACGTAAGAACATCATGAACGCGTGTTTTTATGATGCGTGGTTGCATGTGTGGCGCAGCCTGTGATCAGCCACATATACATACACTAACAAATGTCCATGATCTCAGATGCATAAACTTTAATGTTTTATATTCTCAAAACGAAGTCTTAATTGCAAAATGATAAAGGATTTTTCGATTTTTCTTTGCACGTTTCTAAATTTAACGAAACATTATGTAACATTAGGTATTAAATTAAGAGTATTGTACACAATATATTTGTATGTCACAGGATTCCTTTAATACATTTATTCTTAGATATTTCATATTTATACACAGTAGTAGCTATTTTAATAATCATATAGTAGTAGTAATGGCATAATGCATTTTTGCATTTTCGTTTGATAGATTAATATTTGACAAAAATACAAAAATTATTAATGTGTAATTACGAGAACAAACTGCTTGATCTGAATTTTACGTTTCATTCGTATCTCGACTTTTCGTAAAATATTTTGCATTCGTTTTGTATTTCCCATTACACATTACATTTAATATCCTTGCCCTTAAGCTCATTTGAGCATAGGGAGTGCGAAATATTCTAAAATATATGCTGACATAAAACAAGAAAGTAGTTTTATTTTCTTAGTTATTACCAATCACTTGAATGTTTTATGCGTGTGTTTATATACGTATATATATCGTCTTAATGCGTAAAGATGTCCCAAGGTGTTCCAAAATATCTTTTATACAAATTCACCGATCCATTAAAGATATTAATGAAACTAATCTAAATCGTGTAAATATACTTTCGATTTGAGACGATCGACAAACAATTATAATTTAACACTTCGATTTCTTGACTAAAAACAGTTTTCTTCTCTATTCAAGTAACATATCTAAAACCTAACAGAAATATGTCTAACATTTACTTAAAATACAAGTTAATAAATTTCAGCTATTTATTTGCAATGAATAAGTGATCTTAAATAAATCGAGGCCATATTTAGTATTTAAATTTTAATTTTAACAAATACTTTCTCAATGTATTTAAATTGTAACATAGTTGACAATCATTAAAAATCGTGTGTATATTTATACAATTTGTTTTTCTTAAAGAACAATAGTTGTTAAATTTGTAGCAGTACATATTAAATTTCCAGAACATTCTGTCGTTAATATGAACGAATAATCTGTATCCGGGTATCATTATGACGAAGATAAAATCGATCATGTTTCTCGAAAATTTATGATTACAGATTTACATTTTCTTTTTCTTTTTTTTTTTTTTAGGACAACTACTCTACATTTGGTCTCCCATGATTTTCGAATGTATCCTATCCATACCGCTGTCATTCAAATTTTTATATATTTATATATGCAATTGCTAACAAGACTTTACTTACAATTATATACTTCTTCCTCATAGCAGCAGTACTCGATGAAGTTTCGATGATCGATTGATCATTTACGGAAAATTAATTTTTTTCCCCCTAGTATGGTACACATACCAAGTCATAAAGAGTTTAACAGCACCTCTTGGAAACGCTTTGTTTTATATTTGTGTTCATACATTTTTCACAAAAGAAATCATTTGCAATGATTACTATCCACAATGCAAAAATGTAAAGTATATTTCTAAAATGACATGTGTTGATTGATGTGTTACTTCTTTCCGATTACTTTATAACTGTACAGTACGTTTCTAATCAATGTAAATGATGTAACAGCACAGATGTTCTTTTACCAGACGGAATCGACAATTGCATTCATTTTTTTTTTTTTTATCCATTATAATCTAATGAAAAGGATCCAAGTCGTGGTAAATAGTCAGTATCAGTACGCTAACATCGACATTTCTTTCGGAATTACGTTAATATCAAATTTATTAAAAAATCCAGACAGAGAGAGATTGGTTTTAGTCATATTCTCAACTAAGATTTGTATGCATGTTTTCTTCAAATTTTTATTCGACAATTAAACTTACTTAATACTCTTACTTTGATCAACTAAAATTCATTTTTATTTATGTATTAACAAATATTACAGTTTTTAAGCAGATCCTAGAAATGAGTACGAATCAGAAGCGAAAAAGTAAAAAAAAGAAATTGAACTTACGGCGAGCCACATAAGATTATTATTTGGACTATACATCTTGTAAACATCAAATAGAATGTCATAGTACGTGTCTTAATTCTCTTTTGAAGAACTTCCTTACATAGTAAACTCCAAAAAGTTAGTTATTTTAATGCTGTAATAACTATTCGGTAATAATTATAAATTATCTATCGATTAAAGAATCATTTATCCATTTTCAAACGTATCGTATTTAAAAGTACCTTGATAATTCAAAAAAATCAATTAATTTGAAAGAGATAAACAATACTTTGAAAACAAAAACTTTTAGTCACTGTTAAATTAAAGTGAGACATTTATAAACGATAAATTATATTGATGATATAGGGCTATTAATAAGAGTTAATGTATGAATAAGAATAAAATAATGTACGTTTTCGATAATATAACTTACAGTTTGAAAATATCGTAAATAGTTATATGAGGAGCTCTGCAAAAAACGTTTGAACTCTATTTATTTGAATTTTATTCAAGACACCACAAGAAAATTATTGAATTCTTCTTGTTTCCATACTATTTGTGGTGCTATTTAATCTGCAATGCCGCTTTCCTAAACATAAGATATATTAACCAAGTACCGTTCTCATTTTTAACTAAACATTCTTTGAAAACATGGGGCGACGGTATCTTCTTTTTGGTTTAGTAGCTTTTTGTTAATAAAATATAACGTTGATAAGTTCTGGTAACTAAAAAAAATGTAAAGCGACCAAATCAAATATATGTATATGTGGGTGCGCGCAAGATTGCGAAACTAGTGCAAATATACACTCGTTTTAAATACCAAAAGTGACAACATTATGATGATTATAACTTTATATACCTGAAGTTCCATGGTTAAATACATACAATTATCGTAATTTACAATAGTATAGTTTTACGTTTCATCACGAACGAGGTGCTTTGTTTTTATGTAAAGAAGCACTTTAGATGTTAGTGAGCCGAGATGCCTACATTATACAAAAAAACTATCACCCTTTGCAGTCGATGCAGTATATTCGCAATTGCACAGTAGTATACAGATAGGAGATCGGGAGTAGATTTAACAGTCAATTACTCTTCTAGATCATCTTTCCAGTATTTCACACGAGAGTTATGCTACTCACAAATCTTGATTTTCATAATGTTTCAACATACCACATAAATTCTGTTTGTCTTCATCATCTTGACAAATATGTACGATCATGCGTTCCACGGTTTTACACGTTACAAACGCTATAAGTTTATTTGGCACGAGTGCGCCTCGCATTTGGAAGAACTATGCAATTTTTCATGTTGCATATGATTATCTTTTTTTTTACTTCGTGTGTACCATGCTTTGCTTTACGAAAAATACATTGTATTTTACAGAAACATATATACTGCATTATACACACTAAAAACTTTCTATTGTAATTAAAGAATTATGTAGTATTATAAGCAAGATAACACGTTAAAGGATTTTTATAATTCAACAGAATATTTCGAAATATTATAAAAAGGAAAGAAATGAATAAGGCTAATTAAAATAAGTATAACTTTTTAAACTAATTTCTGCATGAGATTTATGCAAAAAGAAATATTCATTCTATTAAACGTAAAATCGGTCAAAATTGCTTAATCCTTCCACGTTATAAGATTCATCTTTCGTTTTATATTAACTCGTGTCGTACCAGAATCGTTTAGTTTCACCAAAAAACGACTTATCTCGTGTCCTTTTATGTCATTTATGTCAATGTCTATATCTCACACCACCGTGTCTCACAATGGCGAAATTGTATTTTATCTAAAATGGTGTTCTCTCCTCTATTTTCCCTTGCATAGTCCAACATTTTTTAATTGCTTCCAGTCCAGTAACTAGGACTATATCCTGGTTTTGCTTGGGCTTTGTTTTGGGAACTTGTATTGGACCTTTGGCCTGTGCTGCTACCGCCATCTTGATGAAGTGGCTGATGCAATTGATGGGGTATAGTTGGGATAAACAAATGCGGTGTTCCGTATGTATTAGGCAAACCAGCGTTTTGATTACTAGTAAGACTAAATGGTGAAGGAGTTGCTGAGTGAAAAGTTTGTTTGTCATAGGACTAAAATAATATAAAAATGTTATTACTTTTCATTAGAACATATAAAGCTTCGTGCTATGATCAATTTTATGAAAATACTTACGTTTACTTTATTAAGCGCTACATGACTCTTTACATACATAGTCGCGCTTATGTCAGTTGCAGACGATCCACCAGTATTAGTATTTCCGGTAGATGTTCCGGTTTTACCAGTTTGTGTACTGGTGTAACTGCTCCCTGCACCTTTGTAATCAGCCGAGGGGCCAGCAGACGCTAAAGCATCGTAGCTTGCACCAGCACCATATCCAGATTCGTAACTTCCAGGTTTAGCATTATATGCACCGCTATTCGTGCCCGCATTACCAGCAGGGGTTATCTGCTATAATAAATTATATTGATAAACGAAATGCAAACTTTTACAACGAATAGTAAAATTCAATTAACTTACAGAATAAATGGCAGTAGGGGTTCCATACTGAAAACCGCCAGGCATTATTCCACCGCCATATGTAAAGTATGCATACGTCGGATGAAGCGGATTTATCAATGTTTGCTGATGCTGCGTAGCAGTCTGTAAATAATGTAAATAAAACTCAATTTGAATTTGATGCAAATGTATAATTTGATTAAAGATATCAAAATAATGTCCATGTAATTCAACAACACTGTTAAGACGATTTTTAAGTCTACAAAATACTGAGAACCTAACCTGTTGCGACATAGTAGATGGAACTGGAGATGCATTGCTGTCGTTTCTGGCAAACCTGGCATCATTAATACTGGTATAGGCTCCCTGAACACCCTGTACTCCTTGAACACCTTGCACACCGGGAAGTGCATCTCCTCGTCCTCCACCGAGATTGGTAGCAGGGCCAGTTGTCTGATAGCCCAAGGCCGCGTCATAGTAACCAGTAGTTGGCTGCAGGTTAGTCAGGAAGGCCAAACACAAAACTACATGCATACACTGTGTACTCCAAATACAAGAAGGCTAACTAATAGCTAATTCTACGCGTACTGGGTTTAGGATAGATAACATGCGGTTCGAGTTGTATCTGTTTTTTTTTCTTTTTAATCTCTCTAATTAAAAAAAATAAATATAATAATTACTATTTTAGCATAAACTCGTAAATTGTTTAATTTTTTTTTTTCACTGCTTTTTGATAATACTAATTGGTAATGAAGATGATGATGATGATGATGATGATGATAATGATATACAAACAAAGCACGCATTCTCCAAGAAAGCGTGCAAAAGAAAATACAACTTAACCACTTGGGAATTGCAACAGTATGAATTTTTATACAGTTTTAAATACGTGATATGTATTAGGTATGGAGCAAATGAAATCGATAAGAAATGGAAGAAAGATGTATACGCTATAGTTAGTCTGCGATCAAAACGGTATTTCGTTATTAATGAAAATGCCCGAATTGCGAACCAGCTAAACTCTTTAAATATATATATATCTCCCAAATTGATCATAGACATCCTTACTTTTCTACGACATAGTGTTTCAGAAATCAAAACGTTTCCAATCATTTATTTGATGCTACATATATCACTATGGATAAATACACTAAACTTCTTGTGCCATCATAAGGACGTGAATAGGAAATTCATAATTCTTAAAAAAAAAAAAAAAAATAGAAAGAAAAAGAAAGAAGAAAAAAAAAGAAATATTGAAATAACGAGCAGCTACCAAGCATTAAAGAAATGATTACTTTGGCATTCTTCTTACTAGGTAATCGTAATAAAAAATAGAATTATCATCTTTACTTTTGAAGTGAAAATGCTAATACTATGTTTTTATACAAGTATAATTAATATATTACTTTGAAATTAAATTATGTAAAATAAATAAATGTACTTTTTTTAAAGTGTACATTACTCTAAAAAAGCATTTTAATTAAATCAAGTACAAATTATTTTGGAAATTAGAAAACAAATAACTTGTACTTGAATTTGTTGCATAAATTGTTTGATCGAATAATAACTGACCATGTGTTGTATTCTTTGTTGCATAAGCTGCAATTCTTCGTAACCGTACATTTGTTGTTGAAACGCATAAGGTACACTTTGGCCCACGATATATTGATGGCTTAGCATAGGTGCAATACTGCCAGCTGCACCACCGCCTGCCATATTTCCAGTACCAGTACTACCCGTCACTACACCACTCGTTGTACTTTTCGGTACCGCTAAATAAAAAAAACCACATTACGTTCAATCGACCAATATAGTCCCGACTATGTAACGTATCATAATATAAATTCTACTCACCATTAGAATTAGTTACTTTAGTTTGTGAACTATTTACGGAGGCAGAGCTAAGACCCAATGTAGTCGCCGTAGTAGTTGCAAGCGAACTATTTGATGTCGTCGTGTTACTATCGTATTGAGAATCTTTCGTCGCATTACTGTTCAATTTATGATTATGGGATGCCGTTTGCGGTTGACTGGCGTATGTGCCATACGCACTAGCGTATGCCTAAAAACGTGGTTTTTAAATTTCATGTGCATGAATAACATTTGATATCACGCTGAAACAAGGTACATACAGACTGTGCCGCGCTTTGGTAAGCTTCAGAAGTCTGTGTAATAGGTGAAGTGAATGTAGTAGCAGATGGTTGATAAGCTTGCGGAGTCGATTGAAATGAAGATGATCCCTGATAACCACTTGTTTGATATCCTGAACTACTGTTCGATACAGTATTCGTGGCTACAGCCTGTGTTTGATATTGTGATGTAGTAGCAGGTACATATCCGCTCGCAGATTGATAAACCTATATATATTATATATATATAGGAAAACATTATTTCATATACAATGAGGATTATAACTGAACTAATAATCATACATTTTGTAAGAAGTACTATTTAACAGTAAGACAGAAAGTCCAAATTATTTTATGTTTAATAATTGTGCATTAGGGATGTACATGTAGCCCACAAGTCTGATTTAACCAGTTAAGAAACTAATGAATTCAGGTGAAACCCCGTACATCTCTGACAGTTTAATTCCATCGGAACCATTTAATGACTCAAACCCGAATATCAGACTATTTGCTAAGAATGGGCGTGTACCCGGGCCTTGGGTCGGGTCCGGTATTGATCGAGTCGGAATCGAACCAAGACCCGAAAAATTCGAACACCTGAGACCGAGTCGAATCGTATCAAGAGCTTAAAAATTTGAAATATTTCGATATTCAAATTTAAAAAATAAGCATGGTAACTTTTTTGACCAGATTCTTATTAATTGTATCCCTATAAATTTGATGTAATCTTCCAGAGGCATGTTCTGACCTGTAAAATTCAAGTACTGTATACCAGAGTTTAAGAATAATGAAATCAAATATTGCCACATTATTGTCGAGATCTTGCAGAGAGTATGCAATATAAGTGTTTAACGATGTTTTACTATTACGATCTATGGATAAAATATCAATACGTTGCTGTAAACTTGAAAATTTGTTATTCAAAACACTGTAGAAGTAAATCTATTAGTTTCTATCATTATCGATAAACAAATATTTTAAACGATATATAATTATTTGAGTATACCGTAATTAGTAACAATACATTAACTATATATTTTTTATCGCTCATCGTGTAACTTTCACGAAACATGTTATTGGTTCAGTTATGCTCCTCACTGCAACTATTAATTTAATATAATTATCTCAAAATTACCTGATTAGTAGTTGTTGGTTGATTGTAACCTGAAGTTGCAGACACAGGCGCAGAAGGAGATGCTTGACTAAAGGTTGATGTATTGGATTGAGGAAATGACGACGAAGAATTGTAACTTGCTTGTGAAACAGTCGCTGTTGAAGAATAGCTATTGGCACTAGTGCCAGATACTGTTTGGAAGGACGATTGAGCCGATTGAGCATTTGTAGAATATGCATTATAAGTGCTTGGTGTTGCAGCAGGTGTTTGAAATGATGACTTTTGGGTCTGGTAATTTGTTGTTGTACCGTATGTTGGTGCATTTCCTGGCGAGACTTGCGAGGTAAAATCTTGTTTTGTTATATCTAAATTTTGTCCAGTACTGCTACCGCGAGAAGTAAAGCTTTGAGCGTTTATTGAATGTTCACTCGACACTGGTAAATTGTCACTATTTGATAACTAAAAACAATTATTATTTAATAATTATAAATAAATGAAATATAACAAATGCTTATATTAACATGTAATAAGACAATAAATACTTACAATTTGAGAAGTAGTACTGAAAGGTGTTGTTGATGTTTGTGTTGTTTCGATGTCCAGAGACTTATTTGTATTGGCAGTGTTTACAGCATTTGTGGCAGAAGATACATCCACACCAGGAATTGTACTACTAGCTGAATTGAATTTTTCATTCGCAGAACCATCAAGGGAGCTTGAATCGCTACTAAATTCTAGCGCACCAAATTGGACATCAAGAAATCCAATGCCGCTATTTACAGCGTCTCCTGGCATTTCTACAGCACTAGATGGGATTTTTGATGGCGGTGGTACTCGTGGACGTTGTTTTGCTGGTCTTTGAGGCTAATACATTTGAAAAATATTTAATGATAAAAATGATTCTATGAAACAAATCTACTGATTAAATATCATTTAAGTACCTGACTGGATATCGACGATGAGAATGTTGTTTGTCCAGCAGCTTTTAAATTTTCACTTGTTTGTTGGGTAAGTTGGGTTAAATACTGAGTCTGTGCAGCTGTTAATACTCCACCACTGATAGCATTTGGTTGCTGTGATAGTTGCATCGTAGGTAAATTCAGTACAGGTTGTTGTTGTGATTGTTGAATTAAAGTCTGTTGCTGTATCGGAGGTATTTCTGATAATTTTGGTAATTCCTTTAATACATATAAAAAAGAAAAATATTTTAAATTAACTTCTGCCTGCAACATCGTCTATGTTAATTTTACACCTTATTAATTTGAGAACTACAGTAGCAACTTTAATAAAATTTTTGCAAAAGTATCTTTAGGATCTTTTTTATATGTATAACTAAAACTATTTCATGTAAATTGATTCGACTGTTTCAAAGTTACATTATAAATGGAAACCAAATGAATACTGAAAACTAAAAGTAAACAAAATATTAATTTTAGACATGCCATCACCGATTGTTTTTAGAAATTGACGATTCCTTTTAACTCCTATTCGTTATTTTAGTGTACCTTTTACAGTTTGTCAAGCATTTCGTCAGATGTGTTAAAATAAGAAGAAAAGTCTTAGTCTGTATTATTGTATACTACTCTTACCCTAATTATGGTAGAGTAATGTTACATAGCCTGTGTTTAAATTGGAATCTAAATCGACTCGGTGGTTCTCGAGTTTATCGTGTAAGTAGAAAACATACATATAAAAAACATCCAAACGAACAAATTTATATAATAGTATAATTATTAATTATATGTATGTATAGTTAATAAATACTAATGTATTAAATGATGTTTTAGAATTACGTACTTCCTGTTGTAGTAATGACAAATTTACATTTTGATTAGACTGCACGGATTGCAGATCTTGAGTTTTTGATTCTTCTATGGAAGATGGAGCTTCTGCTACAAAAGTACTCGGCGTAAAAACTTTCGTATCTGCCAATGAACCTGTATATTCTTCGTTTTCCCAGTCTTCTGTAGAATCCAAATTATTCCATGCATCTACTCATACATTTCAATAAATAAGACAACAATTTAGAATAACTTGAAACATTAACAACTAACGTTTATAAGGAAGCTTACCCATCTTTGGTTCCTGGACAGTTTGTTGCTGTTCATCATTACCTGTCCATGTTTCAATTGATCGATTAAAATTATGAGGCGATGAAGTTGATGATGGATCATTACGATTGGCAAATGTTCGCGGACCAAGACCTTTCCCTCCACCGCGTCCTCCTCGACCAGGTCTACCGGGCCCACCTCTTCCTCTTCTATTACCGCTATAGCTGCCATCGCGAACACCATGCTCCATATTTCTTTCGTTCTCTTTATTTTCTCGTCCCCGCCCTACATAAAATTTTATCAATGTACACAATACCCATGATGTGCAATAATATTGTAGGACGTGAAACATATTTGTAAACCTACATCCACGATTATCATGATTAACACGTCCCCGCATACGCGGAGGGCCACCCCCTCGTTGATTACGTCTTTCATCCCAATCACCACCTTCGTCCTGGCCAGCAGAAGTATCCATATTTTGTTTGGAACCACTAGGTTGACGAGGCTTTTTCTTTTTTACTTCCCATTCCGTTTTCACACCTTCCAAAAGATCATTAACAGCACGGTCCAAGTCCCCATCGCTATCATGCAAAGCCATGACAACTTCGTCTTCGGAGCGTCTAGTCATGTCCATAACTTGCTTTATACGTTCTTTTAAGATAGGATCTTCGCCACTGCCCATTCTAGTGTCAATAATTTGTGCATGCCGCATCTGAACAGCATTTGGCTAAAACACCAGATTTAATAAAAAATTCCTTATTATACCATATTAAAGAATAAATGAATGATAAACGTCAATAATAATCAAGTAATAAACTGCACCTACTAACCTGTGCCTTTTCATGTTTTGTAGAATCCGATGATTTAGTTTGATGATCTGATTTCCCATGTTGTTGTGAAGATTTGTTTTTGTTGGTGCCCTTCCCACCGGAGGACACCGATTTGTTGCTTGAACTCATTGCCAACTAAAATCCCACACACCTATATCACTCACCTATCACACTATATACACTCTCTATTTACAGTCTGTAACAAAATAAATATTTAATTGTATATATCTTATATGATTGAATATTCATAATTTTATACGAATAATAGATATAAAAATTAAAATCTAAACACAATATTGCATTTCTTACAATATGTCATACACTGATGAGAATTTATTTAAACAACATATATATTTCTATTTTATTTTTTTCATCTCATACAGCTGCCTACAATTATTAGCATTTACATGCATTTTTTGTTTCATAAGGCACAAAATAAAAAAATTTTAATTCCAATTATATGTCATTATCAAGAATCATGATATAATACAAAGTATTAAGTAATCCCAAAAAACAAAGTATTTAATAACTTCAAATTGTAAACATGCCTTACGTAAGAATTAATGAAATACATCATACTGAAGTATGAGCAATAATTTAAAACAATAAAGAACAAAGTTAAACATTTTAAAATAAAAATTTAAATATGAATGCATTTATGAAAAAAAAATTGATGCAATGCCTTTTGTATTTAACACACAATTAGCTCAATGTAATTAAATATTAGTAATGTATCCAAATGCTGAACTAAAATGATATTAAAATAAATAAATTTTTGATATGATAAAATCAACAAAGAAAACTAAAATAAAATTACAAAAGAATACATAATTATTGTTAAATTTTATCCATCAAAGAAAACGTGGTTATACAATTTGTTATGATGTTTACAACAAAATTGACATGAAAAATTAGTGTATACACCATGATCATAAATAAATAGTTTGAAATTAGAAATTTACAAACATAATCATAATTACATATAATAATATTTAACAAAATTATACATTTGAATGAACCGGTTTAAAAACAGAATTTATATTGTATAATTTCAGGACTTTTAAAATATACAATTTATTGAAATAAGTAATAATTATGACATAGATATGCATTAGAAATAACTTAAATAAGAAAAACAATTGGCACTTAATGTACAAGCAAAATTATAAAGTATATGTTGATAAAGTAAAATCAATCATAATATCAAAATGTGATCGCAAAACATATAAAATTAATAACAAAATTGATACGCAATCAAAAGAAACGACACCAAAATATAATTTAATCCTTGTGTATTGAGAAGAGATGAAAAGGTTAGGGTCGACTTGTAACGATAAATCGAAAATCAAACGATTTAGCGAGTATTTCTTAAAATAGTCACGTCTTTCCTAAAACGGTTGTCTATAAGAGGAATGAATAACTAAGCGTCAGGACGATATGCTGAATAATCTAAACCTTATCTGCAAATTTCGCGAAATTCCAGAGGATCAGATCGCTTAATATAAAGGACGAGACTCACCAAGAAAGCCGAATGTTTTGTGAATTTTTCACAACACAAGAGCTTTCGAAGAATAACGAAGATAACAAAAAAAAAGACAAATTTTGACGTGCGCGGTGAGAATATGACGAAGGAGGATATCGGGCGCATCACAAAAAACACCTTGACCGTTGTGTTGTTGTTCGCAAGCGAGTTGTGAAAATTCTTCAAATGGGTGATAAAGAAATTGACCGTGTAGGTTTCGTTACATTCCGGAATCAATACAATAAAGTTGATGTAGAATATTTTCTGCAGACCATGTGCACGGTAGACGCCATTTCTGGTTTTGCGAAGAAGGCTTGTCAACCATCGCCGCGGTGGAGCATCGATAGATCTCCGTAAGACGATCGAGTCAAAGTATTCGCAAGTAACTCACAGTTATTATAAACGTTGTTTGTGTACTCGGAGGACACGTCCGGAGTCAGAATCAAGCGAAATTCACGACGCCTCGGCTTTTTCGGCCGTGGCGCGCGAAAAACCACGAAAAAAACAACGAATTTGTTCGTACCTGGTTAGTGCGCTCAAAACGCAGCTCGGTCACGTGACCGCGGGCCCCCCTCCCTAATACAGCAGCACCGCCTCTATGCTTTATCAGGCTCTATACGGCTAGCCAATTTTGTACTAGAAATTTCAGGTATGCTAACTATATGATCGCAAACTTTCTAGATTTGTACAACGAAACAAATTTAAGGATTATTTTCAATTAAAATTTCGTAAATTTAATATCCTTTACGTTTCGATTAATTACATGATTACATTATTTATTATTAATAATTTATATTATTGAAACTATTAGAATACCCGTTTCTTAATATAAAATAAAAATTGAAAATTATTTTTCTAACAAAGATAAAAGTCGGTTACATAAATAATATAGATTGTTTAAGTTTATATTTAGATTGGACACAAATTTTATATGAATTCAATAATATAATCCTGTTGTTGTTTACTATGAAATATGTTTCGATATTTACCCGATCACACCGATTCAACATTAATATAACATTATTTAACTCTTTCAGCTTAGATGCAAATGTACTTTGTGTGCTGATTTTTTTATACATTGAGCATATATACCTATACTCTGAACAATTATTCTGTATTTATATATATAAAGAAAATAAAATAATATAACCATCTAGTGCTGAACGTTCCAAAAACTGCTATTAAAACTAATTTTGCTCCCAAGCGTTTGTATCGCTGATCTATACATATATACAGTATATCCAATATCATATTATCATATAAACATCAAAATTCATATAGGTATATACATATAATAATAACAGCTAATAAAGACTGGTAGTGACATCTATTGAAGCAAGGAACTGCTTGTTTGGATTTATACTGTAGGGGTGTAGCAATGTTTAAAAACTTTTTATTGTAGAAATACTACTGTAAAAGTAAGCCTTTAAAATAAATTATTAATACATACGTATATTAATATTATAATGGATTCGTACATAATACAGGTAATTTGTTATAAAATTTAATAATGTAAAGAAAGGATATTCAATTTGAGGTTATATTTTGAACAGGTCCGACGTGCGTGGTTAAATCAGGATGGAGATTCTTTAGCGGTAAATAATATCTATTTTTACTAAAATGATAAACGACACACAAACAGTAAACTGTATAAAATGTTTGCTTTTAAAGGATTTACTGTCTTTGAAACATAGTCGTGTTTCACTTCCTCAAATAGTATCTGAAACTGCAATGACAAAAGTAATGGAACATTTATCCACCCCTCTTGACGACTTGGTATTTTACCATTTAAAGTAACAGAATGATTTTTTACAAGGTGTTTTAAATATTATAAATATTATTTAATGTACTATTATGACATTTGTGTTTTCAGAACTGTAGTAGCAATGAACAAGGATGATTCGTTAACTATGTATAATTATCAGAGTTCTGCAGTACAGTCATTAACAAAGATCCTTCAAATACAAAAAGAAGAGAACTGGATGTTACCTGTCATGAATGTAATGTGTTTGGAATTAAGATTATTAGCAGTATGCGCTGAAAATACAAAAAGTAACAAAAGCATGAAACCTGGAGAAATTTTAGAAAAGTGTGCAGATTGTCTGATGGGCTGTTTTCGAGTATGTGCTTGCGATAATCGCAGTTCAGAAGATGACACAAAAAGATGGGGAATGCTGACATTAGTTAATCAGTTATTAAAAATTTACTTTAGAATTAACAAACTACATTTATGCAGGCCATTAATAAGGGCAATAGAGTCATCTCCATACAAAGCACATTTTGCATTAGCACAACAAATTACTTATAAGTTCTTTGTGGGTCGTAAAGCAATGTTCGATAGTGATTACAAAGCTGGTAAGTATCATTTATTAGAAGTGATTTTAATAAATTTAATATTCTGTATTTCATTCCGAAATTCACTAACCAATTATTGTAATTATTTTTTAGCCGACGAATATTTGACTTATGCATTTGAACATTGTCATAAACAATCATCAAAAAACAAACGATTAATTTTGACATATCTTGTGCCAGTGAAGATGTTACTAGGGTATATGCCAAAACATAGCTTGTTAGAAAAGTATAATTTAATGGAATTTTGGGAGTTAATGGAAGCTGTTAAAAGAGGAGATCTACGTAATCTTGAAAAAGTGATGGAGAAACATGAATCATTTTTTATAGGAGCTGGAATATACTTAATCGTGGAAAAATTGAAAATAATAGCCTACAGAAATTTATTTAAGAAAGTATATTTAGTGTTAAATATACATCAGATTCCTGTTCAAAGTTTGCTATTGGCTCTGCAGATGCATGGAATCGACGATGTTGATATGGATGAAGTGGAGTGCATTGTTGCAAATTTAATATATGAAGGAAAGATTAAAGGTTACATATCTCATCAGCATAAGAAGCTGGTCATCTCCAAGCAAATTCCCTTTCCGCGACTTTCAACAATACCCTAATCATTATTGAGTTACCTGTCTATATTTCTAATAAATATCTTAAAGTACAATAAAATTGTTATTTTTTTTAAATTTTAATACAAAAAACTTACAATTATTAATATGTGACTCTACATAAATACATGTACATGTATAAATAAAAATTGATGTAAGGAATTCTTTTTTTTTAATCGCATTAAAACATTTTTCGTTTAAACATCAAGTAAACTCAATATATTAATATTTCTTTATTGCGAAAAATTAATTCTATTTGAATGCAAGTTTGATTGTGCTACGCGCATGAAGTCCAGTTTGCATGATTATCATTGGGTTAGGTCTGGAAGGAGGTGGAACGTAAGACTGCAAGACGACAATCGAGTGTGACGAGCGGCAGAACTGTTTCGTACTGGTGATTAATAATTTTCTGTCACTGTAGTCATATATTCGAACTGTTTTACGGATAAATACGATTGTGAAGTTCTGTTGGTGCGCTCAGCGATAAAAATTCATCTATAAAATGCTAAGTAAAATTGTTAATATGACATACTATCGATTCACAGCGTGATTGGTTAAGCTACAGTTCAATGCAAGTATGGCCGCCCTGCCATCACCCACGCAGGTATATCGTAATTTTTATAATACTATCGTGATATAATATTCGATATGTCGTGCTTGTTCTTGGACATATCATTTTAAAAATTATTTTTATTTCGCGTAAGAATAATGCTATTTTTACAATGCATATTCTTAATGTTCTTATACTTGTGTCGATTGCTTTAACTTCTTTGACAGAACAAATGATCTTTCGGTATATTTACAATAAATATGTTACTTTTCATGCATTTCTCCGTAGATTGATATCACAGTAATTATAGAAAATATGCTGTAAAACATATTAGTTCGATATTAAAACATCTATCCATACATTCATAAATGTCAGTTATGATAGGCCGCACATTTCCGGCAGTTAAAATTTATATCTACTAATATCTTGTAGTATATGGCAGTTTATAATGCAATATAAATAATTGTAGAAAATTTGTTTTTACAGGTGGCTGGAAGCCATACTGTTATATATGAAGCCTATTATAATCAGGTAATATCTTAATAGGAAAGTTACTTATCTTAACAAATTTAGATGGCTGAAAATGATATATTAAGATAATATAATAGAAGAATAATCTATTGAATAATATTTCAAGGTTGATCCAAATGGGTATGGACGAATCGGTGCGATGGAAGCTGCAAGATTTCTTAAGAAATCCCAGCTGAGTGATGTAGTCTTAAGTCAAATATGGGATATGGCAGATCCACAATCGCGTGGATCCTTAGATAAATCTGGTCTTTTTGTTGCTTTGAAACTGTGTGCATTGGCACAAGCAGGAAGAGATCTTAGTATGTCAAATTTAAGTATGGAATTGCCTCCTCCAAAGATGGTAAGGTGTTTTGCCATCTAACGTTGAGAGTAAATTTGTATTATTATTCTTATCGATTATTATTATACACTTTTAGGGTGATATCCCTATAATATCTCAGAAGAATATAGTTAATAGTTTACCAGTAATAACATCTGTCAATAATGGAGATTGGTCTATTAAACCTTCAGAAAGGGCAAAATATGATCAACTTTTTGATAGTTTGCAACCTGCAAATGGATACATACCAGGGAATAAAGTTAAAGGTGTTCTTATGGATAGTAAACTTCCTTTAGATACCCTTGGAAAGATTTGGGACCTTGCAGATATGGATAAGGATGGTATGCTGGATAGACATGAATTTGTTGTTGTAAGTACCTAACTATATACGTACACAATTTTTAACTACAGTAAGTTCTTAACTTATAACTTATAATGTACTTCTGAGTTTATCACATAGTTTGAATTGTATAATTATGATGCATTGTAGGGAAAGAGAAATATTAGTTGTGGACAGTGTCGAGCAAAGATAAAGATATCTTTGTTTACAAAGATCGCCTTAATTGAAAATCTTAGATTTTCATGAATCTTAGCATTCGAAAAAAACATTGATAAATCTATCAGATATGTTTCTTTTATTGGCTATTATTCATATTCAAGGAGTAGAAAGTACCTTAAAAGTTGTGAATTAAATATCTATTTAGTTCAGTTTCTCGAAAAATAATGAAGATAAAAAGAATGTTGAATATGAAGCTTGTTATGAATTGAGCTTTTCTCATATTCAACAATTTTGTTATCTCTATTCGTTTTCAAAAAATTTAACGAAATAGATATGTTATCAGCTGAATATGGATATCAGCTGATATAAAAAGTATGTGACTAATATTTTTCAATGCTCTATTTGGCTAACTGGTTTGATTAAAATCTGAGATTTTATTTGGAAATAAAATTAATAAAGAAATAAAATATTCTATGTTAATTGTTGGTTTCTAACTAGAACATCTGAAGCAATATGACTAAATAATAATTTCTGCCAGAACTGATCTTTTTTTCTTCACACATTTGGTGTGGAGAAACATTATATCACATGTAAATATATAGACACATATAAAATATGTATATCCAGGAAAAAATCCTAGCCACACTGTCACATTAATACAAATGCATGATCACCGTTAACGAAGAAGACTAAGCACACGATTATAGTGGAGTGACGATGACGGAGGTAAATAGAGAGAAGAGCTGTGAGGCTAGCAAAAAAACATTTTTGTTTCTAGTTTCACCGCTATTATAAACTACCTTTCTTGCCGCTCAATTACAAACACTTCCATAAAAGTACATTTGTTTGATATTATCATGACGCTCGTTCTTCGCCGCTCCACTATAATTGTACTCTAAAATGGAAAATAGACTATCTTTAAGAGAAGAATGCCAATCACTTGAGTGAATTCTCATGTATTTTTATTTTTTCCATTAAACTGGCAAACAATAGTTTTATGCACAATTCTTAAGTAGCGTGACCAGGTTTTATTCTTCAAATGGACAAGGACATAAGTGAGTGGCTCAATGCGAATTTACAAATGCTCATAATTTGAGGACCTACTGTATAATGAATTTATTTCCTTTTTACTTCTTTATATCATAGTTTTACACACGTATTAAATTGTTTGTTATGCAGGCAATGCATCTAGTATATAAAGCTTTAGAGAAATATGCGATACCAAGTGTACTTCCACCAGAATTAATGCCACCTGGTAAAAGAAAAGACATTACCATACCAGTATCAAAATCTCCAGCACCTATAGGAATAACAACAGTTCCACCACCTATACCACCTTTACCTAACGTGTCCACTGTGAAGAGTATGGCTGGTATGGACATATCAAAGGTATTTTGGATCTAATGAAAATTATAAACATTATCATTTTTATAAAACACGTATTAAACACAGAAATGTATGAGACAGATGAACGTGCAGTGGGTAGTTTCTTCCGAAGAACAAATAGCGGCGGATAAATTGTTTTTGCAAGCTGATCTAGACATGGATGGATATGTCTCAGGTATTGAAATCAAAGATGTCTTCCTTCAAAGTGGACTTCCACAGATTGTATTGGCTGATATATGGTAGATATTTTTGCACATATGCTTTTGTTTATCAATCATATATAAATAAAAAAATAAATAATATTTGATGTTTCAGGGGTCTTTGTGACACATGTCAAAGTGGAAAGTTAAATAAAGAACAGTTTGCTTTGGCTATGTGGCTTATTAAGCAGAAGCTTAGAGGTGTTGATCCGCCTGCAAGTTTGACTCCCGACATGATACCACCTTCTATGCGAAAACCATCTGATACTGTTGTGGTAAGTAATTATTAAACGAATTTTTATTTATTATATGTTGAACGTATAAAGTATTGCGTATGTATAATATACAATATAATTAATGAATTGTGAAGCGTTTACGACCTTGAAATGCTCTCCAAAATACAATTAGAAATACAATGATTATTACAATACCACCAATCATAACTACACTATAATTTACTTGCAATTCTGTTTCTCCTACTACATTTAATTTTATTACGCCCGCAATTACATCCTTTTGCCAACAGCTATAAATAAATAATTTATCCGTAAAAATAATTTTTTAATTTATGTATGAAGAATTATTTACCTGTAGATGTTTGTATCTTCGAATTTTAATGATTTAAAGATTATGTGCATTTGTAGATTGATATAAATTCTTCCCCGAGATTGGTCTTTAATAATCGTAGGATTTAATATTTTATTACCCGTCTTCCAAGTGATTGGTACGTCTATATTTAAATTCCTGAAAAAAATATGAAAATATGAAAAAATTAGCTTAATATAAAGATCTGTAATTTATTATTTTACCCTGGACATTTGAGCGTTGCTTTTTTTTTATATTTTTCAAAAATTATCGTGCGTGTAACTGGTGGCAAGGGTATAGGCATACCCTGAACCATAGAATATATACCAGCACTATTATTGGCACTTTCAAGTACATTTCCTTGTTTATCCCGTGTTTCAAATATTATATTTTTTATACATTTTATCTAAAGTAAAATAATTTAAATTTATTTTACGTTCATATTTGCGCTGCATTGCGAAACTTTGAAAAAAAAAAGAGTTCCTAAAATTTAAAAACACCTTGCAATACTTGACCATCAGTTCTGTTTTTCTGTTTTTAACATCGGATATATTCAGAATCTCTTTTGGTAAATACACACTTCTACATGGTAATTTATTTCTAAATACATTTAAAGCCATTCTTATTTTATTAACAACACTTTCATCTAAACTTTGGCTCAAAGTAGTTCCAGTCTCTTCTATTGTTGTATTCTGTTCGTTCGATGTAACTTGATATTGTTATATACCATTAGTGTAAATTTTGTAAATATTTTAATACAGATGATGTATCATTTAAAAAAAACGTGTACCTTGACTTTTATAATCTTGTAGATCTTGTCTCTTCGTTATTTCTTTTTCTTTATTGATAAGATTTTCTTGAAAAGAAATAGTACAATATCCATAACGATATTTTTTGCCAACTATGTTACACGTGGAACATGAAGACCATTTAGTCCATGTTGTGTAAATGATTAAATTATATTTTGGTATAATTTGCTCTGGTGTTGCATGAGGCATAAGGGGTGCTTCTACAGGATGTACAACTTTTATACCTTGCGAATCAGTATCAATTGATACATAATAAAATGTCGATGCTGTATCTCCCAATTTACACCAGTATAGACCCTCATGTTCAGTCTGTTCGCAATTTTATATTATTGTAATAGATATTTTTATGTTTATTCATTTAAAAACTTTTATACTTTAATGTTAGATATCAATAATCTCCTGTCATTAGGTGAAATTAAAATGTTGTCTGATTCTTCTACAAGTTTGTTAGTTTCATTATCTGGTACCATCAAACTGTTCCTATTGAAGTACCATTCTATATTGTCAATTGTATGTACTTCTATTGGAGAGATGCATATTTGACAATTTAATCTAAAATTGATAGTTTACTAATATAGTATTATATGGTTATAGCGCAGAGTAAAATTTTCATCATACTTGGCTAATGTTCCTTCTAGAGCTATGAGAGCAATTGGATGTATCATTTTTTCTGATCCAATTTCATTATATGTTTGTTTTAAACATTCGTAATATTCCTGCCATAACTGTTCATGCATTTGTCTAAGTGTTTCATTTGCTCTTGGGTATTCAAATTCATTGATATCAACAAGAAACTCACTCCCTTGATATAAATGAAATTTTATCAAATTATCTGTTTACTATGAAAAGATGTGCATGTGGATCTCTTTTATCATGACTTTTTATACATGTTTTATTTACTTTTGCACGGTTTTTTAAATACGTTTTATTTACTAAAAAAACATACATTTTTTTCTACACATTTTCTTTATTTTACACTGTCCATATTTTGCATGTTTTATCCACTGCATGCATTCACAGTGAAAAGAGACCCAGACTTATTATTATGTTAGATTATTGAGTTTACCTTGATGTTTATTAAACATTTTGCTTATTTTTTTACGAAGTTCATTATATTTCTTTATTAAATTTATACCTAATGCAAAATTCAATGCTACACTAATTGCGAAATATAAAGATAAAATCAGCTTTAACTGCATAGTATATATAAATTACTGTTAACTTGCTTCATAAAATTATGACATCATGAAGTTTGAAATATAATTTCAAGCTTTTCATTTTTTTTCTGTTTTTTTTTTTTTGATTTTGTTTTTGTTAAAAACAAATTCTGTATGTTTAAATGAAGCAAACATGTCAGTAAATAGTAAATACAATTTAAACGAAATGTTGAATCTATGTTCTTTGTCCGAAGAGAAAAATAACAATTTGAATACCCAAGATTGTATAAAAATTTTGCCTGTTGTAATAAATTATGACTTTCCAACAGCTGCTTTCAAAAGAGAAAAAGCAAAGAATGTTACATTCATTAAAAAATTGCAAAACGAAGCAAAGATAGCAAGATTGAAAGCATTATACGATACAGACGATTCTGGAAAAATTAAGCCTAAAACTCGGCGTCAATATATAAAAGAATTTATACTAAATACCCTAAATGATAATGCCTTCATTGCTATAGATTAAAATACTATTTAAAGCATGAAACAATATATATAATCTATTTGATTATAATTTTATATACAATATTCAATTGCTTGTTTTTGAATTTCGACACCGCTTCATTCTGTGGAAATGAATTATGTAAAATAAAATTAAGATACATTGTATTTCTAAATTACAAGTATTGCATTAAAACAAAGATAAACTGTACCTTTGTTTTAGTAATAAACGTCTTATATAATTATCTAACTTGTCATTCTTTAATTATTTTATGTATAGTAGTATACAATTTTTTCTATATGAAACTTACTTTTGTGTTTAGGAAAACAACAATATATCTGGTTATTCAAATCCAGAATTAGATATGATAAGTAAAGATATAGCGGAGCTTGTGAGAGAAAGGCAGAGTATGGAACAAGATATAGCGCAAAAAGAAGCAGATATCAAGATAAAACGAGGTGAAATTAAGAGCCTGCAGAGTGAATTAGATACACTTGCTGCTACTTTAAAACAACTCGAAAACCAGAAGGGCGAAGCGCAAAAGCGGCTAAATGACTTGAAGGCTCAGGTAAAACAAATTCTAATCACTTATAGTTAAGTAATCTGCTTGCTAAATGTGCAGCTTTGCTTTTATGTAAATATAAAAACATGTATATTTATGATTTTTATATAGTGCTTTCATTAAGATACAAAAATTAGAAATTATCACTATTGATAAACCAAAGAAAATAATATAACATTTTATAACATTCTATTATTGTATTGTAGAATATTTATGATCTATCTTATTAAGTACAACATGCAATAATTGATCATTAGTAATAGATACAAGGAACTATGAGAGAACTTTTTTACGTTACTTTCTCTTTAGAAAATAACATTAGTAATGGAAATATTAGTCTACACTCTGTTCACAGGACACAATTAACATTCATACTTCTGTTTCTTAAATGTACCTTACATACTTTCCGTACTGCTATAATATTGAAATAAAAGTGTTCATTTGAGAGAAAAAACGATTTTAAAATAAATTTGACAAACTAAGAAGAATATTTTTTATTTACTAATATAAAATTTTAAATAAAACTGTGAAGAAAATTTATGTTATATTTCTTTGTATATTGCTTAATATGTTTATTCTTTGTGATGTTTATCTCATGATAGCTTGTTTAATATTATAATATATTATTATATAAATAAGTATTTTACCTTATTTTTTACAATAAGTGTTTTATCTTTTTTATGAGAGCACTATAATGAGTTCATTTAATTAGATAATTCTGACATCTACTTAATCGATATATAATGTGTACAAATATATGTAACATTACGTTTTTTTAATCGTTCCACAGACACTTTTTCCCTTAAATGTGAATGAGTGCGTGTACACGTGTGCATGCATATGTCATTTTATTGCATGCCAGAGAACTCTAGTTTGATTAGAGGTGTGTGAGAACCTGAAAATGTCAGGCCGGGTCGGAACGGGAATTTTTTGGGATTCCCGGAAAGATCAGGATTCCCGGGAGAATCAGGATCTTCGACATTGTTCATGATTTTGGTTTAGTAACTAAACGCCACTAAACGGGATTGACTTTTTTGCTGCTTCAGGTAAACTGTTCCTGACTTTTTCGGAAATCTCGATTTTTTCGACTCTCTTAGGTGTCCCGAAAACTACGGGAACCCGACTGAACCCAGTACAATCTTTTCTCATCTCGTCCCGATTATCAGGTTCTCGCAAATCTCTAATTCTGATACAATTAAATCATTTAAATAACTTTAGCTATTTATTACCAATGCCTAACATTTACTTAGAACGTGATACAAATCCCCCGGCACATGAAATGTTTCAAACAAAATTAACTTAACTTTATATTCATAGAAATGTGCTAGTTTTAATGGCATTCAGAATTTTGTATTGTTTCATTAAGTGTTTAATTCATAGAGAATTTTAAATTATCTTAATAATAATGTAATGTAACGCACTAATGAATTGAACTTTTTATATCATGTAGTGTGTTATGAACAGGAAAGGGAAACTGTATGTATATTATCTGGTGCTATATGTATGTATACGTATTTATTCATGACGCTATCCCTCATAAATTTTACTTCCCAGAATTTGGAGATTTATGAATTTATTTGTTACTTTATTTTATATTATATTTAGATTTTTCATTATGATTTAGTTTTATTATGTTTGGCTTGTAGAAGGCTGAAGTAGATAAAGATTTGAGTGAGGTCGAGCAGAAGATTCTTGAGGAACAAAAAAAGGTACATACAATATTTGTATTTTTTTTACGAAGGGCACGTATGGTGGTAATGTACAGGTTTTATTTCTCATTTTTACGTAATAAAAAGTACAATTATTTAAGATTTATGCAAAAACATTTTGATTCCCTATGACCACAGAACAAGGTACAAGATGAAGACAACTTGCAAAATAAGAATGTAAGGATACAAAGACACCCAGAAATTCGTTTTGATTTTTGTTTTTTTTAACATATGAAAGAAATAAAATTGTCATGAAAATCGAGTTACCATTTCAGCTACATTAATGTGTTTATAATATAGATTTTCAAGTAAATAATTCATTATCAATACACTACATGTTATTTAATAAAAAGCTTCATTTGTGTTGATTACACTTGTATAGATGATGCTAGTGCTTTGTTGCAATGCATGCTAAAATATTTGTAGAATAGATTGTCATCAAAGAAACTACATCTGCTTGTTAATTTTTACATAAGGCCCCACTTTAGTGGAAGTATCGAATTAAAATTATATTTCAATTTAATAAAATTATTCTGTATCTTGTTTCATTTATTATTATTATTTTATCATATACTAAATAACATTATCATTTTTTATTAACAGTGTGCTTGATGTATTTTTGAATAAAAATAAATAATTCAATTTACATATCATTTATAGAAAAATGTTTGTGTATTTAAATAACATCAATTACGGCAAATACTTTGTGATAAATAATGTTTTGCAATTGTTAATGATAGGTTGATAAATTGCGTCAACAAGCAGAGGAGCAAGAATCAGTGTTGCGCACTCAAGAAGAAGAACTGAATTTCAAGCGACAAGAACTGGAAGGCTTGCGGCAAGAGGAACAACAGTTAGAACAGCAACAAAACAAAAGCAGGGACCAATTAAACGAACTCACTAAAAATTTGCAGGACACTCAGTTGCAAATTTGCCAAGCAAAAGCAAAAATCACTCATTTGCAAGAACAGCAACGTCAGATGAGTGATGCAATTGCACTTTATGACTCTGCACTCGCTGCAGGGGATGCCACTCTTGTACCTGATACTAATCTGCAATTTAATCCCGAAATTGAAGATCCAGAGTGCGTAACAAACATAAAATTGCTTATCTATTGTAAGAGTTTATTGTTATTATATTTAAATTAACGTAGGTATGAAACAACTCCAAACAACGTGGATAACACAAAAGAACAGAGAGCAGATTCATTCTCTAATGCAAACGGAACAGCAACACTAGACGGATTTGAGGAAGATCCTTTTGCTTCAAATAAAGCTCAAGAAGCATTTAGTGCATCAACGCCAGATCCATTTGGAAGTGCATTTCCATCGCAACCTGCGTCTGTAAGTTTTTCTTTTCTAATTTAAGCCGTTACTTTATTATAAATCTGGAATCATAATCTTGAATATAATAATATAATTTTGTTTGTCATTTTAGGGTGGATTCACATCAGACCCATTTAGTGCATTTAATAATAGTAATGTTACAAAGCAGGATCCTTTTGATCCATTCGGGGATGGAAAAAAGCCTGAAATTAAGTCTACAACTGCAACAACAGTAAGTTCTAAAAGTATGAGGATATTAGTGATTAAATTTCATTACAGAATGTAAATATTATTTAATTTCTTGATCGTTTTCTTTAGGCAACAAAAGATCCATTTGGGGATGATCCATTTGCGAATCTTCACGCTCCACCTCGTCCAGAAAGTCCTAGTCCAGCCCTTCCTCCTAAAAAAGCAAAGCAACCACCACCACGCCCAGCACCACCGCGACCTTCTCAAGGACCTACTGGTCCTTTAAGAGCAGCACCAGCGCCCCCTACTCCTTCTCCTACTCCAGATCCTTTTGCAAATTCTAATTCCGATCCTTTTTCTGCTCAACAAGGAATTAATGATAATAATAACAGTGGTTTCACTACATCTACCGGATTCGCTGATTTTGCAAATTTTGACTCCAAGGTATGTGTATCTTAGTTTTTAGTTAATTCATGAAACTTTTAAAACATCTGCTTTTATTTTATTAGTAAGTAGAACAAATACTCGTTTGGTATTACTAATTATAATGCATAATTATTTACTAGCGTAAACAGTTATCTTTCTTTTTTTAAATATTCTTACATATAATCCTGGGCATATTCCATCCCTCCCCAGTTTTATCAATTTTCATTGCCGTTATTATTTTATATATTTCAAATACGGCTAATGGGAATGAAATATACTGGTATGACTGAAATACAATTTTAAATATGGTACTACTGATTTAAATACTAATGTGATTAGATATATTGAAATCTGAAAAGTATAGTATAATACTATTAAATGTCATTCCAATATATTACACTGTGATTTTGTAAAATACATTTATACAGAACAAGGATTAATTATATTTTTTGTTTTATATTTAGGTAGAAGCTGCACAATTTTCAGTTTATTCATTGACCTGGCTCCTGGAGCATGCTGTCTACAAATTAATTTGTTCTCTTTGTTACAGTATTATATTTTTATTTTTGATAATGCATGGCAATTTTTGATTATTTAATTATTCATATTTAAATGTTAGAGTTGCATCGATCGATCCATATAATATGTTAGAGTTGTACTGATCGAATGTTACATTGTTTATTATACAGGGTGTTTGGTCACCCCTGGGAAAAATTTTAGTGAGAGATTCTAGAGACCAAAATAAGACGAAAATCAAGAGTATCAATTTTTTGATTGAGGCTTCGTTAAAAAGTTATTAACGTTTAAAGTTCCGCCTGCAGAACGGCAATCTGCTAACAGTTGCGCACGCGTGATAACGGTTTTCACTCAGAAAACTGTAAGGCTGTCGATGAGTCAGTCAGTAGAGTTTCTCACGCTGAGTGAGAACCACTATCATGCGCACGCAGCTGTTCGCAGATTGCCGTTCTACAGGCGGAACTTTAAACGTTAATAACTTTTTAACGAAGCCTCAATCAAAAAATTGGTACTCTTGATTTTCGTGTTATTTTATCCTCTAGAATGAGAACTACATGCGATCGATGTTAATTAACTCAAACATTTTAAATTATTTGCAACTCGATACTTTACAACATTTCAACAGCAGCCATGTATGGTCCAGCAGTCTGATGATAACCAGCGTTTTTCGTGCTATTGTTTCTACCATTTCAGTAAACGAAAAAATGACCAGTGAAAAAAAACCTGCTTCAGCCGGAACCAACACTGAATCGAACGACACCACCCAGACCAACGAGCAGAGCACACACGATATCGATGGTAACTCCAAAGCTGCCGGACTTCACGGAAGATCCCTTTAGGGATTACCGATACGCAGATCCTTTTAACATAGCTGATCCCTTCGCCGATGACGCAGAAGACTTCAACGCGAACAAGAATAACGAAATGGGTAAGGTGGATCCATTTAGTTATGGAACGACTTCGACACTTTCTCGCAAGAATTCTTTCACAAAAGGCTTCGACACTGACTTCTCCAACACTTTTCCTCTTGCTAAGAATAAAATTGAAAAGGACAATGCTAAATTTGACGCCGACTTCGTGAAAGCGTTCTCAGACGACAACAGAAATATAAAGGCTATCGAGTCTGATGCTTTTCCTAACACTAAGACAAAGACAGTCGACATAGATGAAGCATTTTCAACGAAAAGTGAAAAGTCTGCTAGGAGGCAGGCGCATGACTTATCGCAGAACAAATCTAAGACCAGTTACAATGATAAAAAGTCGAAAACCGATGTCGGCAAAAGTTGGAACGGCAACAATGCACCTTTAGCGCTGACCGAAGAGGAACAAGTTGTCTGGGCGTCTCAGCAAAGCTTGAAGTCCGAGGAGGAAAGACGTAGACGCAAACAACAAGAGGAAGTAGAATTAGCACTTGCGCTTGAACTGAGTAAACAAGAAAAATCCGGCAAATTGTAGAGTCCCTGATCTGTGGAACGCTTTCATTTTGATTCGTTCAGTTTGAATAGCATATTTTCGGGCACAACGACTTCACGAATCTTGATACGAAATCAGGACTGGAAGGTACATGATATGTTAACTTCATACAATCGTAATAATTAACGAGATTTCGAGATTCGCACTAATTAAGGCTATAAAGAATATCTGCGAGAACTGCAATGACATATAATGCTTACTTTTAATACTATTTAGCATATCATAACTGCTGTGAAATGACTACAGAAACTATATAAATGGAATTAGCAAAGCATGCGGATATTTAAATGTCCATAGAGGCATATATTATAATCATAAAAAAAATCGACAAAGCATTTTTCACCATAAGTAATCGGTTCTCGATATATGGCCTTTACGTTCTTCACTTCGCGTTCGATGCATTCGATCACATTCAAGCAACCAAACTGTTATTGCATTGATATCATTTGAATGTAAAAATTTGTATTAAATCGCGCGCCCTTTTCGACACTCTGGTTTACTGCAGAGATCGATGAATTTTTGTAAAAAGTGAAAAGAACAAAAACATATTCATTATTGCCTTGCAATATCGAATTCTAAAATAACAACACTTAATATACACGTAGCTGGTTGTACACTATCGCTAAACGTAAATTAGCAATGTATAAAGGCAAAATGTAATGGCAGATTCATTGGATTGACAATAAAACGTTGTGTACACGAGTTCCGTGAGTTCAAAGCAAGGGGAATAGCAAATAAATGGTAAAAAGATATCCATAAAACGGAAAAAAAAACTTAACAATGTCGTTATTGCAAAACGCATATCGGATATACGTCTGGTACATTCGCAAATAGCAGCGGAGCAACGTTTCTGTTTGTTGTTTAATATGCATCGTAACGACGCCCCGTATATCTTATTGTCTGAACTCGACATGTCTTCACCAGTATTCATCATGTTCATGAAGATAAAAAAAAAAAGAACCTTCGACTATTATAAATGTTAATATGTAGAACTACGTATTAAAACGTAGGATATGAAGTTTACTGAATTCATCGTCACGCCCTAGTATGCTTTTGATCACATTGTGTATAAGAAAAATTTCAATTACATAAGTTTTTCTCACGAGATGCGAAACGTGCGTTCTCTTAAAGATATTATACGGAAAGTAGAAAAAAAAATGTTTATTTTTTATTAAATCAGGACTTAATAAGAAGACGAATGAAAAGAAGAAAAAAAAAGAGGCACGAGTAATGAACGACCGTATCGATACATTAACAGTAAGCAAACCGTTCCAAATAATGTTTGTGTGAATGTCGTATAATTCAGCCTTCGGTCTCAGTACGTCCCAAAGAATAAGGTGTTCAAAATAAAGCGTAGCTCCGTGTTTGTCCTAAGATCTTGCGTCACATGGAATCTTTGAAATCAAACACAAAGGGCCGCGTCTATTTTTAATTTACCATTATATCTTGTAACATCACAACGACAATGTATTACGCATGTTGTATATATTACTATCTGTATTATTTTATCGTGATTATTATAATTGTGTTATTATTGTTATATCTCGATTAATATTAATAATATTATTGATAATTTACCGTCTATGTAAGCACACATGCTGTCAATATCATTTACCAGTGGATAAAAATAAGCGTACCGTAGAATCGTATTATGTATGTTTTAATGTTTATTTTCTCTTTTTTTTTTTTTTTGCAAATACGGTTTTATTATTAATTTTGACTGTATTCGAGTACTGCGTGTGTGCATTCTAATCGCAGATATACAAACGCATGCGCGGATATAAAATATGTGTGCCAGATAATGATGATGAGAATAAATGAAACGACGGTGTCATGCTTATTTCGAATATTTTAAGAAGGCCTTTTTTTCGTCTAAAAAGTCGAAATTTGTTTTTCCAATTAAATGTGAAACTTCTATTATTTGGCAGTGTTCTATTTATTTTTAAAAGTAGAATATTTCATAAAATAATCAAACTTTAATGGAGAACATATTTCAACGTTCCGAATTTCTTGAATTTATAGGACAAATAGCTCTATATGCAATTTATTATTGTACCTATAAAACCGATTTGGAAATTAATAGTATAGATTCCGCAGATAATATTCATTTGACAGTTATGATTGGAAGCTCGAAGAAAATTTGAATTATTTGTATTTCAATTATAATGATACATCCGCGTTTGGTAAATTTTTGTATGCAATGTATTTACGGCGTTAATGTGCAGGAACCGATAATATTATAATCGCGAGAAAGCATGTAAGTACACAAAGGAAACCGAAGTATATACGCAAATACCGATTAGCATGTTTAGAAAGCGTTACAAGATACGATTGCGTCATGTTTAGACTTTGTATAAGTAGAAAATGCTGTACTCTTTTTTTTTTTATTTTTTTTTCTTTCTTTGTTCTGTTAATACTTAAAGGACGACGAGTGTACATGAATTCTTTCATTTTATAATAATCAATAGTTTATTCTAGCGACTAAAGATGTTTGTGAATTAGTGATAGTTTGTATTCAAAAATTTGGAGAAGATACAGAATTTGTGTTACTTTGACATCTTGAACTTTCTAAATATAATCTGACTTTTATGAATATGATTTTACCGTACTAATATTAAAATTTACTTGTATTCGGGTTTATTTTTAAATTATTAATAAAAGCGAGGGGGGAAAAAAATCTCGTCCGTTAAGTTTTAACAACGCGTAGTGAAATTTGTATTGGATAATCCAAGTGCGGTGATACTGATATCATTATTGATAATAGGAACTTTGATAACACCATTGTTACCAATGTACAGGTGTGTAAAATGGACAAAAAATGTTTCACTCAGGAGTTTTCTTTCCTACGCACTATTCGATGTTTTTATTCATTCGAGACAGTAGTTTGTCCCTTATAGAAAGCTGTAAAAAGGTAAATGGCCAATATAAATTTATTTATCGATAACCTTGCGCTCGTTTACATTGTTTCAATATTCTCGACAAATCTCTTTTCCTTCTGATGCATTGGAAACGATACGGTGTTTATAAAATCATTTTTATCGTGTTATGTATCATTACAGTATGTTTTTTATTTATTGTATAGAATTTGTATTTTAATAAGTTCTTTATTTATATAAAACCATACGAATCGGAATTTAACTCTATAATTTTGATTTATAATATACGGGGTGTTCGGCCACCTCTGGGAAAAAAATTTTAATGGGAGATTCTAGAGGCGAAAATAAGACGAAAATCAAGAATCACAATTCTTTGATCGAGGCTTCGTTAAAAAGTTATTAACGTTTTAAGTTTCGTCTCTAGAACGGCAATCTGCTAACAGTTGCGCACGCGTGATAACGGTTCTCACTCAGAAAACTGTAAGGCTGTCGATGAGTCAGTCAGTAGAGTTTCTCACGCTGAGTGAGAACCACTATCATGCGCACGCAGCTGTTCGTAGATTGCCGTTCTACAGGCGGAACTTTAAACGTTAATATCTTTTTAACGAAGCCTCAATCAACAAATTGGAGTTCTTGATTTTCGTCTTATTTTGGTCTCTAGAATCTCTCATTAAAATTTGTACACCCTGTATACTGTTACATATCAATTTTTTTTTTTTTGTTCTTTAGTTTCTCATCTCCGTCATTTGTACAGTACATTACAATATATTTTAACTCTCCAATTTCAGTTTAAACGAACGAATTTATACATAACAACCTAAACAAGTTCAGATATCGTTGTCGAGAATAAGGGTAACATTGTTAAAAGTAGCATAAGTACGATCGAATAAAGAAATTTAACGTGATGTATATCCTATATTAACATTGTTATGTTCGTATGCAGATAACACGAGTTTGCTAAGTAACGTGTGATACGAGTTGCACGTAAACGTACTGGAAATATGTAATTGAATATTCGAATTATGATCGGTGGTGCGCGAAATGAAATGTAGAATTAACGTATGGGTGTACTGTGCACAAAATACACACAGATTTCTTTTTATATATCTATAATTAGGAAATCGACAAAACAAAAAACCGACGGGGGAGTTAGAGCGAGGCTTTGTTAATTTTATGTCACTGGGATTCCCCCGTTAGTAATTATAGAAACCGCCGCGTGTCGCTTTGTTCTCTGTGTGTAATTGTAATCATCAAACCGCTTCGAACAGCGTAATAAAGACCGAAACGAGTTTTGCAATATTCATAAAGCAGCGTCGGGTACATATTTTTATTCGGATAAAAGATGACGAACGAGATTTTATTCGAATAAAAGTTTATCCGATCAGTGTAAATGAACGAATAAATGTTCACTCGTTATTCAAATTAACTTATCAAATTAATAGCAGGTAAACGTTTTCTAATCTTTTATTCGTTGTTCGAAACAATTATCTAGACAAATATTTACAAAGATGTTTTTTGTTCATCTCGGTCTTAAAGAACTTTTTCTTTTGTTTTTTTCTGCGCAAGTATGTTCTCTTCATTTAATTTATTTATTGGCAAATTGCTTTTTGCCAACGGTTATTATGTTCCTTATTCATCGCCTGTGTCACAACCGACTTTGAATAATTTTATTCAATATTTTTGCTCAACGTTCAAGTATTTCTTAAGGTATCCTTTAATTCGTGAAACGTAAAAATGTGTAAGTTGCCCGTTTCTGTATTACAATGATTATCGATTGGGATTCAATTATTCAAGATTAGGGTTGCCAGTTTTTCGTATTAACGTAACCAGAGATTGCTTGTAAAAGAATCGAAGGGCTGGTAATAGAGATCAATGAACTGTCTAGCGTTTATATTATCACCTTTTATAATGTCCTAACCCTACTTGTTTCGCGCGATACCTAGGATTTGCTCGGTGTCACAGCGTTGAAACAATGTACGTAGAGTTCACAGTGTCCAGATAACAGTTTAAGCGCAAAGGTGGCAACCCTATTCGAAACACAGTACCGAACACTAAATATTCGTACGCATACGCTACTTTGTTAAATGATAACAAAGTTCATTCCTTCAAGCGCCCGTCGGAAGCTAATTTATTATTTATCACTCGTTAAAACTCGTGTTGAATGGACACGTTTACACCGAATACAATTTTGCGACTCGATGTAATTAGTAATTTTTTACCAAAGCGTTCGAAACATTAATATTCCACAAATACTGTACCCTTCGTTTCGACGACACGAATATGTTCCCACCTATAAATTACTTTAACCGTGATTACTTTATAATTACTTCGTATCATTCCATTAATTCACAGCAATTTTCTCCTCTTTTCTCGGAATACCAAATTTTTGTTTTTTTTTTTTCGAATTCTCTCATTTCGCAATGAAATAAAGAGTTCATAATACGTTTTGTTAAACGTGACCAAACAACCACACACAACAGATATATTGTTCCGATGTTACGAGTTCTTATAGGCAAATACGCATATACGTATAATAGAAAATCGTTGGTTTATTATAATACAACCTCTTGTACATAAGTTTAAATATACAAATATCTGGTTCACTATGAGTATATTAACTTCTGTACAATCGTATTCGTGATCCCTGTCCATTTTACTTTTCATAAAAAGACTAATTTTGAAACCTGAACTTATTTCCATCAGTTATTTAAGTCAGTTTTTTTTTTTTAATTTACACGAGGATACTACCGCAAATGATTAATATTGTAGTTGATTTATACAAAAAATATGATAAGAAAACTTATATAAAATGAACACGTTGCTATTATGCACGTATATATTATAGCAAAGTTTTAGACTTTAATTAAAAATTACTACATTGGTGAAGCACTGACATTTCATTTGTATGTATACTTGTGTCGTCTTAATGGGAAATTCTAGAAGCCAAAATAGGATGAATGTCAAGAATACCAATTTGTTGATGGATGCTAATGTAAGAATACATTAATAGTAATAATTGTATTGTATTTTTCGATCACAAATGATTAAGGCGCCATCTAGCGTCAAAGACAATGAACTATTTCTCGACAAACTTACACGTTTTTGCCATAGATGGTGCGCCTTTCAGCACCTTTTTATTATAAAAAATAATAAGCTTTGGACTCGTTTTATTAAATAGACCGACATCCACATCAAAATAACCATTATTAATAGCACCCTTCTAGAGATAACGATATACATCCTCAAGTCTATTGACCAAAATTCGATATATTGTTTCGATCGATATGGAATGATAAAAAATTGATCCAATTTTCTCGCAGCTTGGATTGAAAATGAAATCAACGAATGCATTCATTCTCATAGTAATTGTTTATTGTTGAAGTGATATAGATATAATGATCCGTAATGTAATTTAGCTACAATGATGAGTTTTCGCAACTAGCGGAGTTGTGTTTATACATGGATTATACAATATGTACAGAAAACCTAAGATCGTATAAGCAATACTTTGTTTTGGACAACTTCGCGGGGCTCGCAATCGGGGAATAGTTGTCGGTCTTTTCGCCCTCCCGTTCCATCTTTTGAAAACAGCGTTGCGCAAGCACGCAACATCTGTACTTGAAACTCGTAAACGTTCCACTTAATCTACGAAACATTTTAGTTGACACGCTAATGATTTACATGGACTTCTCTAACCGACTTCGCCTATACTTATCACGTGTTCGTTATTTACAGCAGTATTATGTATATATGTATACGTTCGTCACTCTTGTTAAAGAATCATTCGATCCCAACCGACAAGAAACTTTTGATTTTCCTCTTAGAACTATCCTTTATACTCTAGGACTCTCTTACCTTGGACTGAAACTTTTTTCTTTTTGTTTCCTCTTTTAATTAAAAATCATATCGAACTGTTTCACGCTTGACAAGGTTGCAACTGTTGCACGTATCTTTAGTTTCTTGTAATCAGTCGTCTCTGGTGAGTATTTGTATAAAATGATAAATAGAATCTACAAACAGTGTCGTCGATATGCTTTTCGATTTATAAAAAATGTCTAGAGGAAAAAAACGGATGTGCCGCAAGTATAGATTCAATATGTTACACGGATCAAATTTGTTCGGCCATCGTTGCGATAGATTCTGACAATTTACATTTCGTAGAAACGAAAGGCCGATCGATGAACTCTGACTTTAAACCGGGATCAGTTTTGAACAATCAAGATCCTCCCTTGCAGGTATCAACTTTTTTCGCGTTCGTTTGAGCTACTACAACCACGGATTTCTACAACTATTCAGAACCTGATTTCTATACCGAAGTATGTATTTGTTCTTTCTTATTGTCTTTTTCTTTTAAATTCCAAGGAAGAGCAGTTTTCAGGCTGCGTGTAATCTATCGTTTTCATCGAGTGTCTATCCCTTCGTGTTATCAGTTTATGGAACATACTGTTGACTCTACGCTAGTGAATTATCATAATCGCTAGATTTTCATTTTTCGTGGCATATTTTGCGAGAAACTTGTATCAACGTAGCCCTCCAATTAACCTCTTACACGACCCACGTCACAGCAACGAAAAGTTATTTGGATTTTGTTTGAAATCTCAGTTACCGAACCCGTCAAGCCTTTCTCGGTAATTATTTAGAAGTTTCTCCTCCTCGTCGATCTTCCTAACCTTGAAATATGTCAAGATCATCGTTCCGAGCAACTTTTCCTATTCTTCTTGTTACAACGGTTACGTTTTTGCGTTTGTTTCGGTATTTGATACATATTTCCTCCAAGTAATGTCTTGTCACGATGTGAAACCATCTCAAGTAGAATTTCGTATGTTTGGAACGGGCCTTGCTCCCAAACCCCCTCGCCGCCAGAAAATATAACCTCAAATCATTTCGATCATTTTTCCTCGGAATATAGTGTACTGGTTAGATAAGTATAACTAGAGTTTTTGTAGAGTAACATGTATAGGGAAAAGATGACGAAAATCGGCGAGGAGGGGAAACTTCTAAATAATTACCCCCTTTTTTCTATTCGCGTTAGAAAACTTTTAAATTTGGTATTTTTAATCGTTACAACGGAGAGTTTTTTAGCAAATTTTGATTTACGTAAAGCCACCGTCGAGATCAAAACCATCGTGACTCTAAACTTTCTTTGTTTCATTTTTTTTTTCTTCGCTAGAGTCCCCCCCCCCAAACGACGGAGGTCTTAAAAGGTTAATCCCTAAGATAGTTAAAAATCAGATAAATTACGCAAAGTGCCTACTAAACACACGAATGCTGCTATCGTTACTTTTTACAAGATTCTTACACGCATATATCGCCTTGCCTATATTCCTCTGTCCTCTCGTTGCACGGTTAAACGCGAAAACATATAGGAATACGCACGAGTATTAGTTTTCGAGTACGAATTTATGCGCTTGATTGCACGGTTCACGGTAGACGCAACGTTTATCACGCATTTGACAGTACGGAAACGCATAAAAAATTTTGGTCAACACGACGATATCAATAGATTTTTCGGTGTCCTATTTTACACCTTGTGTGATTTTAAACGGCGTTGCTCATCAATTTTTTTTAGTACATTCGTATCTCGTTAATGTAACACAGCTTTAAACCAGTTTGATTTGGGTTACCACCTATATACAATAAATAATCGATACGTTACGTTGCCACATTTCCCGTTCGTAATAATTTTGCAACCAATTTGAAAGTGTAACGAACGCGTTCCCCCTCTCTTATTTCCCTTGATCATGTGATGTGCGACGTTCATGCCCAGAAATTCGAAATACATATACGCACGAAATGTTTTCGTCGATCTAACCAAGTAATCAATCACACGATAACTGAAACGAACTTATTGAAAAGAAAATATACGTTGATAAAAAAAAAAACCGTCGCATAAATATCGTTTCAAACATAATTTAATAACATTTCTCGATCGATTGCCGATAAACATAGTTCTGATATTTATATTTGCTCTTAAACCTTTGATCATCGTGTGATTAACAACTTTATGATATCTTATCGGATCTAAGAATAGAAACGTTATAAAATGTGTTTTATTAATTTCATCGTAAGTCACTACAGTAGTCGCTTTAAAATCGTTGAACGATCATTCAACAAAGAATTACGGTTAAATAGGTGAATAGTTATCGTTTATCGATTTACAAGAATTTTTAATACGTACACGGAATGCTTGCATACAAACTTTTCGAACCGTTCGACTTCGTGTATTATTTTATTACATTTACGTTATATTCCTTTTAATTTTTATACATTTTAACGTGACTATGTAGTGTAATATGTCGTTGAGTAACTGTCGTTACGTCACAAGCCATCAGCGTTGCAAAGATGGCTGTCGCGTATCACCTGATCCAAGGAGAGCGTGAAAGTGGGAGGCTGAATTGCATCGCGAACCGTTCGAATCGAGAGGCTCGCGTTTTTAAATAACGTCGATTTTAATCAACAGATACGACAACCGATACGAATCGAACGAAAGCTTCGAAAGGAATTGAACTTCGACTCTCCAGCAGTTTACCGACACGTAATCGAGGAGAAACGAAAATTGACGAGTTCCGCGAAAACGCAAATAGACGTCGGCTATCTTTCTATACAAAATAACTACTGTGCAGAGACCGTGAGTTGTCGACGAATCAAATTAGATGTATCGCCTCCAGTTACCACGGATTGTCATTATTATCTAAGTCGATCACACCCATAATGTATAACGCGTAACCAAGGTTGCGAAGAAGAAACGTCAAAACATCGTGATCGTTAAAAATTTAAAGATGGAGATTCCCTGTTCGTTCCTGCGTCGAACGATTCTCGAATGCTCGACAACTTATGGTCTCTGCGTAGTAGAGGACTTGCGGTACGTGCTGTACATCGAGTGTAAATAATAATACTATGATACAAAGTATAAGTACATTGGTTTAAATGATTGCAGGCTGCCCCACTCATATCACAGCGAGGGGCGCTGCCGGGCCCGCCACTAAATTTCTAAACACGACCTTCATAAAAAAGGAAAGTGACGCATGTGCTCGCACGTGTATACAACTTGCGCACTCATACCCCTTCGCACCAATATAATATTTTATATTTATATATGTATATATATATGTATATGTATATATATATATATAATATCTTTCTCTTTTTTATGTATATATTTATATTTTCTTGTACAGGATACGCCATGTAACTCTAGTGCTTTGAATATCCACGTTATTGTCAACAATATAACGGAACGATTAAAGAAACGAAGAAAAGAATTATAGAATTTCGAAGATCGAAATATTGCGATTAACGGAATTTCATTTTTCTCAAAGTCACCTTGATATCGAGAATACGACGATGTTGAAATAGACGTGTTTCTTCGGACACTGGGGTAGGGGAGGGGAGGGTTCGTATCATTAACGGTAACGGGGATGGTCGCGGTAATCAAGTTATATGAGACACCCTGTATATATTCGTAACGTAATATAACCCTAAGTGAGGTGACCATCACTGTCGCGCATGGACGGTCAGAGTACGGAGGGCTGAGACGTGGCGGCGCCACGTGTCTTGCGGCCATGCGGCTCAGTCTAGGCGCCGCCATTCGTCGGACCCTCGTGAAAAAAAACCACGTTACAGTGGCTTTTGGAAACCGGAATTCAGACCCGCTAAACGCTGAGACTCCAACTGCCGGGCCTATCGGTCCCCTTTAACATGTTTAAGACTAGTGTGACAATAGGAACATGGTATCTGCTGGCTCTGGTTGTTAAGAGGATTTCTCGTCAGACTTCGAGTCCCGGATATCTCTCTGCTCGAATGCTCTGAACGAAACACTGCTGGCTCTACGTGAAACGTTTCTCTAGCAGCTAGGGCGGAGTTCAATTCCCGAGCACGTGAAGTTTCGATGAAGGAAGATATGTACCGGTCGAACTTCACGTGGCTAGTCCCTCGCCTCTGGCCGCTGACGGTGGCTGAAGCCGAGTCGAAGGTGGCGTAGAGTTGCTTTCCGGTCTGCTGGGTGGCTCCCTGTCGAAGTGATGTTGCAGAGCGTCGCCCGTCCACGTCGGAACGTTGGCGGAGTTTTGATTGCTGCCGTTGGACGACGGGGTGCCGGGGGAATGGGATGGCGACGGCGTTTGGAACAGCATAGACCCCGACGGGATCGAGGACTTCCCGTCAACGAGCGGACCGTTGCTAGTAGGCGCCATTGGCTGCTTGTCCAGAGGAAAACCAGCTCCCGTCGCGTACACGGAACCGAACAAGCCGGCGTACTTTCCAGTAGCCACCGAGTGACTCGGTAATCCATTGTTACTTTGGATCACCGATATCTCGTTCAGCTGTAAATAATGCCGTCCGATTAGCTTTACTCGGGGCCAATTGTCTAGAAAATATAACGGGAAAAAAATTTCACACGCTGCGATCTTTTCAATTGTACCAACCAGTATTTTTTTTTTTATTCGATATTTCAATTTTCTCACGGACGGTTTTGGTGAGTACAGCAACACTCGGATAACTGCGAGTTATTTTCGATCGGATAAGCGAACGGTAGTTATCCCTACTGCCGACAGGGGGCCTTACACTCGTGGAAATTGCTTTTGAAACAATAGCAGGTGCAAGTTATAACATATACCTAGCATCAAAAAACCCTAGTAGGTTTCTTTACAATGGGCCTTCGTTTTCGAAATATTTTGATTTGAAGTTTGGTAAGCAAGGATTGAAAAAATTACTTGAATTTATTTTGCAGGACAAGTTTTGTTTTAAGATTTAAGTAAGCCTCTTAATTGAAGATCTCATTTTGAAGAAATCTATCAAGGTTGTTGATACTAGGTATATACTGTAACTTGCACCTGCTATCTTTTCAAAAGCAATTTCCACGACTGTAAAGACCCCCTTTGAAGTCACAACAACGTAAATTTTCGTTTAGCTCAAAGACATCGAGCAGTTCGATGAAGCTCTTGTGGACGTGGCGTGGGTCAGAGTAGACGAAGGGTTATCCACGTTATGAAACCGAGGAATACTTGCCAGTAACTTGCATTAAATTCTATTCTGGCCATTTCGAGTTACAGCACGCGTCGGTTTTGGTTTGGTACGAGAGATTATGAAACGAAACGTTATGGACGATCGCTTACTTTTTGCTGTACGCCGTTAAGGAATGGCGCGGGTAGATACGGGTAAAAGAGATCCGGCCGTCGTTGGAGAAACTCCGAATCCTTGGGTGTAATAGGTAGAGGAGGTAGATCCAGCGACATTCGACGGCCTCGCCGAGAGGCTCCGTTGGTCCACATATGAGTGCCCATGTGCACCTACGATCAGAAAATTTCACACGGTCAGCACGGCCGTTGAAGCTCGACCGTTGCACCGATTTTACATCGAGTTTGCAATTTTGTACGTTACGCGTTGGCGTTAGTACAAGCTTAGTAGCAGTTAACTGGTGTTACGTGAAGAAACTCGAAAGATTCATGGATACGATCGAAGAGCAGGAGAAAAAGAAAGAGAGAAGGAAGAAGAAAAAAAAAACAGCGTGAGAAAGAGAGAGAAAGAGAGAGAGTAAAAGGGGGAAAAATTGTAAGTATACCTTGAGATTACCCTTGGTGGTGAAGGCCTTCTGACAGACGGTGCATCTGAACGGTTTGTCTCCCGTGTGAGTTCTCATATGGATCTGGAGCGCCGAAGATGAGGAGAAATTCTTATTGCAAATCTGGCACAAGTGTTTGCTCGGCACGCCTGCAAATACACACACACACACAGTTCCACTAAACTGGCCCGGATACATGTTTCATGAGGTTCAAGTTTGCCTTTTCAGCTAAATTCTCGCGGTCTGAAATATCGAGGTGGGGCTCGTTCGAAGCTTCGACCGATAAGCGATAGGAGCGCCACCTGTCGCCAGGAGCGCGTGAAGAGAACAGCGGTGAATAGAAAATACAAGCGTGCAAGTAAACAAAGGTCGTTGCACCAGCCTCGCGTTCCCATGAAAAAGTTGAAACTTTTAGCGATCTGTTAGCGGAAGAGGTTAAACTTGCCAAGCCAAGCCTTGAACGGTTCGAATTGCTGCTCGATGAGGAACCAGGCTTAAACACTTATCGAACAGTTTTCCTACTTACTGGCTGGTCTCTTTGGCGCTGGCAGGTCTCCTTCGGGCGGAGATCTTTTTATAGAAATCGTTTGCTCCATGGTCGTAGGCGGCATCGGCGGAGGGGGCGGCGGAGGCGGCGGCGGCGGCGGCAAGCTCGAATCGTCCGCGCACATCGGACTCCTCGAGTTCTCGTGCTCCTGCGGCTGTTGTTGATGCTGCTTCGAGTCGCTGAACAGATGGGGCGGCATGTCGCGGATCTTGTGTGTCAGCATGTGCTGCTTCATGTTCCCCTGCGAATCAGAAGACGAAGATTTCGTTAAAAGGGTTTCGAACCGGCCCACCTGAAATTCAACCGCTTCGCCGATCACACCACTCTGCATAATTCTCGATGTTCCAAGATTCTTGACTATTGTCAATCAATGTCTCAGATTATATCTAGAAATGTAAAAAAATATTTTTCCGTAAATTATATATGAACAGTCATCATTGGGCGATCAGAAGTTGCAGGCGAGCCACGAAATGTAAATGGATAGCAGTAATCGGGAAAGAGACGGGGTACTCGCCGAGACGCTGATGGATTACGGAACGTCGTAGAAGGCAAACAATGGAAGAGACGTCTCTGAGTGTTCGTGTGGAGAAAAGTTTAATGAAATTGACGAACAAAAATTCTGATGCTATAGAGAGAGAGAGAGAAAAAAAACCGGAGCTGTTGGGATATCGGTTGTCGAAATTGGCCGTTACTGTGAAAAGTCTGGAAATCCATTTTAGAATACACAGTGGTGTTATCATTGTTTTTGATTCTCAAAATTCAGCAGGCTCTTACCAGGAGGCTGTGCGCCGAGGGTAGAAGTCCGAGGGCGGGTGACATCAACGGGGGTAGGCGGATGGCAGGATAGACAGGTGTCAGCCCCCGCCCCCCTCCGGCTCCTCTCCGCCCCCGGGTCTTCCGCTCCTCAGGCCGCCGCCGCCTGCGTTTCGGTTTCTCTCGATTACTGGCGCACGATGATCGATATTGGGAATCGGGTGAAGTGATCGAACTGTTATCGAGCAACGGTTGAGATGTACAGATGCATGCTTGCTGCCCGGAACCGTCGTTCTGAAAGTATCGTAGAAAAACAAAGATACAGAGATGGACCAAAACCGATTTATATCGGGCTTGTGGGACGTGGCCATCGATTCTCGACAATAATCGCGTACGAATCACATTTACTAAAATCTCATCGCGGACGTTAAGGAATTTTAAGAGTCTCTACAGCCCCTTTGCTCTATTTATAGTAGGGTGGACCTTGGTTATACTCGATGAAAAATTTTCTTTGGGGCACCCCCTGGAATTGTGATAAAAAAAAAAATATGAAAAATCTGAAATCGATCGGGATCGACAAACGGGGAAACGTGACGCATTAAAGTTGAAAATGTTGTATTTTTGTAACCCGTTTTTCTGGTACCTCTTTGAATTGATCTTTTTACACTTTATAAATATATAGAAACAAAATTTAGAATTTTTTGTTTTTTATAAGTTGCTAAAATTTTTAAAATTTGTTTCCGAGAAAAATATACTTATTCGCATTATATTTATTTCGTTAAATAGTACAAGCGTTACATATAACATGTTTGTCGATAATAATGAAAATATTTAAGCGATTACGTTTTTACGTCGACTTCATATTTTCGTAAAATAAATACTACTTTTCAGTGAAATAATTTTGATGTATATCAAGATTATAGTTTCTTAATTATTTAATATCATAATTCAAAAAGGTATTCGAATTTTTGAAAGTACTGTTTATTCAAAGGAGCTTGAATTCCGGAACGAAACTTGAAAGGGAAATGTAAGAAACGTAGTATTTATTTTACGAAAATATGAAGTCGAAGACATAAAAAAACGAATCATTTAAATATCTTCGTTATTTATAAACATGTTATATATAAAACTTGTACTATTTAACGAAGTAAATATAACGAAAAGAAGCATATGTTTTTTCCGCAATCAATTTTTGAAATTTTAGAATCAATACTTATAAAAAACAAAAAATTCGAAATTTTGTTTCTATATATTTATAAAGCGTAAAAAAACGAATAGAAAGAGGTACCAACATGTACGATAGCGATACACTTTAATGGAGAAAAACGGATTACAAGAATAAAAAGAAATCAACCTCGATGTGCCACGTCTTTCCGTTGTTCGATCGATTTCAGATTTTGCATAGGTCATCTTTTTCATCCGTGGTTATAATTCCAGGAAGTGTCCCAAAAAAAAAAAAATTTCAAAGTTGAAAAACAATGTCCACCCCTAATTCATAATCATTTTCGTACTTTTCGCTAAAGGTACAAAGGGATCGTACAAGGAGTGGGTCGAAGATTTTAATTTCTATATTTTTAATAATACATTCACAGTGACGAGATGCAATATTATACTTTTAACGCGTTCGTTGCAGCATACGAGCGCCATATTGTGTTCCGTTCTCTGCGAGCCATACTTGTAATTTTTCTATCGTTCTTATCAAAATTAGCGGGAAATAATTGAAAAGTTTGGGTTATGTTTGACCCAAATGTTTGATGAAATCCAATAACCGAACAGAAAACTCGAAATAACTATTTTAAAAAAAATATTACCGTTCATTTTTGTTGGGGGAAAAAAGTAACGAACAACTATTCCAAAAATACACTTGCAAATTCACCAACCTGCCGATACTTTTATTCTTCCAAACGAAATTGAAAAAAAAAATTTATTTTTTTTAAAAAATCGGCTTTACGAGCATCGAACGATTTCTCAGTGTTGAAAGTTTGAAAAATTAACGCTTCGAATTAGAGTCTACCCTATTGATTTGATTTAAGAAAGTTACGTTACCTTCGTGGAAAAGCCTCTGTCGCAAATGCTGCATTTGAAAGGTCGCTCCTTCGTGTGACTTCGATAATGGATCTCCAGCGCGGAGTTGCACGCAAATGTCTTGTAGCAGATATTACATGTGGTGTTTCCACGCACTGTAACAGATCGTAGCTCTTTACAATTGTATTCCGAGTACTTCCACGTGTTTCTACATCTGCGAAAGTAATTTGTAACTACTACGCGATCGTAAAGTACCAATTGCAAAACGCGAGAAACCGCGTTGACTTTGCTCGACAAAATGCTCGAAAAATCAAGAGAGATGTTTGCAATCCGAGATTTCCAGGTCATGAATCGACTGTTATCCGGCAAAACTATATCGAAGATAGCGTTAGTCACAATATCCTAACAGCCTAACGGTAGGTGGAGAATGAATCGTGAAGGCAACAATAAATTTTGCAAGGTTCATTTATTTCTCAAATATATCCACAGTTCTAACCTTCTTTTATGCAAAAAGATGTTAGATACAAAGCTGATATGTGCTCGCAAACGCTGGTATCTTCCGTTTCATTTTGTAAAGAAAAATCACAGAGTGACGTGAACAGAGAATGAAAGAGTAACAGAGGCATAGACAGAGAAATATCGAAACAAAGGTGTACAAAAAAGACAGTAACAGAGTCAAGCGGGAGGGTGGGAGTGCTAGGTCCGGCTACACCACAAATAGGATGTCGATATACAGCTTGGATAAGGTGGACGAATCAGTCAGTCTTTCGGTCGGGATCAGTGAATCGTGTCAGATCGATCGGGAGGTGTAGCAGGAACTGCAGCTCGCCCTGATGCTAGCAGCGCCTACCTGCTGGCCCTCCGACAGCCAGGCCGAGCGGGTTGTATGTCGAGGTGGCAGCGAGTACGGCCGACGTGGTAAGCGAGGCCAACGGTCCAGCGGCGCCGGAACCCGGAGCGATGTCGTTCATCGAATTGATAGTATTTATCGAGGATCCTATGCTGCTGGTGGATGGCGACGAGGAGACCGCTTGCAAGAGGCCTGCGAACATGCCGAAGGGGTGTGGGTGGTGTATTGCGGTCTGCGGGGGCGGCGTTGGTACCGATGCCACCGAAGCTGGCGTCGAGGATGCACGGGGCGTCAGGTCTAGAGGCGCGCCGGCATTCGACGGGCTATTGCTCTTCTCGCTGCCGTTGTATCGGTGAAATGGCGGCGACCTCGCTGTGTTCGCCGTCGACGTCGCTATCGTGGTAATAGTTCGCACCTGATTCTCAAGAGCAGCGAGAGAAGTCGAGAAACTGGGCAGAGAAACGTCCTTTTGCTCGTTCTCCTCGCTCTCGCGATCCTGTTCGTCCTCCTGGTCGTCGCGACTGTCGCGGATCGCGTGGCAACGCTCCTCCTCCTCCCTGCGGTCCTCCTCCTCGTCCTCCTGATCGTCCGCCTCCTCGCTCTGATCCTCAGCGTTGTACCTTTGCTGCTGTTGCGGTTGCTGCTGGTGCTGATGGTGTTGCTGGTGGAGGTCCTCCTTCGCGTCCATGTCGTTCTCCTGCGGCTGTCGTTCCATGGTCTGTTGCCTGGTCGGCGGGAAACTTAACGGGAACCCCGTTCCAGCGGGATGAATCGGCGGGAAGCCCTGCGGGAGAAACGACGCCAACGGATGGTGGGGATAACCCGGCGGAAATTCGTTCACTTCGCCAGCTTGGATCTGTTCCGGGCTGAGTTCCGTCGGCTCGCCGGTGTGCAACCGTATGTGTTGCTGCAACACCAGCGCGTTCGTGAATTTCTTGTGGCAGACCGGGCACTGGTGAAGCACCCTGAGCGGCGGTTTCGCCCTGTGCACCCCCATGTGCGTCTTCAGGTTGCCTTTGGTGGTGAACGCGCGACCGCAAATTTTACATTTGAACGGTCGCTCGCCGGTGTGGGTCCTGTAGTGCATCTGGAGGGCGCTCTTGCAGGACAGCACTCTGTGGCATATCACGCACTGATTAGGATCGGTCAGCTTGTGCTCGATATTGTCGACCAGCTGCTGCAATTTCGACGTTTCCGAAGTCTTGGTGATCTCGATCAAGCTCTCCCAGGAATTGTCGTTGCTGCCCGGCCGTGGCAGCAAGCTGGAATAGATGGCTGGATCCTTCGCCGGATCGATCATGTCGCTGGTCGAGACAATGGGCGCGTTCATGGTCGTCGAACCAACGTGGTGAGGAATCTGATGATGCGCGGGTGGCCCTGGGAAGAGAATCCCCGCGAAGGACGTTTGCAGGCTTCCGCTGCTCGCGCTACTGCTGGCAGGAGACGCTCCGGGATAGGCAACGATCTGCTGAGGCAGACGACTTATGGTTCCTCGGCCGGACAAATTCTCCGGTTGTTCCTCGATCTCTTCGTCGACCTCCATGTCACCGTCCCCTTCAAGCCGCCCACTGATCTTGCTATCCATGCTGCAGTCTTCGTAGGTTTGCGGCTGAGAGAGCGGATTGACGGAGGATTGAGGCGAATTCAAGTACCGTCTGGTCGTTTCCTCGAAATCCTCGATCTCCTCCTCGGTGGGATCCTCGGTCTCCTCCGGTTCTTTCTTCGGCGTTATCCTCTCAGCGAGTTCCTGACTGATGGGCCGTTGCTGGTACTGTTCCTGCATAGGCAACCGTTGCTCGAGCTTGATCTCGTCCCTTTGCTCTATGTGCTGCTTTTGTTGTTGGTGATTATCGTGAAAAGAATGACGAGAGTTCGACACAATCGTAGGGGAATGTGGAGACGTGATCGAGGCAGTGGTTACGGGCTTACTCAAGTTCTCCGGGACGTCCTGATCGTCCCGATGGGCAACGACTGGCGATCTATACAAGGGTGGCATACCGGGCAGGGCTAAACTGAGTGGTAAGGGTGGCTGAGGAGGTAAAAAACCGTGCGCCGCCGCTGGGTGAAAAGAGGGATGATGAGAAGGTGACGGCGGCGGTGGGGACGGCATTGGTCTCTGACCAGAGGCGATCTGTTGTAGCAGGGGTGGGTGGTACTTGTCCAGGTGTTCCGGAACAGGATTCGGATTCATCTTAACATGTGGAAACTTGGCCGTATGCCTCTGGAAGTGGACCTTCAAGTTCCCTTTTGTAGTGAAGCGGCTGCCGCAGACGTTGCATTTAAAGGGTCGCTCACCTGTGTGCGATCGTATGTGGATCTGAAGCGCTGAATCGCTGCCGAACACCTTGCCGCAGTACCGGCATCGATGCTTGAAGAACGGTTCCCCGCGACCGCTACCAGACTTTGAGTCGTACGGGGAGAGACGGGAACCCTTTCCGCCCCTAAACGCGAGTTCGTCGGCCAGGTTGTTGGCCAGCAGACCCTGGCTAGCATTGTCCAACACCTCTTGGGCTCTCTTCTGCAGCATCTCCAGGGTGTTTGGTTCGTGTAACGGCGGTGGATCGGTGTTCGTTATTATCGACGAGGCTAGGGAAGAACTGATCGAGCAGAGCGGCGGCATTTGATGGGATATTGGCATTTGGCTGTTACTGGTGGTCGCTGTCGTACCCGTCGCGTTCGACGAAGGCATCGGAAGATTCAATGGCGAAGCGCTGCTGGTCGGTGTTGGCCGTTCCTGGGACAGATTCGGTGTCATGGGGGCTGGCGAGCTCTGCTGGCGACTCGGTGGATGCGACGACGGAGGCGGCGTCAAGCTTGACAGTGGTTTCGGTTGGATGATGGGAGACGGAGATACTTCTTTGCTATCCGACGGTTCGCCTAAAGCTTGGTGCACGGTCTGGCTGTGCGTGATGGACAGTTGTTGTTGAAGTTGGCTGATCAACTGTAGCTGGAACACCTGTTGATGCTGAAGGGTGTACAACGTACTTTGTAACAGCGCCAGGTCCTGCAGAGCCGCCTCGCTGTCCGCGCCACCAGCCAATGCCGTCGCTGCGAACTGGGCAACCGCCACTTTCGTGTTCTGAAGAGCTTCCAAGGTAACGTGACTAGTCCCAGCGGGCGGGAACAGATTTCCGGATCCACCGCTCTCCACAAAGTTGTTGTTGTTCTCCGCGTCCTGTCGATGACGCATTTGCTTTCGCGATCCTTCTTCGTCCTCCTCCTGGTCGTCCTGTTCGTCGACGCCTTCCTCTTCCTCCTCTTCCAAAGCATCGTCTTGATCCTTGTCGTCTTCGTCGCCCTGATGTGATCTGGGTGCAGTGAGGTCCACGGCTTCGTTTCCTCTGCCCCCTTCACCGCCACTTTCTTCACCATCTGATATGAAGTCATTTTCTTCTCCTGTAACAGAAAATTGTGTTCACGATTAGTCTTTTTTTTTTATACTTCGATGGTTACTCGTATTTATAATTATTTTATATTTAGCGGAAACAACACTCAACTTATCAGAATTTATATATATAAAAAAAAAAAAAGGAAACGCGTTGTAAAACCTCGGATTGTACACTTGTACGCTCGCATTCATAAAAAAGCATGACAAATTTCTACTAAAAATGTGCAGAAATCGCAGATTAAATCATCTTTTATCAGTCACAGAAAATATACAAAGATTTTTTACATTTTTCTACACCTTTGTTTTAAAAAGTTTGCGACTGCATCATTTAAGTAAAAGCTTGCAAACAGTTTTTTAATCATTTATTACTTTTTATATTTTTAACCGTACGAAAGTCACTAGTCCCCGCTTGTACGATGTGTTTTGTCAAATTTTCTCGTATGCCAACAACCCGTGACAATTGAATTTACATTCAGTGTGTAAATAATTCGTGTGCGTTATGATTCACAAGTTTAATACAGCTGACGATGTTATCAATGAAACAAATGTGCAAACTTATCAAGTTAAATGTTTTCGTACGACGATCATCGCATAAACCGAGATATATCGAGAGAGTTGCAAAATTTTTAATGTTTTAAGAGCAGCATCGAGCCTGATAAATGGAACACTCGCTTTACTCTACAAACACCATGAATAATTTAATAAATATCGTATATTACATAATAAAATGTATATTATCCATCAAGCGTTCGTAAACACTAAAGTTCTTGTCGGTCGATCCAATCCAGTGTAAAGCAGTTATAAAACATTGGTCCTCTTTCTTTCTCGTAAATATTTATTCCAAAAGGATGAAATCGAACTTCAAAAGTTTCTGCATGCTTACGTTTTTCCAAAATGTATAACTTCGCGACAAGATTAACAGTACAAGAATAGAGTAAAATCGTAAACACATTAATTGTTTAGCGTTCCATTTCTCTGGACGATGGAGACGATGCTCGATCCAGTTCTTCCAGCTTTGTGACTCGTAGCTAACCATTTTAGTCGTTTTGTTGCCACTTTGGTATATAAGAAAAAGCGTCGAGGAATCGTCTTTCGTTGTAGAAAGTGATACAACGTTGAAATTCTCCGACTACACACTAAAAAGGTGCATTCGTAGATACGGAATATAAAAGAAAAGTTGTAGCATATTATGGAGAGACGGTAAAAGGGAGAGTCTGAAAAATAAAATCGAAAAGAAACGAAATCCAAGTGAAAAACTACTGGAAATTTCGAAATTCTAATACCGGCACAAATCCCTGTAATTCGCGATAAAGATTTGCGAAAATGGACGTTGCAATTTAACGCGGACACCGTGCAGTAGAATTTCGAAGCTTTGACAAAGTGGATTTCCAATTTTAAAAGTGAATATCCCAGCATCGAGGGTAATTGTCTCAAGTATTGCGACCAACAGTAAACGTCTAAACGAAACTTACGACCTGGAACAAAAGCAATCTTAACCCTGAATTGCATCGTGCTCCGTAATCTCTGCAGCAGAAAAAGTCACGTTTACCCTTTTAATCGTGTTAAAAGAATTTTATGAAACGTTCGAGCCTCGACCAAAAGAAAGATCAGCTCCGTTGAAGGAAATAATCGACGTATGTATTTATCGATCGAGAAAAGACTACAGGAACGGTACAATTTCTTAATATACATGGATCTTGGGTGCGGGAAGGATTGGTAAAAAAATTGTCGGGCTCTCGTATTCATTTTAGATACGGTTATTAACTTGTATTTGTACAATAATATAATAAAAAATTACAATCACTTACCCACAATTAATTCTCTGAGTAGAGATATAATAAGTCGTTTTGTTATGGATGGTACAAAAGTGAATATACAGGGTGTTCAAACCATTCAATATTTATAGGGTATATAGCATATAGGTAGTTTCTGAGATATAAACATTTTTATTTGTTATTATTCTTAATTTACTTGCTACTGAATTTCCGAAGCTTTTTTGCTCGGCACAGTGTATTCTATACATCATATAAATATTGAATGGTTCTTTTGAACACCCTGTATACCCAACCAATCCGATTTTCAATCATCCTCGTTAAATTTACGAATCGAGATACTTGATGCCTACTTACATGCGCCATATATGGAGCACCGACTGTTATTCGTTGCGCATACTGCTGAAATTTCTTACGTTTCAATCATTCCTTTGACGACTTTCATTCAACTGTCATTCTTCATAGACGATGAATTATTATTTGCCGGAAATATCGTTATACGATCTTTAATTCCAAGACTTACAATATGCGTGTTATATGCAAGAAATTGTCGCAGAATGCGATAATGTTAATCGTGCTTTCTATTTGCACCGTTACTATGCTCGTAATGCATCCAGCCAGAGGCCTTTTATATAACTATTTTCATTGCTGTTTTCACTATCGCAAATTAAACAAAAATTGGCAACGAATAGAATTTTTTCCTAGAAAATCCAACTGGAATTGTTTATTCCGAAGCATTGCGATTTATACGATTCGTTTGTAAGATTGATCTTCGAGAGACATTGTTTTTGTAAACAGCAGCGTCGGAGTTAATTTTGCATACGTTCATCGGAAACGAACAAATGTATAGAAAGATGCGTGTTCTTCCCTTGTATAAAAAAAAATTCAAAACATCCCATGAGTCTTTTACGAATATTATAAAGCAGAATAGATCAAAGAAATGACCGCCCGTTTAATTAAATTGTTCCAGGAAAACGCGTATAATGAGATTCTACGGCTATAGATTTCAAAGATAGGAATAAGAAACATGATGCGTGGGACTGAACGATGCGTTGGCATGCCGATGAATGCAAACGAAGTAGGAAAATGATACGAATGCTCATTAGATGGTTGGAGAAAACGAAGATGGTGCCGATGCTCCATAAATTTCCATTAAATGTGATTTTCAATTAGTTTGATTAAACGAGCGATGATTTCTTAACATCGTTTACTTTTGTAATAAATGTTAAAGACAATGACGAATGAATTCGTAAAATACAAAAGATGGGCAATATTTTAAATCAGTTTTACGCCGACTTAGACTTCCTTTTTACATTTACTTAATTTGTTTTTATCTCTACCGACACTGGATGGAAACATTTCTCCTTTACTTTTACCAACAACTTTTATAACTTTGCTATACAGGGTGTAAAACAAGATGAAAATCAAGAATATCAATTTCTTGACTGAGGCTTAATTAAAAAATTATTAAAAAATTTCAAATCATTCTGAAAAAATTATTTTTGGTTGCAGAAGTCAATTACAAGCATTTATGGTGAATAGACCTACCCCCAAAATCCTACCCGCTTTCGAGAAAAAAATTCGAGTAGGTACTGAAATTTTGAGACGAAATCAAAAAATTTCAAATCATACTAAAAAAATTATATTTAGTTACAGGAGTCAATTATAAGTATTTTTGGTGAATAGACATACCCCGAAATCCTACGCACTTTTGAGAAAAAATTTCTTAACTGAAAATCTAATGTGAGACCAGCAATGCTTCCCTAAAATTTCATGCGAATCTTTAAAATGTAATAACTACTGAACGGATCGGAGGATTTCAATTTTTCAAAATGCAAACAACGCGTATTTTAGTGGGGAATATGTAGAAATTCTAACAATATTGAAAAAGTTGTTCGTTGACACCGTAAAGTGAGAAAAACCCCCTAAAAATGGTCGAATTTTCAAACGGCCATAACTCCTACAATAGTAAATGGATTTGATTGAAATTTTTTTCTGAAGCAGAGCCCCTGGGTACTTGCAGAGAAGTATTAGACAACTTTTCTGTCGGACGTTGAATAAAAGTATTAAAAATGAAAAACAAAGTGAGAAACACCCCCTAAAAATGGTCGAATTTTCAAACGGCCATAACTCCTACAATAGTAAATGGATTTGATTGAAATTTTTTTCTGAAGCAGAGCCCCTGGGTACTTGCAGAGAAGTATTAGACAACTTTTCTGTCGGACGTTGAACAAGGTTATTAAAAATGAAAAACAAATTTTTAAGAAAAATCGACAAGGGATGTAGCTGCTGAAATTTGTTGACAAATTAAAAAATTTCAAATCGTTCTGGTAAAATTATTTTCGGTTGCGGGGGTCAATTACAATCATTTTTGGTGAATAGACATACCTCCGACATCCTACCCACTTTCTAGAAATAAATTCGAGAAGGTGTGAGATTTTTCGACAAAATTGAAAAATTTCCGATCGTTCTCAAAAATTATTTTTAGTTACAGGGGTCGATTACAATCATTTTTGGTCAATAGCCTTACCCCTGAAATCCTGCCCATTTTCTAGGAAAAAATTCGAGAAGGTGTGAAATTTTTTGACAAAATTAAAAAATTTCCGATCGTTCTCAAAAATTATTTTTAGTTACAGGGGTTGATTACAATCATTTTTGGTCAATGGACATACCCCCGAAATCCTACCCAGTTTCTAGAAAAAAATTCAGTACAGGTGGAACTTTAAATGTTAATAACTTTTTAATGAAGCTTCCATCAACAAATTAGTATTCTTGATTTTCGTCTTATTTTGGCCCCTAGAATCTCCCATTAAAATTTTTCCCCCGGGGTGACCGAACACTCTGTATAACATTTCTCCTTTCCTTTTACTAACAAGTTTTATAACTTTGCTATGTAATGCGGTAATGTAATATATTTAAGACGTGTAAAACACGCGGAATGTTATATAATATTTTTCTTTCTGTATCACGGACAAGTTTCATAATTTTGCCGAGTGATATGTTACATAATGTAAATCACAAAAAAGATATAATTCGGTAAACAAGTCACGAGAAATATGCTGTAAAAGTCTCGCAGCAATTTGTTTTATTACAATATTATGTTACATAGACCAGGTTTTAGAATCATATCATTCATGTGTAATTGTAAAAGATTTAACTTGCAAACTATATAAACAACAAGGTGTTTAAAATGTGCATTTATTTAAACTTCGAAAAGCTTAATGGAAACTTTTATACAAACAATTTGACTCGGTTCAAGTGTAAATAGTTTAAGCGATGAACAAGTTGCAAACCTAACACTGAAATAATATTGAAGTTGCGACAAAGCTAAATTTGTTATTATTTACGAAAAATTGAGAAATAGTAGAATTAAGAAAAAGCACGAATCTGTTCAAAATCAAAATCATTAAATTTTCGTGAAGTAAGAAAACAACTCTTCGGAGACTATGTTGTAAAAGAAATTAATCTAAGAGAAACATTTAATTATTTGAACGTCATAAAAGTAGTAAATATTTGCACGTTTCGTCGCAACGATCGATAAATTTTCGTTGCAGATAACAGATGTTAAAAATATACCTGAAGTGACTTTAGTTTGCTTCGCGATCGAACTTGGTTATTTTTGAGGTTCGTTATTTTTCATCGATCATAATGATTTAATTTACTTGACCAATACTGTTGCCAATAAATATTATTTGTTTAAATGCGTGGTTTTAAAAATAATTCTACCCACATCGACTTATCAGATTCTTGCGTAGGTAATTCGAAACATTTTATATCCCAGAAACAAATAACAAAGGAAGACTTCCGATTATTGGAAGAGAATAGTTTAGACGGGAATAAGAAGATGGCGCAAAAGTGGAACATGCTCGCGGAAGACTTATAGGGGAGAGTCGGGCATTATCGTTCAAACTTAGTATTCGTTTCTTTTACTAGATAAGGACGCTTCTGAGGCAAAAATAAACTACTATCGTATATATGTTTTACATAGTTCGAAACCATAACGAGTCTAGGACCCTTGACCCCCACGCGTCCGTAAACCTATCACAAACCTAACACCTTAACACCTTTTTTCAAACCACGAAAAATTTCGATTTATCTTCTACAATTAGAACACGTGTTTCCATTTTAAAAAAAGTTGTTTTTTTTTACCTAAACCTCAACCTAAGCTTCGGTCTACGTCCAAACTTAACCTCAAACATAAACCTAAACTTAAACACGAATTTGAAAACGAGAGGGCAAGGCCTTTGGGTTACTAATTTTGTTAAAATTTTGCACATTTGCGGGCTTAGTTATTCAGTTTAAGAATACATAACATTATAGGGACAGATAACTTTTTATATATTAATGATAAAAGTTTAATTATTATCAAGAAATATAATTTTAATCTATCAAGTGTCAATTACGGCCATTACATCAGTTTTTTCTCTTAATATAAATAAATTTGAATAAAATGTATAACGTATATAAAAATATAAAAATATGGTACTGATAATCATTGATGAAATTCTCCATCCTCGGTAAGTGAAAACAAAGGAAGCATCGAGAACGATTTATCTCGCAAGCGAAGAAAAATTTATGTTACAAACAAAGATATTTTATTTAAAAGATAATCAATGTTTTTGTGTGTGAATTTTACTATTAAAATTTATCTATATCAAGAGTAAAGTATTATGTAGTTATCAGGAATCGAATTAGAACCTTGTGTGTAGAAGTGTCGTGCTTTACTATCACGCCCCATGATGGTAATTGACGCTTAATAGATTAAAATTAAATTAAATTTTAATCACTAATATTATATTCCTAAACCGGATAACTAAATCTACAAGTGTACAAAGTTTCAACGAAATCGGTAACCCGAAAGGCCTGCCCTCTTCTTGCGAGTCTGAACCTAAATTCTAACCTAAATCTACAGGCAATAATCGAAGTCACAATTCAGTCAAACGTGTTTCGCTAAAGTGACTGGGTACCGATTGTATCGTTCGGAAAGTTATTTTCCAAGGTTATTTTCTTCTTTTCTTCCAACAGTCTCTAGTTTATCAAGAATAATTGATAACCCTCATTTGGTAATCTTTTACGTGCATAAATACATTATGATTTTAAATGTGTTTCCGCGTGTTTGTCGTGCAATACCGACCAACCTCGAATCGACTTTTTCTTTATTTCTATATACAGTCTGCGGTTAACTCAAAGTCTTTTCTCACAGGAAAAAGTAGGAAATATAAATAAAGAAACAGTTGAAAGAGAATCGAAGGGAAATAAAACAGCAAAAGACAAAGGAAAGAAATGCTAATAAACGTATGAGGAAATATGAAGATAACAAAAGGAGAAGGAATAAAACTTCAACGGTCGGTAGTGCAAAACTCTCCCCTAACGCCATGTTGTTAACAATCGAAGCATGGGATTTTGCGACGTAGAATTGTAGTTTTAAAGACGGTATCGTTCAATGATTCGACTGGTCGCGTAAAAACGAAAGCTTATAAGATTTCACTTCACGATCAAATCTATCGCCAAGGATGGAACGAGACAAAAACTTGGCAGCTTTGTATCTTTTAGTTAAAATGCACAATGCCACCGCCAAACTAAATCAGAATTGTTGATCACTAAACAACGACCATACATGCAAGCAACATTCGCAACAACAGTAATCGTCGGTATCGACGTATCCTACGCAGGAAAACCATGCTAGAACACACGGCAAATACCATGGGGAGGGGTGAACGATGCACATTTGTTTCACCGATAAGGAACAGCGGCCCGGCAATTAGTATTCCGTGACGCGTCGCGTGAAACCCGTATAGCTGGAAACTTTCAATAAACACTATACATATCGGGGTTACTGAAAAATGTAAATCGCGCGATCGCTACTCAACGGTCCGACCAGATACGTTTTGAAGCGCACCAGTTTCACCGAAGCGATCCTCTTATCGCTGATCAACACTCGACGATTCGACGGAGTAACAGTTCCTGTCGTTCGCGACAACGGCTGGGAACGCCGGAAACACGAATCGGAGGTGTTTGGCCGCGTCGGTCAAGGTCAAATCGTACCGGAAGATCGGGGACACGAGAGTCTGGAGGGCCTGCAAACGGTCTGCTTGATTCCACGACAATCGAGACGGCGCGTGATGCTCCATCTCATGAGCTGCATGTCTCCAGTACCCGATGCGTGGTCGGTGCGTGGCGCCGACTTGCGGTGACGTGTGGAACCTGGGCTGCGTTTAGACCGGACGTCCGCGTGTCGACCACTGTCATCCGGCAAGGACGAGAACCGACTGATCGCTCGGTAAAGAGCCGGTCTGGGCGTAGGTACCGTCGTGCAACGTCACGCGTCACCCTTCCCCCACCCCCGGCGCTCCTATCCCCACCATCGGCATCCTTCCCGCCGCGCGCAAGCTTCTGTACTCAGTTATGACATGGAAGGCGTTGCGGTTCATAAATCAGGGGATAAAGGGCGGGGTTTGCACGAACCATTCACCGGCCGGTTATTAATTATTATAGGGTGGGAGTCCCCTCTATACGGTTCCACCTACGCCGCGCAACTTCTGGATTTACGATGCTGCCGCGTTCGTTTCGCCGCTTGCTCGGGGAGCCGCGCGCGGGCTCGACGCGTTCCGTTTTGCGAGTTTGTTCTCCGTAGGAAGCTGCTTCACGGAACAGGAAAGTATGAATTCACCCGGACACGGAGTACACCTTCTTTTTTTTTTTAATGCAAATGGAACTTTACGAGTATAAACAGGGGCGGATCTAAAGGAGGAGCGACGAAGACGATTCCCCCCACCTCGAACAGTTATGATATCTTGACAAAGTATATATTACATACTATGCGAACATTATTGAATATGCACTTGCATAAATGAATTATTAATATAAACTTGATTGTTTAGGCTTTTATAGGATTGGTAGAATTAAAAAAATAGTCGGGAAATATACCTTTATATATTTCTTACCCCCCCTCCCCCCCCCCAACTTCATTTAAGCTTCTGGATTCGCCTCTTAATGTGAATGGTGATTCGTTTCGTCCCCACCTTGTTATCTTTGTAATATGTTAAATAATATTTAGCAAAAGAAAATTAATCAATATCTCTATATTAATAGAATAACTGTGTATGTATTGAGGATTAGTTTTATAAATATTTTTTATGGGAAAGGCGTTGAAGAATCTGTTTACTATTTGTACGTAGGATATCTGTTATTTTCTTCGAGTCAAAATGCCCGCCAAATATCTGAAATCCACGAAAACATCTTAGCCAGCATGCTGACTATGCAGTTCAGGATTCAACTTCGCGCAAAGTCCATCTCTGCTAATTACCAAGGATCTAGAATCGTCCTGCTCTCATCGATTACCACAACGTATATAAGTCCTGAATCGTGCCTTGGAAGATTTACTCTGAATTTGTAAAACGTTTGCTCAACGTACCAGTCGATCTTGAAATCTTGACATGTTAGCTTAACGCTTCCCTCAAAAAGACGAGAATAAAGAATGAACATTTTAATTGCGTTACACGTTGAATAAAAATGTAGAATTTTAATTAAAAAAATATATCATAAAATGGTTATTAATTCCTATACGTCTTTATTTCCTGTGTACGATATTGTTTTCTGAATAAAGGAACTGTTGGACGCATCGAAGCTATCAGCTGACTGGGATTATGTATACCTACATAGCATAAAATAAGTTTAATTCAATTATGTGTTATCGAATGCAAAAATCGGTATTTCGTATGGCTTCGCGATCAGTTGACCTATCTTTACGAACAGGTAATTTGTCTTAAAGAAAACTAGTATGCTTTCCCTCTAAGAATGTCTTTAATTTTAGTCTATCACGATTATTTTTACTCCGTGAGTCATTTAACAGAATAATAATCAACAATAGGTTTATTTAATTGGAAGATTCGAAGATGAAACTGACAAAGGTAAATCGAAACAGTACCTATAGTTTTTAAATTTCGTAACGATCGAATATCGTTGATTTGTTGAAATTCTGACCAGCCCTAACGAAAGAAAGCCTCAAAAGACACGAATGGCTCGATTAGTCCAAACGACTGCCAGGTATTAAAACAAAGGAAGCAACGAATCAGTTAAATGATCGGTAATAATTACAAATTGATTCTCATGTAAGAATCGAAAAATTTCATTGTTCTGCCCGCGTCGATGTATCGAATGCCCCTATGCAACGTACAGAATCTTCAATACATGCGCCATTGCTTGGAAGTGGTGATTAAGGTTTAGATCGTACACTGGGTGAATTGTAGTTTCAATTACAGAAATTTTTTTTTCTTAAATTCATTCTATAAATAAACGAAACACAAATAAAAATGCAAACAAACGCAAGATATATGTTTCTGTAATCAACGCAGAAAGAACCTTTCAAAGTGTGTTAAACGTATACTTTGTCTCGGTGTACAGTTTAGATACGATAGAAATACAAACGATTAAAACCACGCAGTATTTATTAGGACATCACAATACTTGAAACTATATACCTACAAATTTGTTGTGGACGTCGAACGAATGTTTATACGTAGAGTAGGGATGCACAAAGTCCGGTCCATTTTTCCAAGTCCCTCCGACCCGCAAAATAAAAAGAAATTTAAAAATTTATGCGAAAAATATAACGGCGTGATTTATAAATTATATTCCCGGGGCCCCAATATTTCTGAACACGCTGTCACAGATACGTTGCTCGTTTCTCAAATTCGATCAACGCCTTGAGATTTGAACAGTTTCAACTCCACGAGTTCTATAGAATAGTTGTGTTTTCTAATCCCTTTTAACATCGATGAATTAAATTCGTTGAAAATTGCAACTTAAAAAAAAAAAATAAGACTTCCAACTTTTATTCAAATATTTTCGATAGTACACTTTCCACCCCTGCTTATTCCAATCGTTTCTTTCCAACTTTAAATACTGTTTGCTCTTATCGATCTTTCGGTTCGATCGACGTTCCGCTTTCGAAATATTTCGTTCGAAGAGCAACTCTCGCGTAACGAATTTTTTAGCGGCCGATCTTATGGCGGGCACAGAGTCCACTCGGGCCCGTACGCGGAAGTTGCTCCGTTTTCAATTTCCAAATCAAATATTTCGAAAACCAAAGGTTATACTCGTTCGTTTTTTCTCATAGAATCGAAATCTATTATAAGAAATTGAAGATTCTTCTCAGAAAAACGAAATTTGTAACGAATACGATTTTAAATGAAATCAACTCTACAACTTTTGTTTAAAATGTCCTTTCTGGTCCAAGTTAATATGGAATACTCCGTGGACGATTCTTGGTTATTTATCGCCGTCACAAAGACCATTTCTACGACGCCTGAATTCGGAAAAACGAATTACGACGCGCGTCGAACGACACGGCAAGAAGCGCAGGTAGTTGCAGTGATCTACATAAGTCCCTTCCTCGGTCGAATAACTCTCTGCAGGTCAAAAGCATGGAGGCATTCGGTTCTCGGTTGCGCAATACGTTGGCCAACTCTCCCGACCTGTGGTCGCAAGCTGACGAACTTTTGTCGGGAGCGTAACCTTGGATCGCCGGGGATGATTTATTTGCCAGTAAATCATAAATGCGGGGGCCTTTCGCGCGCCAGGTTAACGTACCTTTCAGTCTCGGCGACAATGACGATAATTCATGGCCTCGCAGCAGAATTGCTCTTTGCCCGGGGCAGCATGAACTTTTCAAGAAGCTACAAATTCGCTGGAAACGTAGCAGCAGACCTTTGCGTTTCACAAATTTTAGGTAACGCCTTGCAACGGAAACGGGAGACTTTCTATGAAATGTTTACACGGTATTCCAAACGTCTTCAAAACTGCTCGAAAGACACGATCGGTCTCAAAACTATCCGAAATTTTTCGCAAAATTACAGGTTCGTGAGTAAAAATTTCAGCAAAATTACGATACTATATTGTGCAAAATTGAAATACACGGAAAGGAACTATGTTAAAGAAAGTTACAAAATTATTCGGTCGTATTAATGTATAAATATAAATTCAATATTTTGTTGGGTATATCTTGGAGTTTATAATAGCTTTGGATCTGTTTATTTTCGACAAAGTGCAATTTTCGAACACCAGTGGATGACACGCGGTACCCGCCATGTTTTACAGTTGGGGCTAAGCTCTTGATATTCTTTTGGTGTTAAAAATTTCAAATTTACATTCGTCGCTGAGAATTACTTTATTCCAGAACACTTTCGGCTTATTAATACGCTCATTTGCAAATTCCAATCTCTTTCGTCTGTTTTGATCGTCAACGAATGATTTACTGTTAAAACGTTGTTGGCAAATACTTTTGCGACACGGATTTTACGTTACATCACCGGTATGTTGTTCTTATATATCACAACGTATTTGAAAATGTAATTATAAAATAAAACTGAACTGTATTATAATATTTATACACGAGGCAAGAAGGAAGGTCGAACATACGTGTAATAATCGTATAGGTGATACAGGCCACCCCGTGTTATCATTCGCGTTTGTCAACAGATGATGCGATTAGTAGGGAACGACAATACCGACGGTTCGACGGAAAAAATAAATTCGTAGAAAATAAATTTTGCTCTAATTTTACGTAAAATTGGATTGACACGTAAGGGGTGGCCCGGATAGTATCGGGACCAAGCATAAGTTATAAAATTCCCATAAAGTAGATCGAGAAATATTGCGATGAATTCGATAAGAAAGTTCGGTCGTTATTAGGTGACCATTGAATTGATTAGGACGGGAAGAAGATGGTTTCGAAAGTTCCATAGGACAGGTAGGTGTATCCTGTGGAGTACAAGGTCACGGGACAAAGGAGGCCGATCGATAAGACCAGCGGCCGAAGGATCGTTGCGGCGGTCGTTGCTCTCGAGTCACGGCGCATCGGTGCCGAATACGAAAGGGATTCGTACTCGCAGTGACGAGGTCGAGTCTCGTTTAAATAAGTTAGCAGCGGCGGCGAGTACAGAGGCAAGAGAGAGAGAGAGAGAGAGGGGGAAGGGGGGGCAGTCACGGTGATAAAGGAGGAATGAGAAACGAACGGGGAAAGAGAGACGCCGAGGGGAATTGCACGTGGCGGGCAGCGATTGGCTCGCACCTGACTCCTCGGACCGCCCTCTTTTAGCCAGGATCGCATGCCTGCGTAGGTACCTAATACGCTTCTTTACTCGT